TAATACAGGAAGAACTGATATTTTTTGTCAAATGATCTCTGAGCATTTCATATTGACATTTAATATTTTTACGCTATCAAAAATAGTATTTTTGTTTCAATTTCCAAATGTTTGCTGCTAGTATATAAAAATATAATGATTTTTATATATTAATATTGTATTCTGCAGCCATGTCAAACTCACTCATTAGTTCTAGGAGCTTTTTCTGAAGATTCTGTGAGATTATTTTACATGGATAATCACATCATCTATAAATAAAGATAGTTTTATTCCTTCGTTTCCAATCTGTAGGACTTTTTTTCTTGCCCTGTTGCACTGGCTAGAGCCTCCAGTACTATCCCAGATGGAAGTAGTGAAATGGACATCCCTGTGTCATTCCTGAGTCTTCCGACATTAAGCATGTTAGCAGTGGGGTTTTTGCTGATATCCTATATTGGCTTGAGAAAGTTTCATCCATTTCTGGTTTCTTGAGAATTTTTATCATGAAATAACATTGAATTTTGTCAAGTGCTTTCTCCACCATCCAGTAGATGATCATACAGCTTTTCACTATGTTTAATTACTGAACTGATCAGATTTCAAATGTTAAACCGAACTTGCAGTCTTGGGATAAAATCCACTTAGTTGTGATATATTATCCTTTTTATGGATTTTTAAATTCAATTTGCTGAAATTTTAAGAATTTTTGCATCTATCTTTATGATATAGAGGGATATTCGTAGAAGGATTTTGGGGGGGGGAAGAGTGTATAGGTAGAGTTGTTAGTAATTGTTAGGGACCGACCTTCCACAGCCCCACGGGACAGAAAAGCAAAGACATCGAGGATGCAATCACACAAGAGGAGGTTTATTTTCTGGCTAGCCAGGGTCCAAGCCCCAGAGCACCAACGCAGTGACCACTCTCGCAGGCAAGGACCCCGACCAGAACTCTTATCCCCATGGTGAACAAGCTGCGCACAAGCTGACTACGCATGGATCATGTGTTGACCTTTAAAATGATTGGTTGCCCTCTATTGCCTAATGGGCCAGTCGCCCGTGCTTCAATGACCTCATCCCATAATTCCCCATACAGCGGCGTAGCAAGCAAGCAATGACCAGAAGCAAAAGTTTGCAGTTAGCTCATTGCCCCACCTAAGTAAATTCCCGATAATTACTCAAGTAAATTCCTCTGCCCTTCCTCTGCCCTACAGTAATATTCACATATCTTTTTAATATCTGTAGAATTTGTGGTAATGTCACTTGTCATTCCTGATATTGGTAATTCGTGTTGTCTCCATTTTATTCATCTGTTCAGATGAGTAGAGTTTTAGTTTCGTATTTCTGTTTTGCGTTGTTTCCTGCCTCATTGGTTTGCTGCTTTGATTTCATTTCCTCGTCCTTCACTTGCTTTGTGTTTCAGTTGTGCATCTTTATCTAGTCAATCGAAATGGAAGCTCAACTCATTGATTTGAAATCTTTCTTTTCCACTACAATTTCCCACTAACTGCTGCATTGGTTGCATCCTGCAAATTTTGATATGTAGGTTTTGTCCAACATTCTTTTTGTGTGATGGTCTGTCAGGTGCGGCCACAGGAGGAGACAAAGGAGAGCCTCAGGAAAGCACGGTTTATTAACTCGCAGGTCCCAGAAGCAGGAGGCACAGCACCAGACACGCTGAGAAGTCCCAAGGTGGTCAGTGTGTGAAGGAGGAAGGAGGGGAAAACCCAGGCTAGAACCTCTATCAGGGCTTCCTTGGGAAAAACACAGCAGGACAGGAAACAGGATTGGCCGGTTGAAATAACTTTGTTGGGCTGTAAGCTACAGGGGTGGTTCCTAATTGTCAGATACTTGGCACAGGGATGATTAAGACAGAGGACTGTTGCTTCCAGCGAGCAAGGGCAGAGAGAGGAGGTCTGGCTCTGGGTTGCTTGGTGAGCACTTCAAAGGCTGCTCCCCGCTGGGCCCTTGCTACCTCTAAGCACTGGCTACCCCAGGAGTGGCAGTCTGTCACCAGCCAGAAAGGGTTTTAACCACTTCCGTACGAGCGCCCACTATAGGTGATAACCACAGATGAACACGCATAGCAACTTTACCCAACAGCGGTGATATGACTTTTCTAAATTTTCATTTATCAAAATAAAATTGTGAACATTTAAAAATAACATATTGAAAACATACATGTGTATGTTACCTATTCTGATTTACATCACAAGTGAAGCTGCCTGTAGAGTAAAACAAGCTTTCAGTGCTCTAAAGCTTTCCTCACCACACGAGAGCAGAACGGATCCGTCGTCCATGCGCAGCAGACTAATGTGAGGACTGAGTGCTGTGTGTGGGCGAGGTTTTGCGACCGGTGAGTGCCGTACTGAAGTGGCTAACATGTCAAAATACATAATGTACATACAATAAAAAATATAGTTTCCATGTTCAAAGTATTTTCTAAGTTGTCTTTGATTTTTTTTTTTTTTGAGAATATCATAGTTTCTGTATTAGGGTTTTCAAGAAAAACCAATTCAGAACCAGTTAAGGTGTATACGTGCGTGCGCGCACACACACACACACACACACACACAAGAAGAGATTATGAGGGATTGGCTCACGAGATTTTATGGAGGCTGAGAAGTCTGCCAACTGCAAGCTGCAGGCCCACAAAGCTGGTGGTGTAATTTCAGTACAACCTGAAGGCCTGAGAACCAAGGGAGCCAGTGGCAACAGTCCTAGTCTGAGCCCAAAGGCCCCAGAATCAGGAATGTTGATGTCCAAGGGCAGGAGAAGGTGGATGTCCCAGCTCAAGCAGACAGAGCAAATTTGCTCTTTCCCGCTTTTTCGTTCTACCTGGGCCCTGCACGGATTGGATGGTGCCTCTGCACGTTGGTGATGGCAACCTTCTTTATTCAGTCTACAGATTCAAATGCTAGTCTCTTCTGGGAACACCCTCACACACACCCAGAAAGAATGCTTTACCCGGTATCTGGGCATTCCATGGCCCAGTCAAGTTGACACTGAAAATTAAACATTGTATTTTCCAAATATATGAGGGTTTCACAGAGATTCTTCTTTTACTCATTTTTAACTTAATTCCATTATATAGCTTATATGGACTGAATCCTTTTAAACTTATTGGGACTTAGAGGACCTGGAATCTATTTTATCTCACCAATTGATCTGTGTGCACTGGAAAAGAATGTTTATTCTCCTGTTATTGGGTAGAGTGTTCTATAAATGTCAATTAGGTTAAGTCAGTTGACAGCACTGCTCAAGTCTTCTGTCTTTGATTTGGAGCTCCTTATTCTAGAAATCTACGGAAAAATCTCCTAGAATGAGTGAACTTAGCATGATTGCAGAATATTGGTATGTAAAAATCAGTTATATTTGTATATATTGGCAACAAATATTTGGAACTTTAGTATCAAATAAAAAACAAATCCGGACTTAGTAAAGAGAGACTTTATTTAAAGGGATGATTGCAAAGGGGTGGGGCAGAGCTTTCTACCGCAATAGGGAGAATGTGCTGAAATAAGCTGCGTGTCTGGAGGGCTAGGTGAAAAGGGTTTTCTTTTATAGGGAGGAGAAAACGAGTAGAAAGGGGGTGACAGGAAGTGGGAGGGGTCCAGTCTATTCTCAGGAGGGGCTGGAGGCAGCAGGTGGGCAAAGTTCAGGGGCCTGGGTAAGAAGAGAATCTTAACCAAAGTTTAGTTCACAAGCATTTGTTCCAACGGATCAGTGGGACAAGCAGTTTAGCTGATCATTCATGAAGTGACGAATGGGTATTTGGGAGGTCTGGTGGTGAGGGGAGCTATCGTGGTGCAGGGAAGGGGAAGGGTGGGTCTTTACAGTAAGCTGTCTTTCAAAACACAAACAATGGGGGATTCCTTTAAATATCTCTATTTTCTAGGATCACAGAGCTCAGGTAAAATTCAACATTGTTAATTAGCAAGAAAACAAGGCCAGAGATGTGAAAACTCAGGAAATGCTTGGTATTGTTGCAATCTCAAGCATAAAGGTGTGTGTGACAAAAGATGAGGCTCTGCAAATAATGTCTTGTAATCAGGCTTGAACATCTGGGTGCCAGCCTGTCAGGGTCAAGTGACAGGCACATTCGCAGGCCTCTGTATGCATACCCCTGCACATGGGCCTTGGGTCTGGCCACGCAGGGCCCTCTCCTCCTATTGGGGACCCACTGCACTTCCTGGGGTCTGCACTGACAGAGTAGCTAGCTCCCTGGTGGCACCAGCTGCTGACCAGACTAGGAGTGTGTTTCTCCCCAAAAGGTCCCCTCAGACCTTCTGGGGAGGGGAATGCAGTGGAATGCAGGGAGGTGGCTCCTGCTCCTGGTGAAAGAGAAGCGAGAAGCTGTCTGCTCAGGTCCAGGTGTGTTGCAGCTGACAGCACAGGGAAAGGGAGGCCGCTGCTGCTGAGCTGTGGGCTGGGCTGGACTCGCCTCTACCTGGAGGCCTCGTGTGGCACAGGGTGTCAGCCCTCCCCAGATGTGTGCACTGTTTCCTATTAGGATGAGCTGCTGCCTCAAAAGAGCAAGTTTTCCTGCTTGACTGATGCCTGCCCGTCTTTTCCTCAGCACCTTTCCTTTCATATCAGGAACAAGACAGCAAAAGCCCAAAACCATTTTTAAGAATAAAAAAACTGGCCATTAAAGACTCAAGGGCAGCAAACTGCTCTTAGAAGAGGAACCCAGCTTCCCAGCAAGATCTAAATCATACTTTGGGGGAGAAAGAAGAGACTGTGCCCTCAGAGATGAACCATCAGGAGCTGACCTGGAGGGTGCACATGCTGTGTCTTCCACGGCTAAGTGAACAGGGACCACTGCCAACTGCTCCAGCTCTTCCGTCTAACTAGACCCCCCTCTCCACGCTTCCCCAGGCCTTCCCCACCTACGCAGCTTCCATCCTGGGGCGTGTCCTCTCAGCAGCTCCCGCCTCCTCGCGCCACAAGCAGGGCCCTGGTGGAGCTGCTCATCCAGACAGCCCTGCCCACGGCGAGGCACAGAGCATGTCCAGAATGAAAGTGGTTACATGCTCATTTTGGTTTATTCAGGAGAACACTAAGATAAATATGCCTTAAATATTACAAATTTTTTTTTTTTTTTTTTATGGAACATCACAGAACTGAATACAAATTTTTATATACAGGAATAACCCATTTCCCAATGAATTTGAAAAGCATTGTCTCCCCTCCTTTTTAAGCCCTGGATGATCCATGAATGTGGAAGCAAGCCCTTGCTGCATTTTCTGCAACAGAGTTGGCAGGTACGAGCTCAGAACAGACTGGCCAACGTCAGTGGAAAGTACATGGATGTGGAAAGAAAACGTTACGCTGAAAATCCCTTTCCCATGTGTATGCCCAGCACTCAAGTCTTCCACTAAGCAACCGTGTGGGCATCATTTCCTAAAGCGCTTGAAAAGCGGATGCACGTGTTTAGCAGAAGCCTTGCTCCGTGACGAGTGGTACTCCATGTACACGGTGTCATCAGCCCCGGACATGGAGCTCATGGTGCCAAAGCGTCGAGATGCCTGCAGGGGAGAGGAGAACCCAGTCTACCGTTAGTCTCTTCAGGGGGAAAAGAGACTCCTTTTATGACATTTATAATCATAATAAATTTTACAAAATTTGCACAAATGTAATACACATTATGTTTAAATAACACTGATCATTTCCTACGTCTCAAGCACTATTCCAGCATTTTACATTTATTTACATGTATTATCTCATCTAATCCTCACAACCGCTCTACTCCTCAATTTACAGCATAGGGTCCCCTGAGGCCCAGAGGAAACTGAGACACAGAGAGATTAAGTAACTTGCCCTAGATCACATGGCTCTGAAGGAGATGATATTTGAACTGAGGCAGCCTGACTTCAGACTCTCTGTTCTCAAACATAATGCTATACTGCTTTGCTTAAAGACAATTTCTGACCAGAATATTTTTAACAGAGAAGTCCCTTCAAATCTGAGGTACCACCACAAGGATTTGAATTGAGTCGAAAGCAAGAAAGCCCTGGGCTTAAGTCTTGGCTCCACCCCTCATTGGGTGACCCTAGGCAGGTACTGAATGTCTGCATCTCAATGACTTTATCTGCAAAAGAACAACCGCACCTGCCCTGAGATAGGGTGTAAACAGAAATCGTGTAAAGTTAAGGGTTTGACCCAGAGCCTGGCACACCACTGGTACCAGATTACGTGCCAAACATGCAGCCAAGCACTAAAGCCATGCCTTCAACGGCCTGGCCTCAGGGGACCCTATGCTGTGAGGACCATCATCACCACAGGACCAGCGAGCAAGACGCTCCCTGGGCTGCCTGGGATAGCGCCTCACTGGGGGGGGAAGACCTTGGGCTGCAGAGAGGGCGACTTCCCTCTGGCCTTGGCCCAGCTGCTGCTCTAACACCGCCTGCCTGTCGGAAGCACCTGACTGAGGTGCACTTTCTCCTGGAAGGGCCGGGTAGGAATTCTCCTACGGAGCTCTCATTAATTGTAGCATATTAACATTTGTCTGGCACATAGTAGGCACTCAGTAAGTGTTTGCAAAATAAATGAAAGAGAACTCTTAAATTTTCTCAAAGTACTGAAGCTACCATAGAGTTGCTTGTCGGAGCCATCTTACAGCTCAAAAGCCTAGCTTTGTCACCGAGGAGGGGAAATGACTTGCCCAAGACCCAAAGTGGCTGCCCGTTGTGCTCTACCCTGGGCTTCAACATCAAGGTACTAACAAACACTCATGCCGGACTGCTATGTGAACAGAGCAGGAAGCCACTGATAGCCACCGTGAGCACAGCTATGGACAACAGTACACACGCGACGGGACACACACCAAAAGGGTAACGGGCTATTTCTACTCATCTCACCTCCACATTTATCTGTGTTTTCCAAGTTTTTCCAAAAATCCCACAGGCCCATACACACGCAGGACTATGTGCATAAACATGTGTGTCTACAAATGCCGGCCTTGGGAGCACTGCCACCTGGAGTCTCCCCACCCACTCACTCACCTGGCCGGATCTGGAGCCGAACTCCCCTGCCACCACCTCTTCCTCAGCGTCCAGGTCAGTGGCTGCCAGGACTTTCTGTAAGAGCTGCTGCTGCTCTTCTTTCGTCGAAAACGCCAACTCTTCCTCCTCCATACCAGCAAGCTTAGTGATCACCTGCGAAGCCCAAGCCAGCAAGGGTGTTCCCTCCTGTTCCCTTTGCCCTGGCCCTACTCTGCCTTCTCCTGGGTTCATGGCCCTGGGCTAGGGCTAACAATGGACAGCTCCTCTCTGGCATTCTGGAGACCAGCACCAGGACCTGCCTTTAATAGCGAGCTTGACTATGATGACAAGACAGAGGAGGTTAAGGAATTCCAGGAAATCTGCTTCTAGCACACAGCATCTATATGATCCCGTATAGAAGATCAGTAGGAATTTTAGTGATTTTAAAGACTCCTTTGGGTAGCTTTCCCATCTTGCACCAGGGAGAGGAAGAGACAACAGACTGAAAGGCCAAGGCTGCAACCCTTTGGAAGGGCCCTGCAATCTGCTGCACTCAGCACCCAGGGCTTCCAGTAAGAGTAAGCACTTAAAAATGACAGGACATTGAGAATTTCCTAAAATTTTAAAAGAGTAAGATAACAGCATGGTGGAGACTGGGTTTCCATGCCCATGGGGTCACTTACTAAAGGCCTTCCTGCTTGCTGTAGAAAGCTTGGGTTGACTATGTGAGGGGAGTGCCGCCTCCAATTCTCACATTGTTAATTCAAGGAAAACTCGTCTAAGTAAGGATGTGACTGAGACCTTCAGGTGGCCAGGAATCAGGAAAGACAGGGTACGTGTGTCCTGGCCTGACCTCTCCAGGGTCAGGTGCCTTTCTGCTGAGTTCCCCTTTCAAAGAACTCAGAGCACCTTTTTTTTTTTTTTTGAGACATAGTCTCACTGTGTTGCTGTGGCGTCAGCCTAGCTCACAGCAACCTCAAACTCCTGGGCTCAAGCAATCCTCCTGCCTCAGCCTCCCGAGTAGCTGGGACTACAGGCATGCGCCACCATACTTGGCTAATTTTTTTTCTATGTATTTTTAGTAGAGACGGGGCCTCGCTTTCGCTCAGGCTGGTTTTGAACTTCTGACCTTGAACGATCCACCCGCCTCAGTCTCCCAGAGTGCTAGGATTACAGGCGTGAGCCACCGCACCTGGCCAGAGTGGCTCTTTCTGACTTGGTGACCCTCATACCCTCTCGGCACTCTGGGAATCGGGAGGTGTGAGTGCCACTGTCAGCACAGGCTTTACAAACAGAGAAAAAGGTCATGACCCAAATCCTGAGAAAAAGTGGACTCAAAACTCAAAACCCAAAACCCAAACATCCTGTCCTCTAGCCAAGCAAGAGAGGTCTGAAAAGTGTCGCTGCCTCTGGCTAAAAGAAGAGAGGCCAGAGGCCTGTCCTCCCGTCAAAAATGGGAATACTCACCAAGTCATAAAAAGACACACTTAAACACCCATCTGACAAGGCAGCCTATGGTCTTTCACAGTCAAGGAACTGGGAACCTGTGTGTTCTGGTGATGGCCTTTTATTGGATGATGGGGGGATCTTCTTACTTGCTTCTAGAATCCTCCACTACCACCCCAAATAAAGCCCTTTGGGACACTAAATCCTGACATAAGCTTCGTATTTGTGCCAACAGGAAAGAAAGGAAATGCCTCAGCCAATGAAAGTTAGCCAAAGCTTTAGAATTTCCCAAGTTATTCAAACATCTAGTCACAGAGCACACAGCTGGCTCTGAAGTCTGTCTGGGAGGCACACCTAGGCCTGGAGCGTACAGCTGACGAAAGGAAGAGCTCTCCTAGCCGTGCCCTTGAGGAAGTAACCAAGGGGCTCAGTTCACAGTGTTGGACACAGTGTCTTGGCATCTCATCCTACCAGGCTAGCACATTTCCCACCAACAGTGACGCTGCCCCCAGCAATTCGTACAGAGACGAAGGGAGTTTGAGGCAATGCCTCTAATCCCAGGCTGGTGCTGACAGTGGCCCCCACTTCTCCTTGAGGCTGGCACACCAAAAACACCTTGGTCCTAGTCTGACCAGAGGCCAAATCAATATGTACCTTGAAGCTATAACCTTGATCTACCAAGAATCTCTGCCGCTTGGTTGAGTAAGCCATTTCCTGTGTATCCTGGGACACCAGCGAGTAGAAGAAGGCATTGTACTCCTCTGCAACCATCCCTGTGGGGAGAAGGTAAGAGAAGGCAGGAAAGAAGACAACATCAGACATTAGGATGCCAGGAGCTAAAGGTCCCAGGCTCACCAGCAAGCACTGCAGTGGGAAAGCTCTGCAGTCAGGGGATGATCACCTGGACTTCCCACAGAGCTATATCAAAATAAAAGCCTTTTCTGCTTCCAAGGACACCATCAATAAACTGAAAAGGCAGTCCACAGCATTAGAAAATATTTGTGAAGCATTTATCTGATAAAGGACTTTTATCTAGATTATATAAAAAAAACTACTACGATTCAACAATAAGACAAATAACATAATCATAAAATGGACAAAAAATCTGAAAAGATTTGTCCAAAGACAATATACAAATGACCAATGACCACATGAAAAGATGCTCATTAATCATCAGGGAAATGCAAAATCAACTAAGATGGTTAGAATCAAAATGACAGACCACTACACTTGTTGTCAAGGATGTGGAGAAACTAGAACCCTCATAAACAGCAGTGAGAATGCACAATGGCACAGTTGCTTTGGAAAACAGTCTGGCAATTTATCAAAATGTTAAACACAGAGTTATAACACCATATGATCCAGCAATTCTACTCCCAGGCATATATCCAAGAGAAATAAAAACATCCACACAAAAATTTGTACATGAATTTCATAGCAGCATTATTCTTAGAAGCAAAAGTGAAAACAACCCAAATGTCTATCAGCAAATGAATGAATAAATAAAATGTGGTATGTCCAGCCAGAATATTATCTGGCAATAAAAAAATAATGAAGTACTATACATCCTACAATGTGGATAATCCTTTTGAAAACATTATGCTAAGTGAAAAGAAGCCAGTCAAGGAAGGCCCCAAATTGAATGATTCCATTTATATGAAATGTCTAGAACAGGCCTACAGAGATGAAAGTGGATCGGTGGCTGCCCAGGGCTGCAGGTTGGGACCAAGGAGAAATAGAAGCAACTGTTCATGAGTTTCTTTTTGAGGGTAATAAGAACATTCTCAACAGATTGCAGTGATGGTTGCAAAACTTTGTGAATATACCACAACCACCCAACTGTGCGCTTGGATCAATCATATGGTATATAAGTTATATCCCAATAAAACTGCTTTAAAAAAAAAAGCTCAGAGAGAAAACTCTGGAGCACAGAGAATTACAGTAGTCCCCTTATCCTCAGGGAGACACGTTTTAAGACTCCCCAGTGGATAACTGAAAACCTTGGACAGTACTGAACTCTATATACACTATGATTTTTCCTATGGGTGAACACTTACGATAGTATGATAGTTTATTTTATTATTTAGGCACAGTACGAGATTAACAGTAAAACAAGAATTATAACAATGTCTTGTAATAAATGTTGTCACATGATATGGCCATAACTTTTACAGTTTGAGGTGCATGAACAAGATTAGCATGAATTTCTTTTTCCTTCTTCACAATTTCACGGATAGATGATTTGTTCTGGCTAGTTCCCAGAGTACACAGAGATGGAGGGGTCCCCATAGGCAAGTGGGGGTCCCTGTGGATACAGCGGGGAGCACAGAGATGGAGGTCCCTGCAGGCACTGCGGGCATTGATGATGGGGTCCCACAGGTGCAGTGTGGGGTGTGGAGATGGGGTATCTCCACTGGCATGGTGGGGGCCATGGGAAAAAAAGATTTGTTTTTACTACAGATCTGTGCAACCTTAGCATTTGGTTTTTTTTCTTTTCTTGATGTGAACTTTTACTTTTTAACTTTAAGGAAGCACTTTATGGCTTCTCTTCGGTATATTGCTAGTATCTCCCCTTGCGCTTTGGGCCCATAATGAAGTAGACGAATGGTTACTTGAACACAAGCTCTGCCATACATCCACAGTGGATCCGATAACCAAGCAGGCTACTAAGTAACTAACCGATGGGCAGTGTATACAACATGGAGACGCTGGACAAAGGAATAATTCATGTACTGGGCGCCACACAGAAGGGTATGCAATTTAAAACTTACGAATTATTTCTGGAATTTTCTATTTAATAGTTTTGGACCATGGCTGACCATAGGTAACTGAAACTTTGGAAAGCAAAATCTTGAATAAGGGGGACTTACTGTATCAAAGAAACTAGGACAGAAAATATTATAGCCTGAAAGACCTGATCCTTCAGGAAAGTCTGAACATTTTCACTTCACAGTACAAATGTCAGTAGATTAAGCTTCTGTATACTTCCTTTAAATTCAACTGTTTTTCTTAGTCTTGTAAGAGCCCAGAGATACAAAGAAAGGGGCCAAATATCATTGTCAAACAGTTTTTTGAATAAGAAAGCATAATCCTAATCACAAAGGAGTTTCTAAATTAGAGTAAGGAATATGTAATGAATTACTTTTACAAAAGCTATAGTTTCTCTTATTTATAAACTCAATCCTCACAGGAGTCCTGGCAAGACAGGACCGTCACCTCCACTTAGGATAGGAAAACCAAGGCTCAGAGACGCCAATAATTTGCCCAAGTCCATGCTATTTCTACTATCTGCCCTGTCTCCATTCTAAATACAATCAATAAACTGCCTCTGAAACATATCTGAATACAGTATGACTTCAACACATGCCCACTAATCTTGCCATTTTCAAACAGCCTGGCAGTCTAGATGCTCCTTAGGATAAGCAAATTCCTTGAGGACAGGGTCTGTGTCCTTGTCTCAGGATGTGGCCTGGTTCCAGTAAGAAGGAGGTGGCCATCTCTTAGTAGCAACGTTAGTCCCTGCCATGCCCCACACTGGGCAACTGGGCCCTTTTTGCAGTAGTTAGCAAGCACAGGGTGACATACCTCCTCAGCATAAGCCTTTGCAACACTGCCTCTCACCTCCTCCTTCACGGAGCTTGTGATGCCCCTACTATGAGCTGCTACCAGGGCAGCACTCTTCACAGGTTAAGAGGGATGTGTCCCCTCTGTGGCTGCCCATGCTGCTCCTACCAAACCCTCCCCTGCCTCGAAATCTAGACAGCTTCCAGCTCTTCCACTTCTAAGTCATACCATTAAGTACTAGCCCTGGCTCCCTCTTAGTATCTACCAATGCAAGCAGCTCAGGGCTCAGCATACAGCCTATCCATGTGAATTCCAGGCCCCTGCCAGGGAAAACACCCATATTTATACCCAAGGCATGAGATATAATGAAGGGCCCTGGGAGTCTTGGACTTTGCTCTGGGACTGCCATCCTTTAAGGGTCTACTAACCCGAGGGCACACTCGCAGCTCACCCCTGCGCTCTTTCTACCCAAACTGGTTCAAGAGGAGACCTCTTGCAGCTGAAAAAGAAAAGACCACTTTACCTTTTTTGGCTCGAAGCACCCGCCCTAGCCTCTGGGCCTCCTGCCGCCTAGAGCCACCATGGGATGAGATCTGGACGAGAACATTTGCTTCTGGAAGATCAAATGATGTGTCACCTACCTACAGAAACGAAGCAGCTGTGAGTTTGGGAAGGTTTTTTTTCTTTAAAAGAGACAGATTTGGCCGGGCCCGGTGGCTCACGCCTGTAATCCTAGCACTCTGGGAGGCCGAGGCGGGCGGATTGCTCAAGGTCAGGAGTTCAAAACCAGCCTGAGCGAGACCCCGTCTCTACCAAAAATAGAAATAAATTAATTGACCAACTAAAAATATATATACAAAATATTAGCCGGGCATGGTGGCGCATGCCTGTAGTCCCAGCTACTCGGGAGGCTGAGGCAGTAGGATCGCTGAGCCCCAGAGATTGCGGTTGCTGTGAGCCAGGCTGACGCCACAGCACTCACTCTAGCCTGGGCAACAAAGTGAGTCTCTGTCTCAAAAAAAAAAAAAAAAAAAGGTGGAAGACCATGCAATGAAGAACCAAGAACATGCAAAGAACCAAGCTGCTTGCCTGAGCGTGAATCCTGGCACAGCCATTTATTGGTGTGACCTTCAGCAAATGACTAACCTCTTTATGCCTCAGTCTCCTATAGAACCACAATGCTAACAAGGGGAGAGGTGACAGAGAGGCGACAAGTAGAGCTGTTCCGACAGCGTGGGTACCCAGGGAGGCTCACTGAAGGCCTGTCAGTGTGTGGGCTCTGACAAGTCATGGTCCCTGCTCTGCTCACTGCTGCTGCCCCCCACACCAGAGCAGCCATGCCTCAGGGCTGCCACCAACAACCAATATGACACATTCCCTCAAATCTTTGCTCAAATGGACCTCAGGGGGCCTTTTCTGACCACTCCATTTAAAATCCCACTCCCTTTAAAATCCCACTCCCAATTTAGTCTGAAGATACACCTCAAGCAACACAAACACACACAAGGAGATTCACTGCAGCCTTGTTTATCATCGCAAAATGTTGGACATCTAAATGCACAAACACAGGAGGCAGGTTGTATAAACTATGGTATGGCCACACAATGGCATACACTGCAGCTATACAGAAGAGTGAAAAAGACCTCTATGAAATGATATGGAGTGATTTCCAAGATTTGTTGTTAAGAGAAAAAAGCAAAGTCCACAAGAGTGTCTACAGTATAGCTATCTTTTGTGTAGGAAAGAAAGAGAAATAAGAAAATGCGCACCATCTGCCCATTTTTGCAAAAGAAATACAGGAAGAATCAACAGAAATGATGAGTGTGGCTCAGGGGAGTGGTAGGAGGGTGGGAAAGGGTGATGCTCCTCAACGCAGACTTTTGTATGGTTCAGACTCTTAGAACCACATCATGATGAACATAAAATATCCACAAGGATGAAGGTGGGTGGCAGAAAAATGGAATAAAAATAAAAACAAATGAACTTAAGTAAATTTCAAAGGAATATCATAACCATACAGAATTGGGGGCGGAAGAACCAAACTAAATAACTTTTTTTTTTTTGAGACAGAGTCTTACTTTGTTGCCCAGGCTAGAGTGAGTGCCGTGGCGTAAGCCTAGCTCACAGCAACCTCAAACTCCTGGACTCAAGCAATCCTCCTGCCTCAGCCTCCCAAGTAGCTGGGACTACAGGCATGCGCCACCATGCCCGGCTAATTTTTTTTTCATGTGTGGTTGTGACAAAAAAAGTTTCGGAAGCCACCACTCATTCAGAACAGCTGTTTTTAACTCCACATTTTATGGTATCTTTTTCTCCTCTGCTAGTCGTCAGGAAAACTCACATCAATGGCATCTCATATCAAGGAGATGGACACAAGAGTAACCATCCTAGGAAGAGAACCGCAACATTTATTGATACACCTTACAAGAGCCACACACAAGATCCTCGGATGGTAGGTATAGTATCCTCCATGTGACTGAAGAGCTAAAGGAGTTTCAGATAGGGTAAATGACATTCCAAGCGTCTCAGATTCCCTCTTTGAGGCCAGGCAGGTCTCCTTCCTGCAGGCAGGCAAGAAATTGGAGCTGGACCGAAATCTAGCTGGTTCTGGATCCCAAGACGATTCCTCTGCCACCACCCAGCCCTGCCAACAAACCATAAACAGCTCTCTACAAGTGGCTTCAGTGATACCCTTTCCTTTCATTAAGGCTGGCAGAACAAGAAGGCTCAAGATCCCCCACACACTAGAGCATCACAGCTAGGCGATGCAGCAACTGGGCCCGGTCCCACAGGATCATTCAAACAAGAAAACAGAAACTAAGCATCTCAACATTTAAAGCCAAAGGTACAAAAAAGAGTATCAAGTACCAAGCTGTATTATCATTCTAGTCCACAGAGGATCAGGCACGTCTGTGCCCTTCATGTGCCAAACTGAGGCTCAGTAAACAAGTGCCAGGCAATTAAACTCCCTGCAGCATGCTCAGAGCCACAGTCAACATAAAGCCTCAGGTGTGCTGCAAGTGTAAGGTGGGGGAGCCTTTTGACGGAGGCTCCAGGAGTCTGATGGAGACACTGCAATATGGCTGGATGGGAGGAGATGGCTGGTTAATATGAAGCATGGTGAACAAACTACCTCACTGGCCTGGTCTATACTCGATAATGTGCACAGTAAAGGGAACATGCCACAAAGGAAAACAGAGAAGAAATAAGCAGAGATGGAAGAAGTAAGTAACATTTTGAAGCTGAAAAGCAGATGGTGCAAGGCACAATACCTGGAGCTAACGACTAGAGAAGGCAGAAGCGTAGACTGACAGGAGGAGAGCCATACAAACAAGCCGATTTCTATGCAACACAAAAGGTCGGAATAGTCACCGTTTGCCTTGGTAGTGGGGTGTGGCGAGGTAGGCTGACAAGAGGAACTAGCAGAGAGAGGAGCATTGGACCCTGCCCTGGAGCAGGCAGGCCCTCCAGAGAGGCATGACTTCTTCTCAGTTCCTGAACAGAAGGTTGCCCTTGGGAGCAGGCAAGAGCTGACGAGCACTGAATAAGTGAAAAATGCTAGACTCCAACCTTGCTTCCTACCCACCACACGTTACAGTGCCCAGGAGACTAGGAAAATCCTCTCGTGAGAACTGTTCTGCTAAGAGAAAGTGACCTGAATCGAACTGAGCTTGGCAGTCTCTTGACATAAATAGCAGGTTTTCTGCCAGTCACTGATGGTGAGTCGCAAGTCAGCAACGCTCACTAAGCTATTAAAGAAGGTCTGTCAGCTTGGTGGGCTCTTAATAAGAAAATACAGCCAAGGATTACAAAAATCAGAGAAGGTTTTTTTTTTTTTTTTTTGAGACAGAGTCTCACTTTTTGTCCAGGCTAGAGTAGTGCCGTGGCGTCAGCTAGCTCACAGCAACTCAAACTCCTGGGCTTGTGATCCTTCTGCCTCAGCCTCCCGAGTAGCTGGGACTACAGGCATGCGCCACCATGCCCGGACTTAATTTTTTTTTTATTAATCAGTGGCTAATAATTTCTTCTATTTATAGTAGACGGGTCTCGCTCTGCTAGGCTGGTTTGACTCCTGACTTGAGCATCCGCCCTCGCCTTCCAAGACGTAATTTACGGCGTGCACAGCCCCGGCCTGGTTTGTTTTTTTTTTTGACAGAGTCTCACTCTGTTGCTCAGGGCTAGAGCTTCTCATGGATCAGCTGGCTGACAAACTCAAAGACTACTGGGGCTCAAATGCGACCCTCCTGCCTTTCTCCTCCCAAGTAGCTGGGATCTACGGTATGGCCCTCATGCAGTTAATTTTTCTATAAATTTTAGTTGGGCAATTATTTATCTATTTTTAAAGATGGGGTCTCACTTGCTCAGGCTGGTCTGAACTCTAAGCAACAACCACCCACCTCGGCCTTCCCACCAATACTAGTACAGGTGAGCCATGGCGCCTGGCAGAAGACTTTAGACAATAAAACAATCCAAAACAAAACCTGAAGAAAGATAGCATAGAAACAGAAGGAAGCTTTAAAAACTTTCATAGCCTCGGGGGTGAGGCATCGTATCAGAAAACAAGAATATTACCAAAAAAACCTAGAAATAAACAAGTTTCAAGGAGAAGACAGATAGCGAGATTAAAATAGAAGAAAGGTGACATGGTAGCTCTCCTGCAATCCTAGCACTTTGGGGAGGCTGGGGCAGGAGGATGGCTGGAGCCCAGGAGGCTTGAGTTGCAGTTGAGCCGTATGATGCACTGATGCCATGTACCAGCCCAGGCACAGAGTGAGACCCTTGCTTCAAAAAAAGAATTTTATACAAAAAAAAGAAAAAAGAGAAGAAAACTGGAGAGCTGTTCCGAAGATCTAACATCTATGAGATTGACCCTAACAGCTTTCTGAGGAGAAGGAAAACCACACAACCAGACATATACATACAGAGAGGAATCAAAGTGGCATTAATTTCCAGCAGCCTCACTGGAAGCTCCAATGTTAATTTAAGCCCAACCAAATCTACTTGACTGACCAAATGTAAAGTCACCTAAAGATTACAAACATTCAAATCTTAAAAAACTTTCCTCTTACATCCTTCTCTCAGGAAATCTAATGGAATATGTGTCCATCAATATAAGTGACCAAGAAAGTTAGACTGAGACTGGGAAAATGAGGATCCACACAAGAAAGAATCCAGGAATCCACGGGGCAATGCCCAGACCGCAAGGCAGGCAGGAGCAGAGCGGAAGATGAAGTGCTATGGGATTCCACTGGGGAAAGACAGAAAAATGAACTGAAGATTACCGTGACTCTGACTATGTTTATGTACATGAAGAATCTGGAGAGTAGAAATATTAAATGTACAGAAATTCATCAAAGAACAAGGCAATTATTAATTCCAGGGGAAAAATTTTTACAAAAAAGAAAATGGCAATCATTAGTACACTCTATGTCGTCCGCTGAACAGATACTTATAAGTTAAAACAATGTAGCACCTGGGATATTAATTTAACCCCCACTTGTCTATTACTGCTATGTTGCAAGATGGTGGGAGAAGAACAGAGGATGGGGTAGAGAGGGAGTATGTAAGAAAAGCTAACCTCAACTTTCTGTGGTAGGAAACAGTAATAATGATAATCAGGAACTTCTAACATAAACTATTATTTAGAAATATGAAAGTAAACAGTAAAGGCTTGAAAGGCTGCTTCAGAATGGAAACAGGAATTGTGTGGAGGAAGACAAGAGCGGAATGCTTTCATAATAATGTAAATGTTAACTTTGCTAAGAAACTTTCTAATTGAAAAAAGTATAATTTTAGAAATTTGAAGAAATTTAATCTTTACATGCTGTTTTCCCATATATATAAAGGGATATACCTCACACCATGACTAAGTGTGAAATAATAAAACATATGTATAGTACGCCTAACACAGAGTTTGCCAAAGAAAGGCTGTCTATAATCATTCTTCCTCTCCACTCCACAAAAAGATTAAGACCTGGCTACAAAGAGGACCTTACTTTCTGTGACCAGCACTGGAAGTCCCACTTCACTATAGAAAGAAGGACAGCCCTCTTCATCCTTACTTGGTTAGGGAATTACAATATGCTAGGTTTAAACAGCAGATATCTGAGTCGGGGCCATGGGTTATGAGGACACGGGGTGAGCACTTCCTGAAAAGCTCTTTCCTGGGATGCTGGCCAGCCTTACCTTGCCTTACTAGCCCCTGACAATACAGTCTGGTCTGTCGTCCTCACAGTGCTCACCCTGGGGGGGGTAACTTAATTGCAACTCCACCAACCTTTGGAGCCCAGATCTGTGACAGGGGCCCACAAGCCAGTTCCAATTCTGTGGGCCCCTGGCATTCTGAGATCAGAATGACAAGGCCTGCTTTTATATGCTCTGGACTCCGGACCACTTGCTTCTCAGTCTCACCAGGTTCCTAGGCCCAGGGACATAGAACCAGACCTGAGAGCTTTAAGAAAAAAAAACAGGCACTTCTGTACTCCCAATGGGGAAGATAAATACTGGCAGGAGGCAACTCCAAAGTTTTTCATTCTTATTGTTCAGCGAATCGGCATATTCTTTAGGGCAAACACATTGTCAGCAAAGACAATAATTCTTGTCATTCCTCCTCTCATAAACTTGATCAGAAACTGGCAAGCCCTGATTGTTGGTTCATGGTGTACAGCAAGATTCGTTTCTGTTTTGATTGCCACGTACTCCCGGTAAAACTCAGGGGACATGGGGCACCAAACCTGTGAATACAATAAGAGTCAGGGGTCATTTTAACACATACAATTAAAAATTCTTGAAGCCTTCACTTGGAAATTAGCTTTAAAACAAAACAAAAACCACTGGTGTGTGAATTTTTTCACTGGTAACTGTCAACTAAATATGCACATGCATAAAACCAAATAAACCAAACCAAGACACTTAATGTTGAACGTCTCACATATTAATAATAACTTAATGACTTTTAATGTAATCTAACCAGGGAATTATTTTCACACCAGCTGGAAGTAAGGGAAACAGATTCTAACTAGTGGTGCCAGTAATTCCCCCCATTCAGACCAACACGTCCCACATCGTCGCACTGCTACTAGGAAACTGGCTCTACCACACATACAACTTCCACCAGGGCCAGATGCTTTAGTTAGGGGCTCCTTCGGTGCCATCAGCACATAGTTTCACTGCCAGGTTACCAGGCGGCAATGTGGTATGAGGATCCTTCATTCAGCCCTGTGCCCTGAACCCTATCCTTCCACAAAAATCTATGACTTGTAAGCTCGAGGCTGTATAAGAATTGTCTACAACTCAGGGTTATGGTAGTAAAGAATGGAAGGCTAGCTGGCACATTTATTCTAAATGATGTGAAAGCACACTGGATGTAAGAATTAACAATCAAGAAATTGCAAACAAGCTCCTGGATGACCAGGCCAGCCAGGCTGCTTTCCCACTGCCTCCCCAGCAAGCTGGGAGGGTCTCTACCCTTGGCCATTGAGAGTGGCTGCCAACTCAGCCAGGACATTCCACAGAATTAACAGACTTCCGTCATTAAAGATAAGATGATCCTTCGTATGCCCAACTCTCCAACATATTGTTTTTCTAAGTTTATAACAATTATTAAATAAGATTTTTGTACATCCTAAAATCATCTCAAGTTCCAGTGAATAAAAAGTGGAAGAGGAGCAGCAGGATTGCTTGAGCCCAGGAGTCTGAGGTTGCTGTGAGCTAGGCTGACGCCACGGCACTCACTCTAGCCTAGGCAAGAAAGCGAGACTCTGTCTCAAAAAAAAAAAAAATAAATAAATAAATAAAAGAGACAGATTTGTCCAGGCTGGCCTCAAACTCTTGGACTCAAGCGATCCTCCTGCTTCAGCCTCCCAAGTAGCTGGGACTATAGGCATGCACCACCATGCCTGGTATCTCTTTTTATTATGAGACAAAAAGAATTTAAATAAGCTCTGTAGATAATTTAGAATAATAATCACTCTCTTGTCCTCTCTGGACCAGGGCTCATCTGATGCAGGCACAGGTAAACCAATGGATCTCAGAAAGGCAACTCTGGGCCTCTAGGACCTAGTGTGAGTTCTCCCAAAAGCCACCCTATAGAACCACTACCACATTTCAGTAATGCTCACAGTGCTGGGTACCAGAAGATCAGAGAGGGGAGGGCCCTTCAACATAGACTCACTTTGAGTAATTTGGTTTTTTTTAGCTACAGAAAGAAACAAGTCTTCACAAAGTCATCCATAGTCCTATCTGGTGGCCACTGAGACCAGCAGCACATGTAGGACAATGTGACCTGGGAGGGGCTACTGCCCCACAGAGGAGTCTGACTGTAGATGGACTCCTCAGCTCGGGGGCTCCAACAATCGAGGTTCTAACCACAGACATGTCAGCTGGTGTGGTACTTGCTGAGCAATGGTCACTTTGAAGGTAAATCTCACTTCTTTTGGGCTTTGGGCATTCTTAATCTGAATGACTGCGGTAAACTGGGGCCCTAGCTTCTGATTACAGATTAAAGTCATGGCCAAGCTGGGCCTGTGTGAGCCCCTGCTGACACTGGCCACCTACCATCAAGCCACAGCAGGGGCAGGACAAAGGATGGGCCTTCTCCAGATCCGTGAAGAGAACCTCACCTGAATACCTACTTTTGCCAGAGTAGGAAATGAACTCTCATTCCTTTCATAGAGGAGATATAACTTAAGTCTCCTATATCCCAAAAAGAGGTGGGAAAAACCTCAGGCAAAGAGCCTTTACAGATTATCTATGATAATGAAAATCCTAAATCTGCATCTTCCACTACCCAAGAGACAGAATCCCTGTCCCTGAACATGTGGGAATGAAAACATACTCAGGAATTTCCTTCAACAAACACGAATCAGTGTACAGGAATCACAGTGTACCCCAGGCCCTTGCGGGTACTAGGAGCCTCACTCCCACCCTGCATGCCACACAAACCTTGGATATGAAGATGGTGTTGATTTTGGGGTTGTGCTTGAAATTCTGGAGAATTTGCATCCTTTCTCCCTGGGATGTAGGCCCATAGATATAGGGTCTAGAGAAGAATGAAGCTGTGTTAGAAAGACCATAGAATCACATCTCAGTTATCCTGGAAGCACATCAGAGGGAAAAAGAAATTCATGCAAAGTTCTCTCTCATAGAAAGCCCTCTGCATGCAGGAATATCAGAAGATCCGTAAAAATAACTGGTTGTAGACTCACCACCTGCCTGTCTCCTTCTCCACAGATTCTAGGTTCAGGCCTGCCACTGTCTTTGGGATTCCCTCCTTTATTTTTTTTTTCTTTTTGGACTATGCTTTTTCCTGCTTCAACAGCTCTTACACAAAGCATGGAGTTCATACGAGGAGGTCCTCAGATTTCATGAAGCCCAATGAGAGTGGCAAAAAAACTCCACTGCTATGTCTAAGCAAAAGATTGGAAGCAACTGTCTCCAAGTGAAACAGGCATGCTCCCAGAGATGAGCAAAAAGAAGAAAAGAGTCCTTCGGCCTTTCTTTTGTTGACCTCCTGTAACACTAAGTTCAAAAAACTTCTTTTTCTATGGGTGTTTCTTGACTGAAGAAAAAAAATAAATAAAGAAAGAAAAAAAAAAACTTCTTTTATTTCCAGCTCCCTGCCAAAGGCACAACCCTATCCAATGACCTCACTGGTTATTGCCCCATGGTACCTGCGAATGCCATATTCCTATTTTCTGTCTTGAACACTGGTGGACAGTTTCTGCAGCTTCCCAAGCATCATAAGGAGGACAAGCCACCAGGTACATGGGGCCTACTAATGCCAACACTATGTTAAAACAACAACAACAAAATCTATCCCTGCCAATATTCCTGAGCACTGTAAAAGGAAGGTTTCATGTTCCCCAATTTGCACCTGGGAACTGAGGGTCAGGAGCCCGAAGGGGTGGAACCCAGACTCCTTAGTGTCCAGGGCAGTGCCCGTCAATGGCTCTGGATGCACTACTTCTGCCACTTCACACAGCACTCCCCAGTGCCATGCCAGGAAACAAGCATGGGTATACCCCACACACCCTGCCCTCGGGGAAGCCAGGCAGAGCCTGGGACAACTGTACCCCAGGCTGACAACCTCCAGTCAGCCCAGCCACAGGCTGCCTCACCTGGTATTGAGTGTCCAGACTATCACACAATCTCATCATTTTCTATATGTGTTGTGTTGTGACAAAAGTTTCGGAAGCCCCACTCATCAGAACAGCCTGTTTCTTAACATCCACATTTTTAGGTAGTTCTTTTTCTCCTCTGCTATCGTCAGGAAAAACTACTCACACAATGGCATCCTCATACAGGAGATGACACAAAGAGTAACCATCCTCCTAGAAGAGAACCTAACATTTATTGAACACCTACAAGATGCCAACACACAAGAATCCTCCGAGGTAGGTAGGTAGTAGTATCTCCATGTGACTGAAGAGCTAAAGGAAGTTCAGAGAGGTAAATGACATTCCCAAGGTCTCAGATTCCCCTCTTAGGCAGGCAGGTCTCCTTCCTGCAGCAGGCAGAAGGAGCTAGGACCCAAATCTAGCCTGTCTGACTCCAAAGACGATCCTCTGCCCACCACCCAGCCACTGCCACAAAACCCTAACAGCCTCTCCTACAAAGTGCTTCAGTGATACCCTTTCCTTTCCCATTAAGGCTGGCAGAAGCAAGAAGCTCCAAGATCCCCCACACACTAGAGCATCACAGCTAAGGATGCAGCAATGCCCGGGATCCACAGGATCATTTCAAAAGCAAGAAAACAAGACAAACTAAAGCACTTCATACATTTAAAGGCCAAAGGTACCAAAAAAAGAAGGTATCAAGTACAAGCTGTAATTATCATTCTAGTCCACAGAGACAGCCACAGTCTGCTGCCCTTCATGGTGCCAAACTGGCTCAGTAGACAGTGCCAGGCAAATTAACATCCCTGCCCAAGCAGATGCTCAGAGGCCACAGTCAACCAATAAGCCTCAGGTGTGCTGCAAGTGTAGGTGGGGGAAGCCCTTGAGGGAGGCTCCAGGAGAGTCTGGATGGAGCACACTGCAATATGTGGCTGGGATGGGTAGGAAGATGGCTGTTAAATATGACATGGTAAACACAGATACTACCTCACTGCCCTGCTCTAATTGACACTAATGTGCCAGTAAAGGGCACATGCCCACAAGGAAAACAGGAGAAGAAATAACAGCAGATGAGAGAAGTAGGTAACATTTTGGAAGCTGAAAAGCAGATGGATGCAGGCACAGTACCTGAGCTAACAGACTAGAGAAGGCAGAAGCGTAGGCTGACAGGAGGGAGAGCCAATACAAAACAAGCCGATTTCCTATGCAGAACACAAAAGGGCTCGGAAAGTAGTCACCAGTTGCCTTGGAAGGTGGGGTGGTGAGCAGGAGGGCTGACAAGAGAACTAGCAGAGAGAGGAGCATTGAGACCCCTGCCTGGGAGCAGGCAGGCCTCCCCCCAGGCAGAGCATTGGGGACTTACTTTCTCAGTTCTGAACAGGAAGGTTGCCCTTGGGATGCCAGGCAGAGCTGACGGCAAAGGCGAGACTGAAAGTGAAGCACAAATGCTAAGACTCCAAACCCTGCTTCCTAGCCCCACCACACGTAGTGCCCAGGAGACTAGAAAATTCCTCTCTGGAGAAACTGTTCTGCCTAAGAGAAAGGACCTGAAGATACTGGCATCTGGCAGTCTCTTGACATAAATAGCCAGGTTTCTGCCCAGTCACTTGATGGTGAGGTCTGCAAGTCAGCAAGCTCACTAAGCTATACAGAAAGGTCTGTCAGCTTTTTGGTGCCTGGCTCTTAATAAGAAAATACAGCCAAGGATTACCAAAACTCAGAAGAAGGTTTTTTGTTTTTTTTTTGAAACAGAGTCTCACTCTGTTGCTCAGGCTAGAGTGTCATGGCATCAGCCTGGCTGACAGCAACCTCAAACTACTGGGCTCAAGCGACCCTCCTGCCTTCTCCTCCCAAGTACCTGGGACTACAGGTATGCACCATCATGCCCAGTTAATTTTTTCTATATAATTTTAGTTGGCCAATTAATTTATTTCTATTTTTAGTAAGATGGGGTCTCACTCTTGCTCAGGCTGGTCTTGAACTCCTAAGCTCAAACAATCCACCCACCTCGGCCTCCCACAATACTAGGATTACAGGCGTGAGCCACTGCGCCTGGCCAGAAGGACTTTTAAGACAGATAAAAACAATCAAAACAAAAAACCTGAAGAAAAGATAGCATAGGGAACAGAAGGAAGCTTTAAAAACTTTCATAGCCTCGGAGAAGGCATCGTATTCAGAAAACAAGAAGAGTTACCAAGAAAACTCTCAGAAATAAACAAGTTTCAAGAGAAGGACAAGAAGTCGAGATTAAAAACTAGAAGAAAGGTGGGCATGGTAGCTCTCGCCTGCAATCCTAGCACTTTGGGAGGCTGGGGCAGGAGGATGGCTGGAGCCCAGGAGGCTGAGGTTGCAGTGAGCCGTGATGATGCCACTGATGCCATTGTACCAGCCCAGGCCACAGAGTGAGACCCTGCTTCAAAAAAAAATTTTTAATACAAAAAAAAAGAAAAAAGAGAAGAAAACTGGAGAAGCTGTTCCGAAGATCTAACATCTGTGAGAGTGACCCTAACAGCTTTCTGAGAGAAGGAAAACACACAACCAGACATATAACATACAGAGAGGAATCAAAGGGCATTAGATTTCCAAGCAGCCTCACTGGAAGCTCCAATGTTAATTCTAAGGCCCAACCAATCTACTTGACTGACCAAATGTAAAGTCACCTAAAGATTTACAAACATTCAAAGTCTTAAAAACTTTCCCTCTTACATTCCTTCTCTCAGAAATCTAATGGAATATGTGCTCCATCAATATAAGTGACCAAGAAAGTAGACTTGAGACTGGGAAATGGAGGATCCAACACAAGAAAGACATCCAGGGAATCCACGGGGCAATGCCCAGACAGCAAGCAGGCCAGAGCAGAGCGGGAAGATGAAGTGCTAGTGGGGATTCCACTGGGGAAAGACAGAAAAATGAACTGAGATTACCTGACTCTACTATGTTTATGGTTACATGAAGAATCTGGAGAGTAGAAATTATTAAATGTACAGAAAATCATGCAAAAGCAACAAGGCAATTATTAATTCCAGGGAAAAAATTTTTACAAAAAAGAAAATGCAATCATAGTACACTCTATGTCTCTGCTGAACAATACTTATACAGTTAAAACAATGTAGCACTGGATATTAATTTAACCCCCAACTTGTGCTATTACTGTATGGCAAGGATGGTGGGAGAAGAAACAGAGGGATGGGGTAGAGAGTGGAGTATGTAAGAAAGCTAAGTCCTCAACTTCTGTAGTAGGAACAGGTAATTAATGATAATCAGGAACTTCCTACATAAACTATTATTTAGAAATATGAAAGTAAACAGTACAAAGGCTTTGAAAGGGGCTGCCTTCAAGGAATGGAAACAGGAATTGTGTGCAGGAAGACAAGAGCAGGTAATTGCTGTTTTTCATAATAATTTAAATGTTAACTTTGCTAAAGAAAACTTTTCTAAATTGAAAAAAGGTATAATTTTAGAAATTTGAGAAATTTAATCTTTACATGCCTGTTTTCCCATATATATAATAGGAATAATACCTCACACCATGACTAAGGTGTGAATAAATAAAACATATGTATAGTACGCCTAACACAGAGTTTGCCAAAGAAAAGCTGGTCTATAATCATTCTTTCCTCTCCACTCCCACAAAAAGAATTAAGACCTGGCTACAAAGAGGACCTTACTTTCTGTGACACAGCACCTGGAAGTCCCACTTCACTATAGAAAGAAGCACAAGCCTCTTCATCCTTACTTGGTAGGGAATTTACAATAGCTAGGTTTAAACACAGATATCTGAGTGGGGCCATGGGTTCATGAGGACACGGGGTGAGCACTTCCTGAAAAGCTCTTTCCTGGGATGCTGGCCCAGCCTACCTTGCCTTACTAGCCCCTGGACAATACAGTCTGGTCTGGTCTCCCTCTACAGTGCTCACCCTGAAACTTTAGATGCCAACTCCCACCCACCTTTGGAGCCCAGATCTGTGACAGGGCCCCACCAAGCTCAGTCCAATTCTGTGGCCCCTGCATTCTGAGATCAGAATGACAAGGCCTGCTTTTCTATATGCTCTGACTCCGACCACTTGCTTCTCAGTCTCACCAGGTTCCTAGGCCCAGGGACATAGAACCAGACCTGAGAGCTTTAAGAAAAAAAAACAGGCACTTTCTGTACTCCCAATGGGGAAGATAAATACTGGCCAGGAGGCAACTCCAAGTTTTCAATTCTTACTTGTTCAGCCGAATGGCATATTCCTTTAGGGCAAACACATTGTCAGCAAAGACAATAATCTTGTCATTCCTCCTCTCATGAAACTTGATCAGAAACTGGCAAGCCCTGAATTTGTTGGGGTTCATGGTGTACAGCAAGATTCGTTTCTTGGTTTTGATTGCCACGTACTCCCGGTAAAACTCAGGGGACATTGGGCACCAAACCTGTGAAACAATAAGAGTCAGGGGTCATTCTTAACACCATACAATTAAAAATTCTTGAAGCCCCTTCACTTGGCAGAATTAGCTTTAAAACAAAACAAAACCACTGGTGTGTGAATTATATTTCACTGTAACTGTCAAACTGTAAATATGCACATGCATAAAACAAAACTAAACCAAACCAAACACTTAATGTTGAACAGTCTCACATATTAATAATCACTTAAAGACTTTTAAATGTAATCATAACCAGGGAATTATTTTCACACCAGCTGCAAGTAAGGGAAACAGATTCTCAACTAGTGGTGCCAGTAATTCCCCCATTCAGACCACACGTCCACACACTCGTCAGCACTGCTACTAGGAACTGGCCTCTACACACATACACACTTCCCACCAGGGCCAGGAGTGCTTTAGTTAGGCTCCTCGTGCCATCAGCACATAGCCTTTCACTGCCAGGTTACCAGGCGGCAATGTGGTATGAGGATCCTTCATTCAGCCCTGTGCCCTGAACCCTAATCCTTACCCACAAAAATCTATGACTGGTAAGCTCAGAGGCTAGTATAAAGAATTGTCTCAAACTCAGGGGTATGGTAGGGTAAAGAATGGAAGGCTACTGCACATTTATTCTAAATGATGTGAAAGCACCACTGGATGTAAGAATTAACAATCCAAGAAATTGCACAGACAAGCTCCCTGATGACCAGGCCCAGCCAGGCCTGCTGTCCCCACTGCCTCCCCAGGCAGCTGGGAAGGGTCTCTACCTTGGCCATGAGGGAGTGGCTGCCAACTCAGGCAGACATTCCACAGTACATTAACAGACTATCTGTCATTAAAGATAAACTGATCCATCTATCCCAACTCTCCAACACTATTTGTTTTTCTAAGTTTACTAATAATTATATAAAATAAGACTTTTGTACATCCTAAAATCATCTCAAGTTCCAGTGAATAAAAAGTGGAAGATTGGGAGGCCGAGGCAGGCGGATTGCTCAAGGTCAGGAGTTCGAAACCAGCCTGAGCGAGACCCCGTCTCTACCAAAAATAGAAATAAATTAATTGACCAACTAAAAATATATATACAAAATATTAGCCGGGCATGGTGGCGCATGCCTGTAGTCCCAGCTACTCGGGAGGCTGAGGCAGTAGGATCGCTGAGCCCCAGAGATTGCGGTTGCTGTGAGCCAGGCTGACGCCACAGCACTCACTCTAGCCTGGGCAACAAAGTGAGTCTCTGTCTCAAAAAAAAAAAAAAAAAAAAAGGTGGAAGACCATGCAATGAAGAACCAAGAACATGCAAAGAACCAAGCTGCTTGCCTGAGCGTGAATCCTGGCACAGCCATTTATTGGTGTGACCTTCAGCAAATGACTAACCTCTTTATGCCTCAGTCTCCTATAGAACCACAATGCTAACAAGGGGAGAGGTGACAGAGAGGCGACAAGTAGAGCTGTTCCGACAGCGTGGGTACCCAGGGAGGCTCGCTGAAGGCCTGTCAGTGTGTGGGCTCTGACAAGTCATGGTCCCTGCTCTGCTCACTGCTGCTGCCACCCACACCAGAGCAGCCATGCCTCAGGGCTGCCACCAACAACCAATATGACACATTCCCTCAAATCTTTGCTCAAATGGACCTCAGGGGGCCTTTTCTGACCACTCCATTTAAAATCCCACTCCCTTTAAAATCCCACTCCCAATTTAGTCTGAAGATACACCTCAAGCAACACAAACACACACAAGGAGATTCACTGCAGCCTTGTTTATCATCGCAAAATGTTGGACATCTAAATGCACAAACACAGGAGGCAGGTTGTATAAACTATGGTATGGCCACACAATGGCATACACTGCAGCTATACAGAAGAGTGAAAAAGACCTCTATGAAATGATATGGAGTGATTTCCAAGATTTGTTGTTAAGAGAAAAAAGCAAAGTCCACAAGAGTGTCTACAGTATAGCTATCTTTTGTGTAGGAAAGAAAGAGAAATAAGAAAATGCGCACCATCTGCCCATTTTTGCAAAAGAAATACAGGAAGAATCAACAGAAATGATGAGTGTGGCTCAGGGGAGTGGTAGGAGGGTGGGAAAGGGTGATGCTCCTCAACGCAGACTTTTGTATGGTTCAGACTCTTAGAACCACATCATGATGAACATAAAATATCCACAAGGATGAAGGTGGGTGGCAGAAAAATGGAATAAAAATAAAAACAAATGAACTTAAGTAAATTTCAAAGGAATATCATAACCATACAGAATTGGGGGCGGAAGAACCAAACTAAATAACTTTTTTTTTTTTGAGACAGAGTCTTACTTTGTTGCCCAGGCTAGAGTGAGTGCCGTGGCGTAAGCCTAGCTCACAGCAACCTCAAACTCCTGGACTCAAGCAATCCTCCTGCCTCAGCCTCCCAAGTAGCTGGGACTACAGGCATGCGCCACCATGCCCGGCTAATTTTTTTTTCTATATATATTAGTTGGCCAATTACTTTCTTTCTATTTATAGTAGAGACGGGGTCTCACTCTTGCTCAGGCTGGTTTTGAACTCCTGAGCTCAAATGATCTGCCCGCCTCGGCCTCCCAGAGAGCTAGGATTAGAGGCGTGAGCCACCACGCCCGGCCTAAATAACTTTTAAACAGCTAAAATACAGTACTTGGATTTTATACCCTCAGGCCACAGACAAAAAAAAATATAACCAGATATTGAACTCTATTTTTATTTTTCATAGTGGTATTGTTTAGCAATTTTGAAACTCTTTTATGTATATTCTAGGATTAAGCAAATAAGGAAGTCTCTATTATGAATAATGGAAGCCAAGTTTCTCTCTGAGAAAGGAATTACAAATATGGAAAGATGGAAAGTTCAAATGAAATCTGTGACATTGGATTACACTAAAGTTATCACTATAAATTTGTGCTTTTTATTATAGACAGATGACAAAATAGGTATAGATGTGCGTATATGCATATATATACATGCATACACTCACACTTTCTGGCCCTGTCCTCACCTGAGTTAGCAGACCAATGGCATCCTTGTAGTAGTGAACACACCTAGCACCCAGACCTTGGTTTTTAAATTCCATTCTCTACTAAAAGGACCCAGGATTCCTTGGAGAAATGGCTGAGTCCATGGCCAGGGGAGGGAAGGCACCAGATAAGCCTGAAATAATCTTGCTCTGCCAGAAAGCAAGGACATGCTCAAAGAATGGCATGTCAAATGGACACAGTAGCCAGGTAGAAAGGTGTCCCACTGGTCAAATCTGGGGTAATCTGAGCATGTAGGTAAGAACAATAATAATACTCCCAAGGGCCCCTCTATGCTAGATCCTATGCTTGGTGCTACTCATAAGCTAAAGGCAGCTCCAGCAAATATACTGTAGCGCCATGAGTTCCAAAGGTCTCAAGGCTATATACAGATGCAAATGATCCTCTCAAAGCTTTGCATGGACACAGACCACAAAGCCTGTGCTGACACACTTTGAGCTTTTGGTTGTGACCAGCACTACTTCAGTGTGATCATTACAGTTTCTTTATGTTGCCACCCTTGTGTAATTATGAGCCATCAGTATATGCCAAACACTGTGCTGAGCTCAAATCCACAGGTGTTACTGCTGTTACATTTTCTGGCTCCCTCTGGGTGATATCCTGTTGAGATTTTATTAGAGTGTCCAGTTCTTTATAGCCAAAGCAATTCTTTATTCACAGTAAAGTCTTTAAAACCCTACATTTCACAGAATATGAAACACAAATGGCCCATAAACATGTCATTAATAAACAGAAAAATACAAATTCAGACTATAAAGGGATATTTCACACTTATCAGATTAGCAAAAATTAAAAGAAAAAATCCACTATTAGGTGTTGGAGGAGACATGGTGTGACCGCGCTTACCCCTGACTACTGGTAACAGCAGGACAGGACTAGGAAACTGAACACCCACAGACCCTTCCACCACCAGTGTTGCTCCTAGGTACATCTGCAAGGCAGTGGCTTCCACACTTAGACTGCTTTACACCACAAACCAAACACACACACACACACACACATACACTCAAACAGTTTTATGAAACAATACATACCCTTACTAAGTATTATAATTCTGATAGATTCTAGGCTGGTCACAACCCACTAAAATGTTTCACCACCCTACTGTGGAGTCACAGTCGACAGTGTGAATCACACTGCTTTAGAGAAACTCTTACACAAGGGCCCTAGGAAATAGGGACAAAAATATTTGCAGCAACAATGTCATAATAGCAAAAAAACCCTAAGCTCCAAATATGTAGAGACAAAAAATAAATCAGTGGTTGCCTAGGGCTGGGAGCAGAAGCAGGGATCACTGCAAATAGGCATGAGGGAACTTTCTGGGGTGGTAGAAATGGTCTAAAACCAGGTTGCGGGGACAGCTGCACAACTCTACATCTACTGACATCATAGAATAGTATACTTAAAACAGGTAAATTTTATGGTGTGTAAATTATACTCCAACAAAGCTGTTAAAAAACAGGCAACTTAGCAACTTAAATGTCTATCAACATTAGAAAAGACTTTACTTTTACTGCTGGGTAGTACCCCATCATATACATCACACTGTGGTGTATCTGTGCCATGGACTACTACGTAGCAATCTAAAGGAATAAACCACAGCTCCTTGCATCATCAAAGGAATAATGCATTAGGCAAGGAATATAAACACTTAGAAAAGACAGAAGTCAAACAAGAACATATATAAACTCATCCCCATTTACATAAAACTTTTTTTAAAAAAATCAGGAAAACATATGTTAGAGAAATATACATAGGAGTTAAAATAATAAAGAAAAGCATGAGAATGACATATATAAGTTACATGACAGTGGTTACCCCTTACAGGCAGCAGAGACACAACCAGAGAGGAGCAGAGGGCCTCAAAGGTCTGGCAATGCTGCTGCTTAAGCTGGCTGTTGATCACAAAGATACAATCAAAGGGTAAGCACTTTTTTCAAGAGAGCAAGTCCATTTGCACAGGTTCCTCCCACTTACCTTTATCTAAGAGGTCTCTTTTCATCACCTCAGGACAAAGGCACCCTATTCTAGCCAATGAGTGATAGTCATTTTAAGGTGGTAGAAAGAATTTTTGTTGTTCCATCTGAGATTAACCTTCACATATGGATTTTTTTGCATACACTTGTACAGGTATTCATTATAGAACCATATGAAGAAAGTGTGCTAGAAAGAAAATGATCAAGGTCACAGGCTGCCTTCTTGGGGCATCAAAACCAATAGGCTTTCCACTGGGAGTGACCAAGGAGGCTGCCCATGCAGAACTCCCCAGAATTCCCTTAGGGTAGGGTGGGGGCAGGAAGCGCTCAAGGAGTTCACTCACAGCAAGGAAGAGGAGCAGGGACTTTGGATCCAATGGCCTGGACCAGCATCTTTATCACTGACTGAGATCTCGCACAAGGGATTTTATTCTGCTCATCTGTGAAGTGGGTATAATACTGTCCCTTTCACAGGGTAACCGAGGGTACTGCATGAGGTAGCAGCAGGTTAGCCTGGGCCCTTACCTGTGTATCTGCTCACAAGGAATCAACCTGATCATTTCCCTTTGTCCAAGGGAGGAGTCCTTCCCTCAGACAGCCACCCAGCCTGAACCCAGGTACCTCAGCACACTGGACTTTGGCGATGTAGCCGTTGTTCTGCAGCTCCATCCAGTTGGCTTCGTATAGCTTAGGCCCAATCAGAAAATTTAAGTCCACGATTTTGTCATCTTCCCGGACAAGGGTTGCAGTCAAACCCAGCTTGCAGTGGGCCTGCACGATGGTGAGCACCCGTCGGAACATCTTGGCTGGGGAAACAATGGGAGCATTCACTCTGTCACTTTTTAAAATGCTCAAGTACCATACCCAGCCTTGCCACTTAATACTGGCCTGTGACACCACATGGGCTAACCCCTGAGTTTTGGGACCATGGAAACCTGGCTCTAGACAAAAATGGCTAGTAAGAACACTTCATCATCACTTTTAGACCTGTCCAAAAGACAACAAAAAGGAGAACAAGAAAGAGAAATGACTTTGAGGAAGCTCCAAGTTAGAGAACCACAGCATTCTCCTCACGACAGCTAGGTTATCAGCAGAGCACAGATGGCAATTTGAAACATGATTTACAACATTTACGATACCATTAAGCTCTAAATTATGCACTTATTTCATTCACCCTAAAACTTGTACCTAGGTACAAAAAAGACATTTGGGGACCTGGAGGGGGGAGAGAAATGAAAGGAGCCAGTTCTGCTCAACTTCCTACCATTTTCCCAGAAACCAGGGAGAAAGCCAAGCCAAAGAGAGAAGAAATCGCAGGCACGCTCTGCCCCAAGCAGCCCCGCCCACTCCAGCAACCCTGCCCAGCTTTTAAAAATTCTAATACCCCAAAGGAAGGTTGAGATGTTTAAATCATGCTTATCTTACAAAATAATTAAAGGTAGAGCTGATGATACTTCAGCAAACAAACAAACGCAACAATCTAAGGAGGCCAGGCGCGGTGGCTCACGCCTATAATCCTAGCACTCTGAGAGGCAGAGGCAGGTGGATTGCTCGAGGTCAGGAGTCCGAAACCAGCCTGAGCAAGAGCAAGACCCCACCTCTACTATAAATAGAAAGAAATTAATTGGCCAACTAATATATATAGAAAAAATTAGTTGGGCATGGTGACACATGCCTGTAGTCCCAGCTACTCGGGAGGCTGAGACAGGAAGATTGCTTGAGCCCAGGAGTTTGAGTTTGCTGTGAGCTAGGCTGACGCCATGGCACTCACTCTAGCCTGGACAACAAAGCAGGACTCTGTCTCAAAAAAAAAGAGAAAAAACAAAAACAATGCAAGGAAAAAGAAGCCAGAATGCACCAAAACACAAATCAAAAACGTTAAGAATGTTAAAATAACAGACAGTTATCTAATGCTAAGTATATGTGTAGTTTTTACAGTTTCACATACTGAAGCTTAATAGTTGGCACACACACCATGTGCAAACACAGACAAAAAACACACAACACACAAAACAAACAAAAACAGTCTCAGAACTATCTCTGAGGAAAGACCGTGCTGGTTCCAAAAAACAATAGCCAAGGACCACAAACCAGGCTCCCCATTAAGTTAGAGGGACATAGCAGCCAAACTAACGGGAACGCCAGGGAAGCAGCACATTGACCCAAAGGAAGGATGAGGCAAGACCCTGTCTGGACACCGGCAACTTCCCTGCAAACCAGTCATTATCCTTCTATTACATCCTCCTACAGCTGTAACAGCTGTCACAGGTGAATAACTCACATACAATGCAGTGCACAGCTCAACACATTTTTCCACAGGCACACACCTACAGAGCCACCCAGATTAGGATATGAAGCGTTTTGGCACCCAGAGGTCTCTCCCTGACCCCTCCTGTCAATGACCAGCACCAGTCTCCCCTGAGGGAACCACTACTCTGACTTCTGTCATCAGAGAGGAGTCTGCCTCCTTTTTGAACTTCATATAAATGAAATCACAGTACATACTTGTGGCACTCAACATTATGTCATGGTTGTCATTTGACATATATTTGTATGATCATTTGACTGTCCCTCCCACTGTCTCCAGTGCCAACCACAGTACTCAGACTTGGTAGGTTCTCAATAAATACCTGTTCAAATGATGAAACTGGCACAATGCCCAATACACAGGAAGCACTTAATATATGCAAGTACTATAATACAAATTTTCTTATTAATAAAAGACCTAATAGAGTTCCTTTTGAAAAGTTTATACAAGAGCACAGCAATCTTTACCTTCTGAGATAACTCTCTAAGATGGATCATTCTACCTAACCCAGCGTGGCCGACATCTAGCAGGCAGGAAACTTATCTCTGATGGACTAGCATTTCTTTATTTTCTCTCTGGGCCAGTAAGCATGGCTAGGTCATAGAGCTTATGAAAGCTCAAACTCAAAATCACTTAGGGGCAAGCTGGTTCAACCCAACCAAAGACAAACTTATCCAGTGAACCAGATGAGAGAAAAACATACAGACACACATCATAATCAGGAATGGTGCGGGGTGCACCTTTACACCCTTGTCATCAGATAACCAATCCCAAGTGTGTGCTGCCACCCACTGGGACGCAGAACATAGTTAACGTTAAAGAACATCAACATACACCAAATATAGAATAGAGCAGAAAGCCTCAAGCCCGCCCAAGCTTCAAACACAGCCTCCAACTAAACAGCTACAAAGCAATCAAACTTATTTGTAGGCAGTGATTCTCTGTATCATCATTTTCAATGCTAGCAGACCCAATACCCACCCTTCCTTTAATCTTTTTTTTTAGTTTAGTTTTTAAATTATTGCAATAAAACTGACATTTTGGGGGGTCAGTGCTATGAATTTTAACCTGAATACATTTGTGTAGACATCACCAAACTCAGGATACAGATCTACCCATCACCTCAAAAAACTCCCCCATACTCTCCCTTTATGGTCGCACGTCGCCAGTTTCCACCCCCAGTAACCACTAATCTGTGGGGCCAGCATTATATTGTCATTGTCTTTTCCAGAATGTCATGTAAATCAAACCATACACTATGAAACCTCTTGAGACTGGCTTCTTTCACTCAGCAACACGCCGCCTTTGAGATTCACCCAAGTAGTTGCATGCATCCACAGTCTGTTCCTGTCTACTGCAGAGTGGCAGTGGTGTTCCAGTGTATGGATGGCCCACAGTTTATTTATTCAAATACTCACTTATCGGCATTTGAGTTTTGGAGATTATGAACAGAGCTGCTATAAACATTCATGTTCAGGTTTTTGTGTTAGCCTATTTTCATTTATCTAGGATAGATGCCCAGGAGTGGGACTGAAGGGTCATCCAGTAATTTTATAATAAACTGACAAACTGTTTTCCAGAGTGACCATGCACTCTGCAATCCCTCCAGCAATGTGTGACAGTTCCAGCTGCTCTCTGACCTCAACACTGGATGTCAGTATTTTTTACTTTAGCCTCTAATAGGCATATAGGAGCATCTTGTGGTAGTTTAAATTTGCATTTCCCTGATGGCCAATGACAATGAACCCCTTTTCAAGTGCTTATTTGGCATCTGTGTTTCCTCTTTTGGAGAAATATCTATTAATTTATTTTGCCCATTTTCCAACATTTTGCCATTGTCTAAATGTCTATTAGGCAACTCAAATCCACATGTCTAAAGCCTAGCTCCTGATCGTAACCCTCCAGACCTGCTCCTTTGACAGCTTTCCCCATTTTGATTAATGCCTACTCCATTCTCCTTTTGTTCAAGCCAAAAGCCTCAGTGTCATCCTGGATTTCTCTTTCTCTGATCCCATACCCAACCTGTCAGCTGAAGCGTCACAAGATAGATACCCAGAGTCCAATGATACCTTCATCCTTCCTTCATTCTCACTGGCTCAGGCCTCTTATTGGGATTCCACAAACTCATCTCTTTGCTCAAATCCCTTAGATGGCTTCCTATTCACTCAGAGTACAAGCCAAACTCTTTACTATGGTCTACAAGGCCCCAGAGAGCTGACCCAATACCTCCATCCTTCCTTAGCCTTGACTACTCTTCCTATCCTCTTCTCTGGCTACATGGCCATCCAGTGCCATCTGAACATTCCAAGAACTTTCTCACCGCAAGGCCGGTGCCCTGTTGCTTCCACCAGAAAGACCCCTGATCCCTACACCTAGCCAGTTGTAAACATCTCTAGGCATTTTCAGAAGCCCACAGGTACTGGAGGAGCTTGCATTACACAGAAAGAACCAGACACTAGGGCCATTTTGACATTTTGAAAGCTGTATGTGAAAATGCCTCAGATTTAATTTTATTCAGAGTAAATTCTATTTTAGATTTAATTTATCTTAAACAAATCAATAAAAGAAACAAACTACTAATAAACGCTACCACATGGAGGAACCATTATGCAAAGGAAGAAGCCAGACACAAGAAAACATATATTATTATGATTTTGTTTATATGAAATTTCCAGAAAAGGCAAATCTATGGAGACAGAAAGCAGTTCAGTGGTTGCCTGAGGCTACAGAGAAAAACAGGGACTGACTACAAATGAGTACGAGGGAGATGTTCTAAAACAGAATCATGGTGATGGTTGCACAACTCCAACAAATTTATTAAAACTCATTGGACTGTACATTTATAACAGGTGATTTTATGGTTTGTAAGTTAAATAAATAAAGCTGCTAAAAAGAAAAGAGTTTGCCTGTGATACTCAGAGAAATAGGGTTTTTATTACATATTGACTAAAGACCAACATTTTATTTATTTATTGTTATTTTTGAGACAGAGTCTCACTTTGTTACCTGGGCTAGCGTGCCATGGCGTCAGCCTAGCTCACAGCAACCTCCAACTCCTGGGCTCAAGCGATCCTCCTGCCTCAGCCTTCCGAGTAGCTGGGACTACAGGCACATGCCACCATGCCCAGCTAATTTTTTTATATATATTTTTAGTCGGCCAATTATTTTCTTTCTATTTATAGTAGAGACAGGGTCTTGCTCTTGCTCAGGCAGGTTTTGAATTCCTGACTTTGAGAGATCCGCCCACGTCGGCCTCCCAGAGTGCTAGGATTACAGTGGTGAGCCACTGCACCCGGCCAAGATCAATACTTTAGCATTTAAATAAAACACAACACCACTACTGCAAAGGCTTTTCCGTGCTCCTAGCCCAGTTTTCACAGGGCCATAAAAAATAGGTTAAGGGCAAACTGGGCTGCAACAATAAGAAATATGAAGGAAGGAAATATCATTGTCTTACTGAGTACTCTGAGCCAGTGATTAAGGAAGCTGTGACTGTATACACCCCCATCCCTGCCCCAAACTTAAGAATTATTTAAAAGCTTTACCCAGCAAAAATTATTATTATTATTATTTTTAAAGTATTTAAAAGCTTTACTAGCCAGTTGGGTGGACTACACAACAGTCCCTCCCCTAACCCAACAACTGGAAATCAGTTTTCACCTGTACAACTAGTGGACAGCTCAGCTTCAGCCTGCTTACCTGGTATGGTGTGCACTTCATCCAGGATCATGAGGCCCCACTCCTGAGTTTTGAGCCACTCCATGACTCGCTCAGCCTCCCAGGATCTTTTGGTGGTGTGGCCCAGCATGGAGTAGGTGCTAATGGCAATGGAGCAGCCTATGGGCTTGTCCTTGGCGTCAGAGGTGAAGCGGCAGATCTGGCTGTCATCGATGGTGGACCACATCTTGAATTGAGCTTTCCACTGTTCCACAGACACCGCTGAGTTGCCCAACACCAGACAGCGTTTCCTAACAGTGCATGCAGCAGTCACACCAACCAGGGACTTCCCAGCACCTACAAGAAACCGGAGGGCAAGTCCACCCAAGGCCAGGTTGAAACAAAGGACAGGGACAGGCAGAATGAGTCATTAGCATGGGAATCTAGGAAAGTGTCTTATAACAGTCCTTACAGCTGACATCTAGGAGGCACTTAAGTGCTCCAGAGGCTGAGGTAGCAGGATCGCTTGAGTCCAGGAGTTTGAGGTTGCTGTGAGCCAGGCTGACGCCATGGCACTCACTCTAGCCTGGGCAACAAAGTGAGACTCTGTCTCAAAAAAAAAAAAATCAAGCTATTCCTTTAAACGGAAATTCTTCTTTTGCCATCAAAATAACCCACAGAGCTTTGAAAAAAAGAACCTCCTTGGCTGGGCACAGTGGCTCACACCTGTAATCCCAGCACTCCAGGAGTAATCCTAGCACTCCAAGAGGCCAAGGTGGGAGAATTGCTTGTGGTCAGGAGATGGAGACCAGCCTTAGCAAAAGGGAGACCCTGTCTCTACTAAAAATAGAAAAAATTAGCTGTACATGGTGGCATGCACCTGTAGTCCCAGCTACTTGGGAGGCTGAAACAGGAGGATCACCTGAGCCTAGGAGTTTGAAGTTGCTGTGAAGTATGCTGATGCCATGGCACTCTAGCCTGGGCAAAAGAGTGAGACTCTGTCTCAAAAAAAAAAAAAAAAAGAACCTCCTCTCCCTGTAGACTTTGTCTCTGTAAATCAAGGGTGGGCCCCCAGGTGAGTCTGTCATGGCTTCTCGCTGAGAACCTAGGCCAGGATCTGACATTGCTGAGGACAAGAGAGGTCAGACAGATGCCAGGGAGCTGCTACCACCTTTTCTTTGTTTTTTTTGAGACAGAGTCTCACTCTGTCGCCATGGCACTTGAGCCAGGGTCACAGCCTAGCTAACAGCAACCTCAAACTCCTAGGCTCAAGCAATCCTTCTGCCTCAGCCTCCTGAGTAGCTGGGACTACAAGCATGTGCCACCATGCCCGGCTAATTTTTTCTACATATTTTTAGTTGGCCAATTAATTTCTTTCTAGTTTTAGTAGAGACGGGGTCTCACTCTTGCTCAGGCTGGTCTCGAACTCCTGATCTTGAGTGATCCGTCTCCCTCTGCCTCCCAGAGTGCTAGGATTACAGCCGTGAGCCACCGCGCCTGACCTGCTACCACCTTTTCTTAAACTTGCACATCATAAGAAGCCATCCGGGAACAAGGAAAGTTTCTGTATTAGGGTGTCTCCAAATACACAACTCCTAAGACTGATTTCAAGAACAAGAATCTACCTGCTACATAAAACAGCCCCTTGCCATCTGCACAGGCTCACCTCTCACCTGGTCTATTTTTCTTCCCCGACTCCATATCACCCAAGATTTTATACATTGTTTAGTCAATCTGCTTACCATCTGTCTCTACCCCAGTGGAATGAGCTCCATGAGATCAGGAGTGTTGTTCTGGCCACCACTACACTCCCCGTGCCTAGGCCAGGGCCCCACACACAGCAAGCACTCAATAAATATTTGTCGAGTCACGAATCAGGGGTGTTGCCTGACCCTGGCTATTTCCTAGCAAGGTGCGATTTAGGAAAAGGTGCAGAAAGCAAGTTGGAGGCAGCTGGCAGATCCTGAGCAGCCTGGCCACCTTCTTCCTTCACATATCACTTACCACAAGGAAGAACAATGACCCCCGAACGTGCACGCCCATTCCCAAACATCTTCCGCAAGCTCTTCTCCTGATAGGGTCTGAGGACAGCTGTGGGTTTCAGGTCAATGTTGATATCAGGGTTGACAGAATCATTCCGGAAGTCATATTCTGCCAGCAGAGGGTATTCTAAGTGGATACAACGTTTCTGGAGCTCCTCAATCATTTCCTGGGGAGTGAACAGGAAGGAAGTTTTTAAAATCTTATTAACTCCAATGAATGCTCAAAACCACCACATATTCCAATGGGCCCAACTGTCAAAAAAAAATGGCATTTTATCTGGACTTCCACAATTTTAGATAATGCTTGGTAACAACTGGGTTAAAGCATAGAAAAGCAACCCAAACCAACAACTCTGTCATAATGAAATCTAATCAGCAGCCAAACTGACCCTCTGCCACTGTTTCTCACATCTCCTTGGGAGCTTGTGAAGACCAGCCTAGTAGGCTGAGGAGGAGGACACGTGGATCCAGCTCCATCAGAAGAAATGATGCTGGGCCTGGCCCACCAACACCAAAAAAGGAGAAAGCAACTCAGAAGTTGACAGAGATCCCTTCCTTGCACACAGACTACAGGAAGAGCTGACAGACGGCTGGACTGGCTTCTGACACAGGTTTAGTGAAGGAACCAGGAAGGGACATTCACTGACCTGCTTGACTTCAAAAGATACTGTCTGTGTCTCTTCTTCTTCTTCTTCATCCTTGTCCATTTGCTCATAAAAGTCAAACAGATCTGTGGGAATGTCAGATTTACCCTGTTGATCTGTCACTCGAGAAGTGGAGGGCCCACTGCTGCCTTCAGCAGTCTTAGAAATCTGTAAGAGAAAGGTAGGCTCTGGACTTGCACATCATACTTAATTCTGTTGTTATCAAGCAAGGGTTGAAGTTGTAAGGGGGAGAAAACAGCAGGGCTGTTAGGAGGTTGCAAGTGCTGGATAAAAGACACCTGAGCTGAAATCCTAAATGCCCACCCCCCCAAGGGTGACCCAGGAGCCCACATACGGCAGATTTGCTTGTGAAAGTCTCTGTGATGAGCTCGGTGGCCTCCCCTTCAGAGTTCCTCAGGCGGCATTCTCGGATCACTGGGTCCTGGAGGAGATGCTGGATGACATCCGGGTGGGAGCTTTCAACAAAATACCTACAAGCAGGGGAAGAAGATGGTACCTACTGACCAGTAAGCACTTCTAGACGATTCCACTACTCATTCATTAGACAGTCTGGAAATAGAATCCTCATGACTCTCCCCACTCTCTCACTACCGCCAACCCGTTGCCAAATCTGAGCTATGAGCTGATGGCCATAATATAACTTGAGAGTTGTGGGTAAAGCCCCACCTTGAAATTAAGTAAGCAGGGGTCTGAGCCCCAGCTCCACTGCTACGGGAAATACACTGGCCAGCGAATGAATTTCTAGTCTGGGCCCATTTCCTGTTCCTTATCTGTGCTTCAGGGTACTGAGAAAGAGGCACAGACAGTCCATAAATGTTACTAGTGTCTTCCACCTGGCATACAGAGGGTGAAAGTGTCTTGGGACAGACCTGTCATGGAATCTCCTACCTGTTGTGCTTCAGGACCAGCTTGACTTTTCCATAGCTGACAGTACACAACTACAAATAGAGACAATACCAAACAGGCAAAGTGAGCAATGAGCAGCTAGCTCCCTCAGAACACGTTCATACAGGTCCCATCTCACCCCTACTAACCAAGTGAAGAGTTCATTTCACTTTAGGAAAAGCCAACCAGAAATCCTAAAGGGGTCAGATCTGCCTAAACTGAGCTATTTCCATTGGCCTTTGCTTTCTGCCTGGCTAATTCTGATGCATATCACTTAACTTATAAAATACTGCTTAATTTCCCTTGTATTTTTCCCCTTCTCTCTCCGTTTCCACAGTCTCCACCCTAATCTGGAGTCTCATCCCGCCAAATCTATTACTACAGCTCCCAGCACACAGTATGTGCTCAGTAATTGCTGCATAAGTAAAATGCAAAGCCTCCTGACCTCTTCACCAATTTTATTTCTCAAACTAGAACATAAGTCTTCATGGCAGAGAAAACAGCTTAAATCCTCCCATGTTCCTAACAATCTTTAGAAAGGAATGCAGCAAAGGTTGTGTGTAGCCATGAAACTCAGACCAGACCTTGGGTGGCTGCCCACCCCACTGCCGTCCCTTTGACCCATCAAAGCACAGACCAGCACCTACATTCCTGCAGGCAGCTCCCAGCCAAGACTGGGCAAAGCCATGATGCTGATGCGGCTCATTCCAGCTAGGTGCATCAAAACTTAAAAGTTCTGATCAACTTTTAAGTTGATCAAAAGCTGGCTACCAGCCGGGTGTGGTCCCTCATGCCTGTAATCCTAGCATTCTGGGAGGCCGAAGCGGGCGGATTGCTCCAGGTCAGGAGTTCAAAAATAGCCCGAGCAAGAGCGAGACCTCATAACTACTATATATAGAAAGAAATTAATTGGCTAACTAATATATATAGAAAAAATTAGCCGGGCATGGTGGCGCATGCCTGTAGTCCCAGCTACTTGGGAGGCTGAGGCAACAGGATTGCTTGAGCCCAGGAGTTTAAGGTTGCTGTGAGCTAGGCTGTCACAATGGCACTCACTCTAGCCTGGGCAACAAAGCAAGACTCTGTCCCAAAAACAGACTCTGTCCCAACACACAACAGCCAGTGTGTTGGTCGGCACACTGGCTCTGCAATAGCCACCAGAACTCTCCCTATGGCTCCCATAGCTACTGTGGGATTGGCTGCAGTTATGATACTGGATGCCTATGGTACCCTTCTACCACTCCAGATTTGGGTCTGAACCCGACTCCCTCTAGATCAGCCAAAGGCAAAAAAGGTACTGTCCATCTCTCAGAAGAAACCCAAGCATGTTCAACCACAGTTCACATGGAACTCTCTCCACTTCAACATTCTTAGTTCTTTTTGACTTTCTCTGATGGAACCTGTTGACTCTCGGTCTTACGCAGGTATTTAGCCTTAGATGAAGTTTACCACCCATATAGCCAGCTTGGGCTGCCATAACAAAAGATCATAGACTGGGTGGCTTAAACAATAGAAATTTATTTTCTCAGAGTTCTAGAGGTTAGAAGGTCATGATCAAAGTACCAGCTGATTTGGTTTCTGGTGAAGGTTCTCTTCCTGCCTTGAGGACAGTCACCTCCACCTTCTCACTGTATACTCACATGACAGGGAGAAAAAAAGAGAGCTCTCTGGTATCTCTTCTTATGAGGACAGTAACCCTACTGGATCAGGACCCCACCCTAAGGACTGAGTTTTGTCTCAATTACTTTCATATTCCACATACAGTAACATTGGAGATTAGGGTTTCAACATATAAATTTCAGGGAACACAATCCAGTCCACAGCACCACCCACTTTGGGCTGCATTCCCAAATAACCCCAGCCAGAATGGGCCTGAATAAGTATGTTATTCATACTTATTCGAGTATGGTGAGGTACTAACCTCACCATGTTAGTACCCACAGCTAGGACCAGCTTGGGAAAAGTTGGTCTCAGCCATAACACAATGCTGGATCCAGAAGGGTAACAGCTGGGATAATCAGTTATTATGCTCCCTACAGGAGAGCTAAATGGAACATTTTCATGGTGCCACAGGTTGACAACATGTAACCCCTATCCCCGCTATTACCACACTACCAAAGCAGACGGAATTACTAGCCTCAGCCCCCACTTGCCTTAATAAACTGAATAATTCCATCAGGGACTCCTGTCTTGCTGAGCTTCCTGAGGTACTCAGTGATGTCACTGGTTTGCAGCCCAACACTGACAGCTGCATACAGGGAGTAGGCAGTTAGTTTGTACTCATGCACATGGGTTGGTCGGCACACTGGCTCTGCAATAGCCACCAGGAAGTCTTGGGCATATCTGTAAACTGGAGAGAAGGCTTCCAAGAAAATATGGCCATCAGGAGCCTAAGAAACACCAAATGGACACAACCAAGAAAGAAATTAATGAGTTGCAGAGACTATTAAACTCTTTCCCATGCCATTAGGAAGAAAGAATAAACTGCCCAACACCAGAGATATTTTTGCAAACCCTCCTTCAGACAACTGGGAGGCCTGTTACTTTGATCAGATATAGAGGAGTAGACAAAAAAAGAAAAAAAGGTTTCCAAAGTCAGTAGCTGTTTCCCACTACTTGACTAGGGAAAGCCCACCATACTGGCTATCCTCAAGTAACCCTTTGGCTAGACTTCAACTGAATGTAGAACATTAATGATTTTAAGTTGATCAAAAGCTGGCTACCAGCCGGTGTGGTGCCTCATGCCTGTAATCCTAGCATTCTGGGAGGCCGAAGCGGGCGGATTGCTCCAGGTCAGGAGTTCAAAAATACCCCGAGCAAGAGCGAGACCTCATAACTACTATATATAGAAAGAAATTAATTGGCTAACTAATATATATAGAAAAAATTAGCCGGGCATGGTGGCACATGCCTGTAGTTCCAGCTACTTGGGAGGCTGAGGCAGCAGGATTGCTTGAGCCCAGGAGTTTAAGGTTGCTGTGAGCTAGGCTGTCACAATGGCACTCACTCTAGCCTGGGCAACAAAGCGAGACTCTGTCCCAAAAAAAAAAAAAAAGCTGGCTACCAATATGTCTCCCCTTAATTTTAAAAAATGGGGGCTGGGCACGGTGGCTCACGCCTGTAATCCTAGCTCTCTGGGAGGCCAAGGCAGGAGGATCGCTCAAGATCAGGAGTTGGAAACCAGCCTGAGCAACAGCAAGACCCCATCTCTATTAAAAATAGACAGAAATTAATTGGCCAACTAAAAATATATGCAAAAAATTAGCCAGGCATGGTGACACATGCCTGTAGTCCCAGCTAATCAGAAGGCTGAGGCAGAAGGATCACCTGAGCCCAGGTGATTGAGGTTGCTGTGAGCTAGGCTGATGCCACGGCACTCTAGCACGGGGAACAGAGTAAGACTCTGTCTCAAAAAGAAAAACAGAAAATAATTTTACATGATAAATGCTATTTATTGGGCAGCCTAAAAGTACCTCCAAACATGGGGTAGGGCTAGAAAGGGAAGGAGAGTAAATATAGACAGAAGCTCAAGTCTGACCCACACATGAGTAGCCACTCATTCCTACCTCTGGCTGTTCAAACGTGTTGGATGAAAGCTGTCTCTTCAGTGTTAGGGGGAGTATCCCACATTTCAAATGTGGCTTTGGGAATGTCAAAGGTGTAGCTGCCAGTCCACAAACTCCGGGCCTGCCCTGCCTGAGGTTACACTTACCACCCACAGGGGCCTGGAGGTGTGGTCGTCCTTCAGAGGCATCTGCACCCTGTAGTCCTTGGCTCCATATTCATCTACTTTGGTGCTCGACTCATCCACCTGCTTCCCGGCGGCCGAGGGAACCGCTTCTTGAGAGTCGTTCCCAGGGGCGTCGTCTTCATCTTCTTCCTCATCCTCGTAGTGCCGCTTCTTGGACTTCTTCTTGTCTGCAGAAACCCACACAAAAGTGAGGCTAACAGGAGCCCAGGATTCCCTCAGCACTGCCTGGCGACATTTCACCCACGCCACCAACTCCTAGCCCAGCGCCTCCCGCATCCCGCGGGCATGGCGTCGCTCAACCACCTCCTACCCAGCCCAGTTAGCCGGGCTGCGCCCAGCTTCAGCATCTCCCCCCACAGCGGGCCCGGCGTGGTCACGGGAGGGCCTGCGGGCCGCCGCCGAGCAGCTCTGTCACAGAGCAGCGAGCACACAGAAGCCCGAGCGCGCCCGCGCCACCTCTCACCGCGGTCGGCCCTGTCTCTCTTGCCCATGACAGCAGCGGCAGCAAGCAGCGCGAACAGCGGAGGCCGAGGCCCCACCGCAGCTTCGGCTCTCAGAGGAACTTCCGGCTCACGTAGGAGGCTCTTCCGGCGCCCACACAGGAAGTCCCGCCTCTGGGCATCGGGCCACGTGTTGTGAGTTTTTTTTTTTTTTTGACTGAGTCTGGCTTTCTTGCCCAGGCTAGAGTGAGTGCCCTGGTGTCAGCCTAGCTCACAGCAACCTCAAACTCCTGGGCTCAAGCGATCCTCCTGCCTCAGCCTCCCGAGTAGCTGGGACTACAGGCATGCGCCACCATGCCCAGCTAATTTTTTCTATATATATTAGTTGGCCAATTAATTTCTTTCTATTTATAGTAGAGACGGGTCTGGCTCTTGCTCGGGCTATTTTTGAACTCCTGACCTGGAGCAATCCACCCGCCTCGGCCTCCCAGAGAGCTAGGATTACAGGCATGAGCCACCTCGCCCGGCCTGTGTTGTGACTTTTCGCTGGGCCATCTTCAACCCTGTTCATTCCTCTAGAATTTCAATGAAATACTGTATTTATCGAGCATCCGGGCAGTGAACAAATTAAAGGTATAGTCCTCCTGGAACTTGAATTCTAACGGAGCAAAGAATTAACGGGGCTGAGAGTGACTGGCAGTACCATTCTAAATAGAGTGGTCCCTTAATACATCCTGAAGTGGTGTTATCTGAGCAAAGATCTGAGGAAAGTGAAACAATGTCCTTTATAAGTACCAAGGGAGGAGCAGTGCGGAGCGCGCATTCAATTAGAAACAGGGCGGCAGCGTGGCTTGGGGGGAGGGGCACTGTGCAGTGCAAGCCAAACACAGGTTCTCAAAGCGGGGTGTCCTGGCCGCAAAAACATCACATGGAAACCGGTTAGAACGGGTTATAAAGGCAAATGCAACGTGTCTGGCGGCATCCCAGACCAATGGAATGAAAAAAAAAAATGAAGGTGGGGCCAACAGTCTTGCCCTCCAGATGATTCTGATGCTCATGGTTGCGAACTGCTGATGGAGAGCCTTGTAGGTAATGGCAAGAACTTTGGGTTTTATTATGAAATGACAAACCACAGGAGAGTTTTGAGCAGAAAAAATGACAATCTGATTTAGCATAAAAAGATTACACTAGCTGTTCTTTTGAAGATAGACGTTACAAGGCCAAGGTCAGCTACTGCAGCAGTCCAGTTGAGAAACGGCTGGCTTTCCCCGGGTGGGTAGGGGTAAAGATGATTGATGAAAAGTGGCTCAATTCTTTATTTTTTTTCCCCGGGAAAATATGAGAGTACAAACATTTTGGTTACATTTTGTATCTTTGTGTCTATCTTTGTGTCTCCCTAGCAAGGGTTAGAAGTATGCCCCTCCCCTTCACAATGCTCCCCGCATCCCTCAGTTGTAAGTCTACCCCTCCAATCCCTGGAGAACACCACCAAAATCTGAGCACCATAGTGTTTATCAGTCAGTACCAATTTGATGGCGAGTACATGTGGAGCCCATTCTTCTGATCTTGTGTCACCTCACTTCAGATGATGGGCTCAAATTCATCCAGGAAAATATAAGCGGAAAATATAAGCTAGATCACTATCATTTCTTATAAGTAATATTCCATTGTCTATATATACCAAATTTTAATAATCCACTTGTGAATTGACGAACACTTGGGTTGTTTCCACGTCCTTGGAGTAGTGAATTGTGCTGCCATAAACATTCAGGTGCAGATGTCTTTATTATAGAATGTCTTATGCTCATTTGGGTAGATGCCTCATGATGCTATTGCTGGATCCAGTGGTATTTCTATTTTTAGCTCTTTGAGGTATCTCCAAATTCTTTTCCACAGAGGTTGAACTAATTTGCAGTCCCACCAGCAGTGTAAGAGTGTTCCTGTCTCTCCTTGCCAGCATTTGTTGTTTTGGGATTTTTCAATAGAGGCCAGTCTCACTGAGGGGTTAGGTGATATCTCATTATGGTTTTGATTTGCATTTCTCTAATGATTAGAGATGTTGAGCATTTTTTTTATATGTTTGCTGGCCATTATTCTGTATTCATTTGGAAAAGATTCTGTTCATTTCCGTTGCCCATTTATTGATGGGGTTAATTTTTTTCTTGTTGATTCTTTTAAGTTCTAGATAGATTCTTATTATCAGACCTTTATCAGATGTGTAGAGAGCAAATATTTTCTTCCATTCTGCAGGTTGTCTATTCGCTCTAATGATAGTTTCCTTGGCTGTGCAGAAGCTTTTTAATTTGATCAGATCCCATTTGTTTATTTTTGTTTCTGCTGTGATTGCTTTGGGGGTCTTCTTCAAAATTCTTTTGTCTAGGCTGATGTCTGAAAGGGTCTTCCCAACATCTTCTAGAATTCTTAAGGTTTCATGCCTTAGGTTTAAGTCTGTTATCCATCTTTAGTGGATTTTTCTTTTTTTTCTTGAGACAGAGTCTTACTCTGTTGCCCCAGCTAGAGTGCCATGGCATCAGCCTAGCTCACAGCAACCTCCAACTCATGGGCTCAAGCAATCCTTCTGCCTCAGCCTCCTGAGTAGCTGGGACTACAGGCATGTGCCACCATGCCCGGCTAATTTTTTCTATATATTTTTAGTTGGCCAATTAATTTCTATTTTTAGTAGAGACGGGGTCTTGCTCTTGCTCAGGCTGGTTTCCAACTCCTGACAAGCAATCCTCCCGCCTCAGCCTCCCAGAGTGTTAGATTATAGGCGTGAGCCACCATGTCCAGCCTTGAGTGGATTTTTGTGAGAGGTGAGAGGTAGGGATCCAGTTTCATTCTTCTGCATATTGCTATCCAGTTTTCCCAGCACCATTTATTGAAAAGAGATTCTTTTCCCCATTGTATATTTTTGTCTGCTGTATCAAAGATTAGATTACCATATACAGATGGTTTCATCTCTGGAATCTCAGTCTTCCCGACTTCAAGCTGTACTACAAAGCAATTCTTTTATCTATTTTGTAGGTAGAATAGATGAGATTTGCTGGCTGACTTGATATGGTAAGTGAAAGAGAGGAGTAAAGGGTAACTCCAAGATTTTTGGCTTGAGCAACTTCGAAAATGATGATGTACTTGGGGAAGGTACAGGTTTGGAAAATAGTTTTAGACATATGGAGTGGGAGTGGCTGTATTCGTCTGCCATAACAAAATACCACAGACTGCATGGCCTAAACAACATACGTTTATTTTCTCACAGCTCTGGAGGCTAGGAAATCCAAAAATAAGGTCCAGTAGGGTTCAGTTCCTGGTGAGGGCCCACATCCTGGTTCACGGATGGCCACCTTCTTGCTGTGTCCTTACGAGGCATAGAGAGAACTCCAGTGTCTCTTCCTCTTTTCATAAGGACACAAGGACTGTTGGATTAGGACCTCAACCTTTTGTCCTTTTATCCTTTATTATCTCTTCACAGGCCCTATCTTCAAATAGTCACATTGTGGGTCAGGGCTTAACATGAATTTTGGGAAGGATGCAATTCAATCTATAGTAATGGCCTATTAGACAATTAAATGAAGTGTCAAAAAGGAAGTTGGATATGAGACTGAAGTTCAGAGACCTAGAAATAATGAATTTTGGAACCAGCAACATATCTATTGAAGCTATAGAATTGGTTGAAATTGCCTAGGGAATAAATGTAGGTACAGAAAAGGTCCAAGGACTGGAGACATTTCAGAGTGAAGAACTGAAAGCTTAAGAAGAAATTGTTAAACAAAAAGAACCAGAACTTGAAGATTTGGATAATTTTTCGCATACTCATATTGTAAAAAATGAGAACATATGCTCTAGAGAAAACACTAAGGATGTGGCTGGACAGACATTTATTTGCAAGAAATTAGGTATGTGGCTTATAGATCCAATCAACCATCTCAGCAGAAACCCTGACAATTTGGAGTGAAGAGGCGGAGATGACATGAAATGAAGGCCGACTGTTGGACTTCTGGGATTCTACAGGTAGGAAAGGTATGATAGAGCAGTTGAGGTCAGTGTGACTGCTTCTGCCACCACACGCCTTAGGCCATCTCCTTAGTTCTGAGGGCCACAGCCCCAGTAAGCCCTGAGAACAGAGCATCAAGCCAATGCAAATTATTCTCAAGCCTTAGAAGCTAATGTAATTTTCCCTGCTTTCAGACTTGCTTGGGACCTGCAGGTCTTTTTTCCTTCCTATTATTTCTCCCTTCTGGAAAGGAATGTCTATTCTCTGCCTGGCCCACCATTGTAATTTGGAAGCAGATAACTTGCCTGGTTTCACAGGTTCACAGAGAGGAATTTTGCTCCAACATGAATCATACCAAGTCTCAACCATAATTGTTTTTGGTGATTTAGATGATATTTGAGCTGACATGAGTTGATGCTGGAGTGATGGACTTCTGGGGATATTGAGATGGGGTGAATATATTTTGCATGTGGGATGGATATGAAGTTTTAAGGGCCAGAGGACAGACAGCTATGGCTCAAATTGTGTCCCCCTTAAAAAAGATATCTTGAAATCCTACCCCCGGTACTTTAGAATGTGATCTTAATTGAAAATAGGGTCTTTACACAGGTAATCAAGTTGAAGTGAGGTCATTAGGGTGAGCTCTAATCCAATGCCTGGTGTCCTTATAAAAAAGGGAACACACACGGGGGAACACCACATGATGATGAAGCAGAGATTAGAGAGATGCTGCCACAGCCCTGTGGACACCTTGATTTCAGACTTAGTATCTAGAACTGTGAGAAAATAAATTTCTGTTGTCATAGTACCACCATTTCTTGTCATAAGCCACCTAGTCTGTGGTACTTCACTACTACAGCCTCCACTGCTGGACATTCAGATTTTCAATTTCGAGCTTTTATGGGTACACCATACCAAATTCACAATCATTTTTAAAGGATTAATTTCTTTTTTTTTTTTTTTTTTTGAGACAGAGTCTTACTTTGTTGCCCAGGCTAGAGTGAGTGCCGTGGCATCAGCCTAGCTCACAGCAACCTCAAACTCCTGGGCTCAAGCAATCCTCCTGCCTCAGCCTCCCAAATAGCTGGGACTACAGGCATGCGCCACAATGCCCAGCTAATTTTTTTTCTATATATATATTAATTGGCCAATTAATTTCCTTCCATTTATAGTAGAGACGGGGCCTCGCTCTTGCTCAGGCTGGTTTCGAACTCCTGACCTCGAGCAATCCGCCCGTCTCGGCCTCCCAGAGTGCTAGGATTACAGGCGTGAGCCACTGGCGCCCGGCCTTAAAGGATTAATTTCTAGATATAAAATTGCTAGGTCACAGGATATACAAGATTCTGAGGCTATTGACTTGCATTGTTAAATTGTCCTCTATATGAAAGTATTAATCTAAATTATCTCCAATACCATGTGAGAGACCATTCCTCACACTCAGTAGGTAAGATAATAAGGCTTTGCATTTGTTTTTAATCACCATGAAGTTCTGATTTGGGTAATCAAGATGTCCAAAGATATACTAGAGAAAGTTGAGTGGAGACTTATTGAAGTGAGACTTATTATTTTTTTTCCCTTTTTTTTTTTATTTCGGCATATTATGGGGGTACAGATTTTAAGGTTTCAATAAATGCCCATTTCCCCCCCTCCCGAGACTTATTATTAGATACTGGAAATACTCAGTTTAGTCTCAATGTTTCTAGATTAGTGTGTACTTTGTTTCCTAGACAGTGATTAACTCAAGCAGGAGGGGACAAATGCAAACACACAGTGTCTAAGAACAGATCTGGACAAACCAATCACAGTGGAAATAAATATCAGCTTTATTAACACTCAAAGTGCCATTCATTTATATTCATTCCATAGTCCAGAAGGTTACTTAGAGTAAGCCTTTGCACCACAATCTTTCAAAAAAATGAACATGTAAGAAAAAGCAATTTTCATTGTGCTAATTATTGCAGGCCTTCATGCACGTAAATCTAAACAAAGATGTGTGCCAACAATATACAAATTTCCATATAAACAAAGTCATTGATCACTAACAAAATATAAACATGGTTTATTTTATATTAGATTTTAAAAAAAAGCTCTTTATCAGCAAGAAAAAACAAGTACATAGAAATTATAAAACTCAGAAATTTTATACATTTTTACAAGCACAATTTTGAATGAACAACTCAAAGTCAAAATGTGCATGAATGTGGCACATACCACACTATCTGGCTTCTGGTAGGTTCTTCTAATAACACCAATTCCTTTTAACATAATAAGCTTAGTGACATTCAACTTCAACAGAGGACTTTATTCCTAACGCGAATAATTTTACATGGTACGGCATATTAAAAAAGTTTTCTTTAAGTACAATAACATTGTTAGATTGGAAATTTAATTTCCAATTCTTTTTCTGCCAGTTACTTAAAACACACAGTACAGTATAAAGACAAAACAATGTATGTTTGGACATTTCTAAACCAATTTCTAGTCAATTACAGAGAATCACAATATGCCAATGTATTGTTTTATAAACTGAGTTTGACGTTGCCTAGTAAAGGAAAAGATAAAAGTTGAAATCTTTTGGAGTAGAATAAAGGAAATACTCAAAAACAACAGGACAGGCCAACAGCAACTAGAGATATAAAATCTTGACATCTCTTCAAACAATTTAGTTTCTCACATTTTTTTCATAGCTCTAAGAATTCAAAGGCCATTTTAGTGGACAGTGTGTTTTTGCTACTGCAAAAAAATTTTATTTCTCTCAATTTGCATTTCACAGAATTCTCAAAAGAGAATTCAATGCTTTTCCTTGCAACAGTATTTTAACTGAGCTCTAAGTACAATTTGTGTCCAATTCTGGAAATACAAATACATTTCAAATGATTAAAAACAAAATTAAAAAAATATTTTTGATCAGCCAGCTGAAAATATATTTATATAGTAAATAATCTCTCAGAAAGCTTTTATATATATTTAATTATCCTAACTAAATAGTACCCTTATAAAACAAGTTCATAAAAATGTAGAAATGAAATGAAAATAAGAACTTACTGGTATATATACATGTGCCTACAGACAGAAAAAGACATCTCCACACAAACACACATACCCTGATACAGAGTTACAAAGCAAACTTTCAACTTAGTAATGGATTTTAGAATACATTATAAAATTAGAAAGTAATGTTGAACTCCTGAGTTCTTCAACAAAGATAGAACCATAGATAAGTATACTTTGTAAAAGCAAGAAGGTCCATTTAAGTCAGTAATAGCAGTGCAGTTACATCTTGAAAGAAGTTAAAACAGAGACACAGACAGTAGTTCAATGCACGCATTCATGATGCTCATACACTCATCAACAATTATTGGTCAGAGTAGTAAATCAGTGTACAAATTAAAAATTTCCCAAAATGTGCAAAAAAGTCAACCTTAATAGGAAAAAAACCCTTTGTATATAATTATATAAACTGCCCAGCATTCAACTGAGTAAAAACGTTTACAGAGAGAAACCAACAGATTAAATATAGAGAATTTCATGGCTACATTTAAAAACATATATTAAGTCAAAGGGTAAATTTATAAATTGATAACCATAGTTTGCAACAATTAAAAGTTTATTCTCAAATTTATCCAAGTTTACTTTATTTACAATGAATAAAAAGAATCATGTGAAATGTCAGAGATGTCAGACATTAGAAGTATTTTTGGTATTAACCCTTATAATATTTCAGAACGTAGGGTAGAAAATTTTAAAACCAATAGCAATAGAAAAAATGTAAACCTTTCACTTACTAATTAAAATTGCATTAAAACAATTGTTTGTTTTTAAAGAAGTATTCTTATCTTTAGACACTGTACTTTCAATTGAATAGGGTATATTGCAAGGGTTTGGCCCACTTCCCTTTTGCCTGTAAGCCTTTCCAGCCTTTCCAGCTCAAAGGTTCTACTAGTCCTCTCTTCTTATTCCAGGTGGAAAACAATCTTTGGAATAATATGTCAAATCCATTTTGTAGACTAAGTACCTAATAGAGTTTAAGATGTAATTTTGTTACTTCTCTCTCCAAGTAATGCTAATGCTAAAATCACTAGTTACATATGCTTTTAAAAAATAAATTCTAAAAAAATATAAATAATTGAACACAAAAGTGCTTTTCAGTACAGTCATGAACTTTACTATTCTCAACTGGCATTAGGGATTCAGAAATCCTTATTTGGGGACAAATCCTGCACATATACTGGAGAGCAGACATTTCCTTATGTTCCAAAATGGCTATGGCACAAAGCAGAGGTCAGTCTGTAACCTACTTTTCTTCACAGCTTTGCTTAAATGCCCCTCAAGTCAAACATAAGTTCATAAATGTTAAGACACTAGGAAGAAACTACGTCACCAACCTGAGGCAACAGGTATATCTATATCAATGTGTATCTATGTGCACCTATGGTCAAGTGATGTTAATAAGATTGGCACGTGTATAAGCTTAAGTTTATAATGTCTATATAGTTCCTTAATAGAAGTAAATTCTGCATGACTAAATGCAAACACTGAGCACCTGTCCTTTTCCTTGAAGGATAGACTAGCATATAAATTCTACTAGTACCTGCTTTATCATTTTTATACTATTAGCTTACAAGTGGGTAAAAGTAACAGTGCTAATAATTTTGGCTATGAGTGCAGAGAATATGAAAGCTTTGGTTTAAAGTGATTCTGATAATACAGAGTGTGTAACAAACAAGAAGTCATTAGGCAGAGGGAGTAATAATACTAATTTAATGCCTTTGCTGTTATTAACAAAAATGCCATATGACTGTCAATTAAAATGCACAATTATGAAAAATATGAAGAATTATGTAAAAGACTGTGTATAGGCAACAGATAAAAGTTATTCTTTTCTTACTGTAGCTTAGACTCCTCCCTTACCTTTCTGAAGCTCAGCCTTTACTGCTTGCATTATCACTGAGAAAAGAATCTCTAGGTTCCCCTGAGAGCTCATTACCATCTACGGCTCTGAAAGGTGAGTATGGGAAATGGGGGGGTGCCTGATACTTCCCACACCTGTCTATCATGGTATCCCATCCAGACCATGGCAGAAGTCAAAGCCAAGCTAAAGACGACTGAAGTAGGAGCAGCACACCTTCCCTAGCCAACCAAAAAGAGGTATAAGAAAATTTCCTTTTGAATACTTGGTAAACTAAGGAAGCTTGTTTTGATAATGTCTGGCAGAATTTCTGTTTCAAAGAGTTCATGAAGAACTGTGTAAAATCAACTACCTCCTATTTAAGAATTATATATAAGCTTATTATTATACACACACAAAAACTGAATTTTAATCTACTTTTAGCAACCAAGAGCATGGCAATTTACAGTAAATACTTTTATTAAACAATCATCAGTACTAGCTACTCCTGGAAAATGTACTGGCATTCCTACCCAAGGATGAGTATAACTATCCATCATCAGAAGGTCATACCTTTTTGAGTTGTTCTTCCAAAAACAGGGACTGATCTAATTGAACACTCATACCCTCCCTCCTTCCTTCCTACAGCTGCTTCAACTCTAAACACCATACACAAACACACACTTCACAGAAAAGAAAGCTAGAGTATTAGTCAAAACATTAGCTAAAAAGTTAGGATTAGAATTCGCTGTCCCTGGATTTCTTGCTCATTGCTCTAAGCCTCACTGCCTCAACATTTGTAAACTATTTGAACCACTTCTTTAGGGCAAAAACAACCATTCTAACTCTGCTGTGAAAATCACAACTGAACTATGATATATAAAGAACTTGGACGGTGCCAACGTTGATTGAAAATCAACCTAGAAAACAATTTACTATGATGTCTCTTTAGAATGAGAATACCTCTTTCTATGTTAGGAATTCACATCTAGTGGAGACTGCAGTGCATCTATCACAGACAAATGCTAAAGTTTCTCTCCTAATGTTACAAAACAATAAATAAATAAAAAAGGAGGTAGAAAAGGGTAGGAGGAGGAACCAGGCATTAAGAAATGTTTTAAGGGCCAATACACAGCCTAAGGCCAAATGAAGTCATGAAGCCTACTGATTTTGGAAAAAAAAATCTTCATTTTGATGGGTAACGAATTATTATTAATATGAAATAAAATTAAGGCATACCGAGAAAAAGGCACTACTAAAAATTAACAATTGGATTGCTTTTCATTAACATTTAACCAATCTTCAAAATATGAACATTACATTTGTAACAAAGGCCAAACTTAAAACAATATTGAAAAGAAATAACAAATTGAAAATAAATTATCCTGATCTTAGCATAAATAACACTGTTGACAGAGTTCAGTTTCTATCAGTTTTGGGTATTTTCACAATTTAGACCAAGAAAACATTCTTCTTTAAAAGAGACCTCTGGGGGAAAATGCTGTTAAGGAATAAATGCTCCCCCATCACTGGAACTGTCTGAGTAGAGGCTGGTTTGCAGTAAGAGGGGTCCCGAGAGAGGCTATGTGACTAGGGCAAGGGGGAGTCCCCGAATTTGAGGATACCTTTATTCTATTCCTGGTTGTTAATGACATTTCAGTTTATAACAGCCAATAAGTACCCAAAATTGTTTTTCCCTTACTTCATAAAAAATAATCATAACATTTTAAAACATCATTGCTGAACTTTCAGAGTTAGGGTATGCCATAAAGTAATTATCTATTTGCCCATATTCCTCCTAGACTGTCACCTCCTCAAGGGTGTTAATTTAGTACCTGATACAATAAGTCACAATTATTGAATAAGCAAATGAAAAAGATTCACTTGATTTATAAAAAGGATAGATTTGTATATTTGATTGACAATGGGTGATTTTTTTCATCAAGCTGTGGGTTCCTAGACCCCAAATGAAATAATTGGCACAGAGCTTTGCCATGGACCAAGGAATCTCCATCTGGCTTGGTTATCCTGCTAAACAATTCAGATTTGACTTTTCTTTCTTTGTAATTTCACTTCTAACAACTCCATCTCAGAAACACTAGAGAGCAAATCTAACACATATATAAGAGCTGGAGCAGCAGAAAGCTAAAGAAATAGTTTCACCTTTTTACTGTAGTTTCTATTGGGAACAAGATAAAAGACTCTCTCAAGTGAAACCCAATTCAAATTACTCTGAAATCAAAGTTTTAACTTTTCTTTTATAGTTCAGCAAGTGTATTAATATTTCAATTTCTTATATGCATTATGTAAGGGTTACTTGTGCCTTTTAAAACTCTGTAAGGCAATAGTCATTTTTTTTTAAGTCAGAAAGATGTTGTGTAAACAAATGCTGTAGATTTTCAAGATATTCATACTGAATTTTTCAGTCTGAAGTACTGAATTTTTCAGTACTTTTAAATATATTTTAAAGAATTACCAATCAATCGAAATTTCTATTAGTCATTATGATATTTCTTAACCCTTTAATTTGATACATTTTGTTTGCAATGTAAAAGATCTTATATTTGGTCCAAGCCTAAGTCATGCCAGCTTGAATCTCTCAAGGCCTAAGTAGAAAGATATTTCCTGAAAAGCACATATAAGACTGCTAGTGTATCTTCTCCAGCACCAAAAGGTCTGCCACTGTCAAAGCAGAATGCATTTTAAAGGCACAAAGTCAGCAGTCTAGCCATTTTCATCTTCAGCAAAGAAACATTACAGTATAGAAGAATCAGCTGTGCATTTAAGAAACAAAATACATTTAGAGTAATCCTAAAAGTTCAAATTTCATTTGTTGATCCATCCCATTATTTGAAAGAAGAAAAAAATGGAGTGTTACATTTAACTTCCCCTGATAGAGATGTTTTCTTTCAAAAATTTCTTTTTTTAAATTTACTTTTGGTCTTCCATACCCACACCCCCACCTTCAAGCTTTTTTGTTCTAGTAGTTTTTACATATATTAACTTTGATTGTGGTTTTTGGTACCTTCACAACTTGTTTGAAATAAATTCACATCATATTTTATTATAATAACTCTGTAAACTGTTAGTCTATTTTTAAGTCTTTACATAAAGAACATTACTTTCTTGTAGTTAATAATATTTTTCTTATAAAGCAAAGGCCTTCTGCAGCAGTGTTAAAGTAGTCATTTCTTTTCAGGTGCCTTTATTTTCTATAGCATTTAGAAAAGAAAAAGGAGACTGAAAAAAGCAGACAGTTTTGCTTTGGGTTCCACAGTCTCCACCAATTTCTCTAAAGAGTATTTGTGTCATATTCCGCACTGCTGGTTACCCTGACAGACCAAAAATGAGCCAAAGGGAAATCACAACCACACAAGACAAAGATACGAAGAAAAAGCCCACTGGTCCAGAGACCATGATCTTGCTCAAGTAGAAAAGATGCCCTCACACATAAAAGATAAAGAAATTATAATAGATCCACACACTTGGGGATTATGTTTCTAGCGCAAGATTTGGCAGTTGATTTACCAAGGTGGGAGCAGCTAATTCATGCTCTTCTTTGCAAGCTGCTTCATTTGATTTGAAGATACGGGAGAAGCACTGACAACTAATTTTGTGCTTTGATGACTTCTCAGACAAGCTAATGGAATTTCAAATATTCCTACAGGGAATGCCCGGTAAGACCTTGATACAGTAAACCAAGATCTACCTAACTTCAGAAACAAAGTGTAAAGAGTCCCTAAATGAACATACCTTTTGGCAGAAAATAAGAATATCTGAGTCTCCTATGAATCCCATGAAAGGCATCACATTTAGGGCCTCCAAGAAGACTATTATTTTCTAGACCTTTAAAAATAAAGTACCTGGCACTTGCTTTAATATGCTGAAAAAATAACTGCTGAAAAAACTGCAAGTGGCTAAATTACTATCTTCATGTTTTTCAGTAGTACAATTCCATTAGAGATAGTGGGACCTTTCCCAGCTGCCTTGTTCCATTTAATGTCCTTGTTGTTAGTGGATACATTATACTACAAATACCTGGAAGTTTCTGAACCTTTCTGTTAGTAGTTAATACTTTGTTTTGATATGCTTTTCTTTGCCCAAAATTATGAACTGACTTTTAAGGAAAGACTATATACAAATGGCTGAATTCAAAAGGTTTAATGTTCAAATTCCTTTTGTTTCTAAAATGGAAGAGTTACTGATTTGCGTGCAATATAAAGCTGGTAAGGAAGTGATTCCTGTTTGCTGTTTGTTCAGATCATTTACCCTTGACTTAAAGTAGTGGTATCTGCTCTTGTAAAATGGTCATTTTGCATTGTATCACTTTCTCTTTGAAATTTACTTTTTTACATTTACTGCTTTGTAAATTTCTGTTTTCAGTTTATAACTGGGATTGGTCTTTACATCAGTTAAAGACCTCAGCACTTTTGATATTTGGGGCAGAATAATTCCCCAGGGTGGGGTGCTTTCCTTGTGTGGTCTATTTAGCAGCATCCCTGGCCTCTCTGCCCATTAGATGCCAGTAGTATCCTCCCAGTTGTGACAACTAAAAACATTTCCAAGCATTGCCAAATGCCACGTGAAATTATCCTTGCTTCACTGTTAAAAACCACTGTTTTACATGATATCTGTTTTTCTGAGGTGTTTTAGTATTCTGTGATCCCAAGAACAAGGGTTTCATCTCATGACACTCACTAGCTTTAACACATAGATACTCTTGGCTGAACTATTAGTTCCTAAAGAATATTAATTATGGGAAATTAGGAGCTAAAAATAAGAAGAAAGTATCCATGATTTTGATTATTTCTCTATTCCTTCAATTTTGGGACTTTCCCCATCATAGTTTAAAATACACACAAAAAAATTTAGTTCTTTTTTTCATTATTTCTGTTGACTAGCAAATGTGGTCTCCTCTACTGCTCACACATTTAATGAGAACACTATCCTTTCATCTTTTACTTGAATTTGCTCATTGACTTTAAAATAAAATAGTATTTTTTTAAGCAGAAAGCCATCCCTCAAGGTTTATAGATTCCAGTAACATGGATCTATTATAGTGTTTGCTTATTATACTGGTTAGGATTAACAAACATACCTCTTAGAGATTCATATCTTCTATCAAGATTCCTACTGAGCAAAAAGCTTGGTAGACAGAGGTTAAGGATCTAAAGAATACAGATATAAGAAGGAACCTATATTCTTTAAGTTGAGTACCTACCCTAAACTCAAGTTTAGGGCTCAATCCCACATATGAGGATCTATTTTAAATACTATCACTAAAAACTACAAATTATACATCATTTTCTTATTTTCCAGGTCTCCCCATCACCACTAATATGTCAGTGATATAGGGAAAGATTCTACAATCTTTAGGTATTCCAAATGATTTGTTTATACTAAAAAGAGTGACTGTGTACTAAAGTGCTTTATCTCTCTGAACCACATCAGTACATTATAAAAATTAAAAAAAAAAAAAAAGAGTTTCAAGTTCTTGTAAGGGAAAAAAAGATTAAATATAAAAAATTTAGGTTACTACTATTATTAAACAAATTTAACCAAGAATCAAGAGAAATACTTTCCCTCTTGTCTTTTTTTCTCCCCTATCTCTCTTTTTTTATAAAAAAGAAAAGTGCAGTCAGAGAGAAGGTGAATGAATAGATAGGAGGTGGGTAGAGGCACAGGAGAGGTTACTGGCTGCTAGTGATAATGCACAAACATGTGCCTTAAGAGTTCATCAGCGGAAGGTCTCAGTTTGGCCTCTACAAAAATCCGTTTGAGGAAATCTCGAGTATTGTCTGAGACATGAGGTGGCAGCTTTGGGTTTGTTGGCTGAGTGGCGATTTTAAAGATGGCAGCCATTGCTTCAAACTCAGCCCAAGGTGGCTTTTCAGTTAGCATTTCTACCACAGTACACGCTACGCTCCTAAAAAGAAATACAACACAAACAATATCACCATAAAAGAAAGCTAGTTAGCTAGAAAATGAGAAACAGGAGTGTTTAAATACGACTTGATTTCAAGTTTAAAGTTTCAATGAAAAGTTGTAATTACATAAAACTATAATTAAAAATCAATGAAAATACGGCCGGGCGCTGTGGCTCACGCCTGTAATCCTAGCTCTTGGGAGGCCGAGGCAGGCGGATTGCTCAAGGTCAGGAGTTCAGAACCAGCCTGAGCAAGAGCGAGACCCCATCTCTACTATAAATAGAAAGAAATTAATTGGCCAACTGATATATATATAAAAAAAAAAAATTAGCCGGGCATGGTGGTGCATGCCTGTAGTCCCAGCTACTCGGGAGGCTGAGGCAGAAGGATCACTCGAGCCCAGGAGTTTGAGGTTGCTGTGAGCTAGGCTGACGCCACGGCACTCACTCTAGCCTGGACAACAAAGTGAGACTCTGTCTCAAAAAAAAAAAAAAAAATCAATGAAAATAAACCACAATTTAAAGACTGTCACTTAAATGGTTAGGCAAAGACCATTACTCATTTTATTATTTATATTTTTATATAATTATTCATTTTATTATTTTTGTTTTATAATTGGACATTAAAAATAATTTTTGTCTTTATCTTACAAAGAATACAAGCAATAGAAATTTTTGCCATCAGGTATCTAAAATGAATATCTATTAAAATCTTTTCTAAGTGGGAAGTAGAAAATGGCCATTTTATGTTCTAACTTAAAATTATTAAGCAATTAAAGATTAACTGAATTATAAAGCACTGACAAAGATTACTTTTAAAGTTCTTTAGGGAAATAAGATAGCTTTTTAATGCTATGGTTTGCTTAGGACCTTGATAATGGAAGATAGGTTCAAGGACTCTAAATATTTAGTCAATTATAAGCCTCAATGAGGCATAATTTAAAATGGTGTTAATTCCTACAATTCTTACATCCTATTTCAGAAGTACAAAAGACAATTTAAATCTGGCTTAGTAATTTCAATCCTGGATGGAAATACATAAGAAGGCAGGTAGTCTTCAGGCAAACCTAACATCAAAACCTACCAGATATCTGCTTTTCTGCCATATCCTTCTCCACTGATCACTTCAGGGCTCATCCAGTATGGTGTGCCTGTGACGGACTTCATTCCTGTCCCTGACAGACAGATGGTCTGAAGTCGTTTGCTGGCTCCAAAATCTCCCAATTTGACATTGCCTGTTGAATCTCGCAGGATATTGGCGCCTAAAAACGATAGCCTAATTTCAGTAAAATTACTAATAAAATTATTAGCACTCTGGAATATAGTATAAAAGAACAGCAGCAGAGAATTACTTAGTAGACTCTTCAGTATGTCTCCTAAATTAGGCTGATTTTCATCCTCCAAGCAGTATCTGGCATAACACCAGTCACACAGTGGGGGCTCATAAGGATATGCCACATGAACACTGAACTTTTTTTTTATTTCAGCATATTATGGGGGTACAGATTTTAAGGTTTCAATAAATGCCCTTCCCCCCCTGAACAATGAACTTTTAGTCAGCTGTGTGTGCTTCAGGTTCAGGTCCTAAGAAGGTTCTGCCACTGAAAAGGACTGGCACAGGTTGGAGGTGAGGGCGAACAGAGGAGAAAGATGGAAAGGGCTAAGGATAAAGCTCAGTGAAGGACTAAGAAAGCAAGAGCAGGCTCTTGGCCCCCAGTTCTCTGTCAAAGCAAGAAGCCCATGGTTAAAGCTTACTTCCCTGAGAAGCCAGCTTCTCAGGGGCTTTCTGAGGGACCTTCACAATCAAAAACTTCTAGCATTCCCCCTCCCATTACTTAAATATTAGTTCCCTTATATTTTAAAGTTTTTGTTAATATTGTTTTGCTTTATATTAATTTTACTTCTCAATTTCTAATATTTTAAATGTCTTATAAGCAACCTTTGAGCTTATAATCTGTTTTAAAATTTTTTACTTTTATAATAAAGTTTTAAATTTAGACAGCTTCAGATTTACAGAATAACTGCAAAAACAGTACAGAGAGTTCCCACATCCCCCCACACCCAGTTTCCATATGATTAAGATCTTAAAATAGTATGGTACACAATTTATCACAATTAGTGAACCAATATTAATCCATCATCATTAACTAAGGTCCATACTTTATTCAGATTTCCTCAGTTTTTCTCTAATGTCATTTTCTATTCCATGATTCCACACTACATTTAGTCATCATTGTCTCCTTATCCTCTTGGGTATGACACTTTCTCAGACTTTCCTTTTTTTTTTTTTTTTAATTTTTGAGACAGAGTCTCACTCTGTTGCCTAGGCTAGAGTGAGTGCCGTGGCGTCAGCCTAGCTCACAGCAACCTCAAACTCCCGGGCTCAAGCAATCCTCCTGCCACAGCCTCCCAGGTAGCTGGGACTATAGGCATGCGCCACCATGCCCGGCTAATGTTTTCTATTGTCAGTTGTTTGGCTAATTTCTTTCTATTTGTAATAGAGATGGGGGTCTCACTCTTGCTCAGGCTGGTCTCCAACTCCTGACCTTGAGCAATCCTCTCACCTCGGACTCCCAGAGTGCTAGGATTACAGGCATGAGCCACCGCGCCTGGCCTGACTTTCCTTGTTTTTAATGACTTTGACATTTCTGAGGAGTACTGGGGTCAGGTTTTTACAGAATATTCCTCAATTAGGATTTGTCTAATGTTTTTCTCATGATTATACTGAGGTTGTAAGTTTTGGGGAGGAAGGCCAGAAGTGCCATTCTCATCACATGATATTAAGGGCACATACTGTCAGCATCACTGCTGATGTTACTTTAATCACTTGGCTTGAGGTAGTGTTCATCAGGTTTTCACTGTAAAGTCCATCTCCCACCTTGGCCCCGCTTTCCATACTATACTCTCTGGAAGAAATTCACCATGCACACTCCACAATCAAGGAATATGGAGTTATGCTCCAGGCTGATTAGCTACATAAATTAATTGGAATTATTGTGTAAGAAAGATTTGGGTCCCTTCTCCCCTTTATTTATTAAATCATTCATTTATATCACTATGGACCTACATTTATTTTTTTTTGTTTTGGGGTGTTTTGAATACTTTCTTACTTTCTGGCACTAGAAGATGCTCCAGGCTCATCTTGTATATTTTCTGCACCAGTCCCAGAATCAGCCATTTCCCTTTTAGTGGAGAAGGGTATCAAAAACCAAGATCTAAGATCTGTGTACTAGGCTCATTTGGTTTTTATTCTCTATCTTCCCCTGTCTTTTGGGGGGGATTTTAAGTCTAGTTTCTGCCTTTTATAAATTACTTCTCTTCTCATTTTTAACTTTTCCTATAGACTATCTATTCTAAAATAAGCCATTAATTTTATTACCTAATTTTAATTTTTAAATTTTACTTCAATTCTTAAGTTTTCCATAACCTTAACCACATTAGATTCTTTCCTTCTGTGTTAGTATCTCTACTAAAATATATGTATACATATTTTGTGCTCTTACCATTTTTTTAAAAAAAAGATCTCTAAGAACAGTGAAGAAAAGCTACATTATAGACTAAAGAGAACATAGACTTTCCACCCCTATCATGAGCTTTTGTACTTATCTTTCTGTTCTTCCAGAAAATTCCCCAGCCTAATCAATGATGTTTCTCTAAAGCTTCTATCCAAGGGCAAGACCAGGACCCATTCTCTTTCTGCACACCTTAAGCCTAAATGTGCCACTAGTGATTCTCTAAAACAGCACTGCTTATTTAACATCTCTACAGTCTAACACTTACAGGAGGACTGTCAAAAAAGTCACTGTCTCTAAAATATTTAACCAGTGGAAAGACAACAAACAAGCCAGTTTTTACTCATAACAGAGACATGAGCAGGGAAGAAGAGTCTCAGGATTTCACAGATAGGGAGAGAGGAATCACCAATGCTGAACCAATGCTGGAGGCTTGATCAGATTCAGGTTCCTTTCTGGGGGGTTGGGGTGTGGAACAGACTAGATAGATGATATTGTATTCTAGACTATCTCCATTTTAGTGATGTCAGCAACTATTAATGTTTAGTGCCTTTATCTATTAGTTCATTATTCCTTCTTCACTCGTTAGCCAAAATACTTCTATAAAGATAAGTCTCTTAGGCCGAGCATGGTGGCTTACACCTGTTGTAATCCTAGCACTCTGGGAGGACAAGAAGGGCAGATCGCTCAAGGTCAGGAGTTTGAAACCAGCCTGAGCAAGAGCAAGACCCCGTCTCTACTAAAAATAGAAAGAAATTGGCCAACTAAAAATATATAGAAAAAATTAGCCAGGCAGGCATAGTGTTGCATTGCCTGTAGTCCCAGCTACTCGGGAAGCTGAGGCAGGAGGATCACTTCAGCCCATGAGTTTGAGGTTGCTGTGAGCTAGGCTGACGCCAAGGCAGCCTAGCCCAGGCAACAGAGTAAGACTCTGTCTCAAAAAAAAAAGATAAGTTTCTTTTCATCTACTATTTGGTCTTCTGTGGTATAGTTCATTTAAAAAAAAAAAAAAAAAAAAAGGGCAAAATAGAGGAACTAGGCTTTTGAAGTAAGTTGGGTCCCCAACAATAATGATCTATTCATTTTCATCTTAAGTTTTATTAAACTCATGGGTTTAAACTTAAAACGAATGAACTATCTTCCCTTTCTCTTACCATTTAAAAGTTGCTCATAAAAATTTGGGAAACATGGAAAAAGTCAAAAGTCTGCAGAAGAAAATAATTATCACTCATCTTGCCATTTGGTGATGAGCACTGTTAATCATACAGAAATTTTCCTTCCATGTCATACTTGATTTTTACAAACTTGAGATCATATTGCACATCCAATTTTTTATCTTACATTTTCCCCTTTTCAATATATTTGCCCTACTGTAATCAGCTTGCTTCCCACCTCTTTAAAATCAGCTTGCTTCCCACCTCTTTATTTGACCAGGATGGTTCATCATTCTTTCTGGCAAGGTTAACTACTCTATTCTAATGCCCATGCAATATGTAGGAAAACATGGGCTTACAAGTATGGTCTCTTAAACTTTATTGATTCTGTGAACCCCCACGGTGGAGTTATCCACTTGTGGGGACCTGAACATCAGAACTGGTCTCATGGAACATTGACAGAGTCCATGAGAAACCAAGAGAATTGTTTCCTTGTGGTATTTTAAAAGTAGATGTATTAATTTACACGTTTAAAGTTTTAACCATATCACTTGTTTCATTAACATTCACAAAGAACTGTGTACTTAAAAAATACCTCATTACTTACCTTTGATATCTCTATGGACAATCATATTACTGTGCAAATAATGGACACCCTCCAGAATCTGACGGGTGTATTTCCTAGTCACATTCTCAGTAAGAGCTCCATATGCTTTTAATTGGTCCTTAATTGAACCCTAGGATAAAAGAAAACAACAAAAGAACCTATTGTATGGTTTGAAAGGAAAACCACTATTAAAGCTTTATTTTTAAGAGACTCCTCATCATGTCCAGGAGGTTATATAGTTGGAGAGTGCAGGGATTCTCAGTGAACACATATTATGACATGCAATTGAACATAAAAGTCACCTGTATTTCCTGACAAGAACTGTGGAAGAGTATGGGTTACAGCTGAAGGAAGCCTTTAAAAACTATGTTTTGACTGATATTCTTATTTATATTACTATGTTGGTTCGAACTACGTCCTATCCTATTTGTCTAATTCTATTTTTAAAAATTCTCTAGTAATTTTATCTGGCCTTTTTTTGTCCTACATATATTTTTGTTTTCCCTACTCACTCATATAAGTATGTCATACTTGAATTTTATTTTGTTCTTATTCTGTTTTTAAATAGTGTTTTATTGACATCTGCTGATTTCTCAAGAGAAAAAATGAGTATGTATGATTAGAAAATCAAAACACATAAGATATTTTTAAGTTTTTCCTTTATATACTCAACACTCTAGTTCAAAACATGAGAAAATATATTAAAGAGGAATTTCAAATTTTCTGAAGTGTTTTTAGGGCAGGATGAGGTGCCATCTCTGAGGATGCTGAATCAGTCTGAGGTGAGAAATAGGCATTTGAATTTTGAAAAAGCTTCCCTAATGATTCCAATGTGCAAGCTCATTAAAAATCACCTACTTTGGAAGATGGAAATAAAATGCTTCCTGAGGGACAAATATTTTTTTCAACAAGAAAATATATACAAGTGTTTTTGCCTTTCCTTGAATTTTGATAAACTATGTACTCTGTCATATGAAAGTAGATCCTAGGATTTTACAGATTTAACCATTTGTCGTCTCCACTATTCATAAGCCATCCCTGGAGGGAGAGCAATTTGCAATTCTACAGACCCAAACTTGCAAACATACATGTGGAAAGTCTTTAGGCATCAAGTGTGCCCAGTCAACCACTCACACCTACAATTCAGCATGGCTTGTTTGTTGACAGTCTATTTAGTGTGTCTCTACTTGCAGTAATACACAGAATAACTCTGCTAGAACTGACCTTGCCAAACGAATGGCCAAAAAAATACTGGTAGGCTGCAAATGGATAATGGAGTTACGGATCCTCTGGGCAGCTGTGTCAGCGGCCTGTGGCCACTAATAGCTCCCTCAGCATAGTCTGTTTACCTCTGTGTACTATAAAAATGTTAACTTCTTCATTGCACACAATTGAAACAAGTTGAGAAGCACTGTGCCAGCTAAAAACGAGATGCGTGTGGGAGAGAGGGGGAGAGAGGGAGAGAGAAAAGCAGAGAGAAAGAATAATAAGAGAGAAGCCAGTCCAGGCACTGAAAACAAAAGAAAGTTATGGTTCCAAGTCTGAAAGTAGTTCCAGATAAACTAAGGAATGGATTGGGAAAACTGAATGAAATGACAATTTTGACAGGGCTTGAGTCTAGGGCACAAAGGGGCCCATCACACTAATTTAAGGAGAGAAATTACATAGTATCAATCACAAACTGGGGATTCAGCAAAGTCTAGGAACATATGTATGTCCAGCAACTGCCATGGGCTTGCCATATGTTGTATAATTCATTTAGATTTTCAACGAGCTATTATTAATTTAATAACATGCTTTTCAAATTCAAGGAATGACAACTCAAGCTTTGGAGGAGATAGCTGCCCTTATAAACCAAGTGTAGCTAATGAGAAACATAATCTACCACCCACCTCCTCTTCCTGAATAGTCCTGATTTAGTCTTGGTTTGTTTGTTTTTGAGACAGAGCCTTGCTCTGTTGCCCTGGCGAGAGTGCCATGGCATCAACTTAGCTCACAGCAATCTAAAACTCCTGGGCTCAAGTGATCCTCCTGCCTCAGCCTCTCAAGTAGCTGGGACTATAAGTGTGCGCCACTATACGTGGCTAATTTTTTTTTTCTTTTGAGACAGAGTCTCACTTTGTTGCTCAGGCTAGAGTGAGTGCCGTGGCGCCAGCGTGGCTCAGAGCAGCCTCAAACTCTTGGGCTCAAGCAATCCTTCTGCCTCAGCCTCCTGAGTAGCTGGGACTACAAGCATGCGCCACCATGCCTGGCTAATTTTTTCTATACATATGAGTTGGCCAATTAATTTCTTTCTATTTAAAAAGTAGAGACGGGGTCTCGCTCTTGCTCAGGCTGGTTTCAAACTCCTGACCTCGAGCAATCTGCCCACCTCGGCCTCCCAGAGTGCTAGGATTACAGGCGTGAGCCACCGCGCCTGGCCTACATGGCCAATTCATATATATATATATATATAATGTTTAGTTGCCCAGCCAAATTTCTTTCTATTTTTTAGTAGAGACAGGGTCTCACTCTTGCTCAGGCTGGTCTCGAACGTCTGAGCTCAAGCAATCCTCCTGCCTCGGCCTCCCAGAGTGCTAGGATTACAGGCGTGAGCCTCATTTAGTCTTAAGATGGCTGAATATAAAAAGATTATACATTTCCATTTGTGATATAAATCAGTTTTAACCAATAAAATATTTTCATTAATCTTATCTTCAACAATCTGGATCTCTATTTATACTTACTCAATTATTTTCTGTTTTCAATTTAAATATTTATTGCACAAATAGTAATGGAAATCTGAACAAGAGAGAAATCTTTCACGCTCTCAATACATTTTGATTTTTCTATGTCTCTTCTGTCCCTTTCCAAATACAGATACATTTTTAATGTCATAATCATCATTAAAAAGCATTTTGTATTCTTTTCCTCTGTCTTACTGTAAGTACTTCCTTCATGGAACAAGATGGCCTTCATAATTTTAATTTTTAACATATATTCTCTTGAGAAAATGACATTATAATTTATTTCCACTATGGGCACTAACATTCCCTTTTTTCCACATCACATATAATACTAAAATATTAATAAATGCACAGAGTTTATCCTTTCTTTTGGATTACTTTTGTAGAATAAATTTCTGTGAGATTACCAAGTCAAAAAGCTTCAACATTTTTTTTTTTTTTTTTTGAGACAGAGTCTCGCTTTGTTGTCCAGGCTAGAGTGAGTGCCGTGCCGTCAGCCTAGCTCACAGCAACCTCAAACTCCTGGGCTCCAGTGATCCTTCTGCCTCAGCCTCCCGAGTAGCTGGGACTACAGGCATGCGCCACTATGCCCGGCTAATTTTTTATATATATATCAGTTGGCCAATTAATTTCTTTCTATTTATAGTAGAGACGGGGTCTCACTCTTGCTCAGGCTGGTTTCGAACTCCTGACCTTGAGCAATCCGCCCGCCTCGGCCTCCCAAGAGCTAGGATTACAGGCGTGAGCCACAGCGCCCGGCCAGCTTCAACATTTTTATAGCCTTTATATATCCCCCAATTTGTTTTCCAAGAGGGTTTTTTTTAAACCAAGTGAAATTTGCAACAGAAGTTTGGAAAATAAAAAAGTAGTAATAGTAACTACTGAGTAACAATGGTGTCACTATAAATGATTATTTATAATGATAAGAAATAAGCTTACTGTTGTTCTTGTGACAATGAGGATGGTTAAGAATATTGCTCCACAGTTTTATTTATCCATAAGCTCAAACTGCAACTTTGTACATACAATTGTATGTAGATACAATTCTAATCAGCTACCCCCATAAAGACCCATAAATCAAACTCTTTTTTCTACCATACACTACCTTTTAAATTATGGGAATACACATATTTTTAAATGAGGAAATATACCAACCACCATCTTGAAAATCACTAATATAAGAATGTACACTACAAACATGAAAAATAAAATATAAGGAATGACAGAGGCCACAAATCACATTTTGCAACTCCTGATGAAATTACTGACTCCAGCAATGACTATATTAACTGGCGTTTAAAACATTAGATGGATGGTTGAAAAGGAGATGGATATTCGTATGTGCCATTGCTAAACCTCAGATTACTTTCTGGTCTACAGAAAAAAACGAAAGTGTACAATGCAGGAATTAGTACATCAATCCTCCTAATCTAGCAGTCAATCTTAGCATCACTACAGTAGAAGCACCAGAAACTGTACATCTCCTGATGGGATGCAACATGAAGTACATAGCTTCATCTATAATGTGTCAAAATAAAAAAGGTTTAACTGGGACCTAATTTAGACTTTAGATCTAACGTGGAGTTTAGAGGAAATAAAGAGATAAACGAACAAATTAAACGAAACCCATGAGAATACAATTTAAAAAATCCATGAGGGCCAGGCGCAGTGGCTCACGCCTATAATCCTAGCACTTGGGAGGCCGAGGCGGGCGGATTGCTCAAGGTCAGGAGTTCAAAACCAGCCTGAGCAACAGCAAGACCCCATCTCTACCATAAATAGAAAGAAAGTAATTGGGCAACTAATACATATAGAAAAAATCAGCCGGGCATGGTGGCGCATGCCTGTAGTCCCAGCTACTCGGGAAAGTTAGGCAGAAGGATCACTTGAGCCCAGGCGTTTGAGATTGCTGTGAGCTAGGCTGACACCACGGCACTCACTCTAGCCTGGGCAACAAAGTGAGACTCTGTCTCAAAAAAAAAAATCCATGAGATGAGACTGTTAACAGAACAACTATCCTGTTTTCTTTGTCAAATCTGTATTATATAATTGACTGCTCTAAATAAAAAGAGAATTAAGGGACATAACAATTAAATGTAATATGTGGTCCTGAACTGGAACCTGGTTTGAATAAATAGCTATAATGGGTATTTTATGGTAGTCAGGGAAATCTGAGTATGAAAACTGCTATGATGTCTATAATCTACTTTAGAATATTTCAGCATTGAGTTAAAAAAAAAAATACAAAGATATATAAAGAGGATAGAAAATAAAATGTTACCAAGTTCTAATTTAAAACCCTTCCAAAATGTCCTTAACTAGGGTTAACATTCGATAATCAAAGCTTTTGTTTTTCTTTTGTCAACTAAGATTTTAAATAGAATATGTCTATTTTCAAAAAGATGTACTAACTTACCCCTGGCATATATTCCATAAATATGGAAAGTTTTTTTTCCTGGGGATCCCTCAAACAGCCATAATACTGAACAATTCGCTCATGCAGCAAGTTTTTCAACAACTGAATTTCACACTCAAGTGCATTGACTTCCTGAAAGACAGAACTCGCTATTAAGTCTTTTCAACATTATTAGTAAAACCAAAAAATTCTAATTTCACAGATTATCAAGGTGATTTCATTTGAAATTTTTACTTCCCAAGGAACAAACATTTTAAAGTCTCTAATCAATAAATTTTTAAACATTCCTTGATGGCATGCTAAAGCAACACTAAATCAGATTAGGAATATAACTAAAGTACAAAAAGTACAAAGTAGATAAACATATTTAATCATCTGTTTTGCAAATAATTTGTACTAAGAAAATAACAAAAATCCTACTGAATGTTATTTATTTAAAGTAAAAATGCTTCTTTTATGTGACAAAGTAGTTTGTGCAGTGATTTTTACCTTGCTGGTCTCAGGGCTATCTGGGTCAAATTGAACTTGCTTAACAGCCAATTCTCTTCCTGTATCAACATCATAACAGAGGTAGACTCTACCAAAGGCTCCTTGGCCAAGCAGTTTGCCCAATCTCCAGTTGGTTGGAGCTCGAGGTGCTGAAAAAGAACACTTTCTTAAAATGGAATAGTCATATGGTACACAAATGGTTAAGGATGAAATGAGTGTACTGTATTAGTGATATTCTTAATGGAATGTATCTGAATATAAGGAAAAAATCATAACTATCCAAATTCATAACGGTTACCATCTTTCAAAATTTTTCTCTTTAGTCAATTTTCTAAGAATTCTAAACCCAAACAGGGTTCATAACCCCATGACTCACTTTTCTGAGATGATTTTTTTCCTGATTACAAATGTAGTAACATCTTTCACTCAATCTAAGATGTCAAAAACTGTAAGATGCATTATTTCTAATCTTTATTACAACAATATCTGTAATTAGTTTTTCAGTTTCTGCCCACAATATAGAAAGCTGGAAAGAGCATCACTCCCATCCTAATAGCAAACGAAATCTGAGTAGTCTAAAAATTATAACCTTCACTGACCATATCGGAAAAGTATTAATAAGATTGTAGGGCAACCAAGTAGCCTGTCATCTAATGAAAACCCAGTACTTCCAAGAAGAGATGGAACAGAAGCACTGGCTCACTTGGGGCAGAGCACGGAGAAAGACTCACACAAGTAGGTCAGAAGAACTCAGCTCCATTTTTAACAAGTGTGAGTTGGTAAGCATTTTGAACCTTTGGGAGCTACCAAGGTGAGTTCATACCTGCTCAAAGTCTTATCTGTGGACCTCTACTATGTACAGGAGCAGGAGACCAGAGAAGACTTCCCTTGGTGGTTGAGGCCTAGAGAAGGGGAATGGCCCACTATTATGGGAAAGGTAGAAAGCTCCTCCCAAAGCCTTCTCCCCTAACAAATAAGAGCCTTAAACTGCTGGAGGAAGAATAGCAAAAACCTGTCAACACCAGGTTATGGGTAAAAACCCACTGATGCTAGGGGAATAGAAAAGAAAGAAAACTTTATCCCTGAAAGAAGGGCTGGAAACCCTCTCTGGCCTTAACCATGAGAGTTCTCCTACTCCTAGAAGATGGGCAGGATCCCTGAGAAAGCCCATCTCTGAGAACCAGGGAAATTAAGCCTGCCTAAGACTTAAGGTGGACAGGATAACAGAGAACCCTCCATTCTGCCTCCCCTATTCTAGGCTAAAAAGTAATAGCAATCTACTGAGAAAGGGACAAGGGCACAGAGAGATGGCCCTCCCTCTCTGAGAAGTAGGCACACAAGAAGGCCAAAGGCTGAGGGTGGAGCAGGACCATTAAGAAAATCCCTCTAAGCCGGCATGGTGGCTCACGCCTGTAATCCTAGCACTCTGGGAGGCCGAGGCGGGCGGATTGCTTGAGGTCAGGAGTTCGAAACCAGCCTGAGAGTGAGAGGCTCTCTACTGTAAATAGAAAGAAATTAATTGGCCAACTAATATATATAGAAAAAATTAGCCGGGCATGGTAGTGCATGCCTGTAGTCCCAGCTACTTGGGAGGCTGAGGCAGCAGGATTGCTTGAGCCCAGGAGATTGAGGTTGCTGTTAGCTAGGCTGATGCCACAGCACTCAGTCTAGCCCAGGCAACAAAGTGAGACTCTGTCTCAAAAAAAAAAAAAAAAAAAAGAGAAAGAAAGAAAGAAAATCCCTCTAGTAAACCAGCACAAGGTAACTAGAGGAACCTGAAGTCAGTAGTGCACAGGGACTGTAGCCCTGTGTAGCCACAACAAAATCCAAACCCAGCACAACTCCTGACTCAAACTCCCACAATAATTGCCTAGCAGATCATCTGTGTCTATTTCCAGGCCTAAATTCTATTTACCTCAGTCTCTGTTGTTCTATACTCGATGTCTGGCATTCAAAGTAAAATTGTAAGACACACAAAAAAGCAAACCAAAAAAAAAAAAATCAAAAGAGAAAGCAATCAACACAATCAGACTCAAGAGATTCAGACAGAAAATTTAAAATACCTATGATTAATAGTAAAAGGTCCTAATGGAAAAGGTAGACAAAACATGCATGAACAGACAGAGAATTTCAGCAGAGAGATGGGAACTGCAGGAAAGAGGCAAACAAAATTGCTTCAAATAAAAAACAGTAATAGAAATAAAGAATTCTTTCAATAGGATCATGAACAGACTCAGTAGGGTTCCGGGTGCTGTTAATCCTTGCACTTTGGGAGACTGAGGAGGGAAGATCATTAGGTCAGGAGTTCAAGACCAGCCTGAGCAACACAGTGAGACCCTGGCTCTACAAAAAATAGAAAAATTAGCTGGGTGTGGTGGCATGTGCCTGTAGTCGCGGCTACTTGGGAGACTGAGGCAGGAGGATCACTTAAGCCCAGGAGTTTGAGGTTGCAGTGAGCTATGAGCTATCATCATGCCACTGCTGTCACATCCAGGAAACAAAGATAGACTCTGTCTCCAAGAAGAAAAAAAAAAAAAAAAGGAGGAGGAGGAAGAAGGAGGAGGGGGGGAAGAAGAAGAAAGAAGAAGGAAGAAGAAGGAAGAAGGAAGAAAAAGAAGAAAAAGAAACAGATAAACTGAAGGTATATATAAAAGACATTCTTCTCTTATTTTTAATCATTTTAAATGAAAGCTCTCTAAAGCAAAAATAATAGCAATGTAGCATGGAGTTAGAAATGTAAAATAAACTATGACAATACTAGCACAGAAAAGAGGAATTCAGGTATGTAAATTGTGCTGCAATAAGTACCTTTGAACAAGAATCTCTGTATGCACTGCTTACAGGATAGAGTCCAAATACTCTGAAATGTGGTCTTAGTTACCACTGTAGGCCTATTCCTAGTGTCTCAAGTAAGATCCTTGACATCACCCCAAAATGAACTACTCCCCATTTTCAGAATATGCCATGGCCTCTTACACCTGTTAGCTCCTTAACTAGTTAATTTTTAGCCACATTTAAGATTTAGTTTAAATGCTATACTGTAATTATTTCTCCATATATCATTCTCCCCATTAGACTGTCTTAGAGGTCATGTTTAAAATCTCAGTGCTAGGCACTCAACAAGGATATATAGCCTAAATGGATGAAAAAATGACTAGTTGTTAACCATTTTCCTAATAAAAGCAAAGGACAGAATTATCTAATTAGCAGTGATACCATGCTTTATACCTGACATTCCAGCCATTTTTATTTATTTTATTTATTTTTTTCGGCATATTATGGGGGTACAGATTTTAAGGTTTCAATAAATGACCTTACCCCCCTGCCCCCACAAGTATGAGTCTCCAGCATGACCATCCCCCAGATGGTGCACATCTCACTCATTATGTATGTATATACCCGTCCCCCTCCCCCCTCCCCAATACCCTATTACTGTAGTACCTATATGTCTACTTAGGTGCTGCTCAGTTAATACCAGTTTGCTGGTGAGTATATGTGGTGTCCAGCCATTTTTAGAAACAGCATCATTACCTCTTTTGAGGAGTTCATCTCATCCTGAGGACTCACTAGGTATTTATTCCTTTTAATACTGTAAAATTCTGCAAAAGTTTTGCTTTATATTTCATTATGCCATTTTCTATTACTTACAACGGCTGGGTGGGCTGATGTCCATTACAGTCAGAGTAGGATTGTCTATGTCACTTCCCCTTCTTCTTATTCGACTATCATCATACTCTGGGGTAAAAATACTGCTTCCACTACTAGTGCTTAAGGAGTGATCAGTAGGACTGAAACTCACAGGAGACCGGAAGCTGGTCCCCTGGGTCCTTCTAGCTCTTGGAAAAGTTTTACGACCTAAAAAATGAAAACAGAATTACCTTATACCTTTTATTAATATGTTATGCTTTAAAAGTATTTGAAACAGCAAGGATTGGGAGGGAAAAAATAAACAGGATCTGAATCCAAATTCAAATAATCTCTTATGGCAAAACACAAATCATATAAAAGAATCCCCTCACTTTTAGATAAAAAGGAGGAAAAATATTTTACTCTCATTTCCAATAATGATTTCAAAATATAAAACAAAGATTTGAAAGTTTATAGGTAGCAAGTTTTTTTTCTTAAAGAGATAATGCAAACATGAATTTCATCATCAAGGAGTAATTTTCTAATTAATACCATTTAAAAATTACTCCTTTTAAGGGAAAGATAAGTATTATGAGATAAATTGACACAAAACTAAAATGTCATTATAGTTTTAATTATAACCCACTCTCCTCAGAAAAGCTGTTTTAACCAGAAAACTAAGTGATTTAGGAACAAATTTATTTCTAACAGTATTACACAAATATGAGATTTTTTTTTAAATTTATATTTATTATTATTGTTTTTTGAGACTTTTAACAAACTGTTGTGAATTGCCAGAAACTTACCATCATTATACTCTTGATGATGATATGAAACATGATACCTTCTTGGATATGTTCCTCCTTTTCCAAATTTCTCAAAGATAGGGTTATCATAATCTGCTAAGAAACATATAATAAAATCATGTTATTAAAAAGTCAAATATTTTTAATAATGAAAAGCACATTCACAGATTTTTATTTATCAAAAATCTCCTCTCCCGCCTACACAAAACATTATCCAATGACATAAACATATAAACATTTCAATGTTTAGAATTTATAAAATCTAACCTGAAAATTCCTGATGGTTATCTGGGTAGCTCTGTGCCCTAGGCATTCGTGATTTGGGATAGCTCTCTCTATAAACAGAAAATGTCACATTAAATTAAGAGAAAGTATGTAAAACAGGACAGTTTAAAAAAAATCTTTAAGCAATAGCTGTGTGTGTTTGTGTGTGTATGTAACGGTGCTCACTTTGAAGGTTAAAACTAAAAAAGAGAAACTTCTTTTTTTTTGAGACAGAGTCTCGCTTTGTTGCACAGGCTAGAGTGAGTGCCATGGTGTTAGCCTAGCTCACAGCAACCTCAAACTCCTGGGCTCAAGCAATCCTCCTGCCTCAGCCTCCCCAGTAGCTGGGACTACAGGCGTGCCACCATGCCCGGCTAATTTTTTTCTATATATATTAGTTGGCCAATTAATTTCTTTCTATTTATAGTAGAGACAAGGTCTCGCTCTTGCTCAGGCTGGTTTCGAACTCCTGACCTCGAGCAATCCGCCCACCTCGGCCTCCCAGAGTGCTAGGATTACAGGCGTGAGCCACCGCGCCCGGCCGAGAAACTTCTTTCTAAACACTTATTTGGCACATGTAGGCAAAAAGCCTAGCTTTAAGAATGATATATTTTGGAATAATAGGTTTTTGGAAACACCTGTGTTTCAATCTGAGCTCTGCCACTTAACTGTGAAACCCTGCCAATTTTCTGAGACTGTTCTGCAACTATAAAAAGGAAGTAATAATTTCCACTCATCAAATGTATACAAGTGCTCAGGACAGTGCTTTGCAAATAGTGAGTATTCAATATATAGCTTTCTTATTACTAATCAATTTCTTAAATGTCTACCATGAGGTAAAAATTGACACTGAAGTTTCATATACATGGATCAGAGAAAATTAAATGCACATTTCCACATAGCATTAGTTATCTTTTCTGAATTTGTTTCCATAAAGCAATCTCTGAGGAGATTAAACAACTAAAGATTTTAATACTGACTTTGTATGCTACAGGGTGACCACCAAGAACACTGTCCTATTGAGACCAGGAGGGGGAGCACTGGTAACAAAAAATTCATCGTTAGCAACTTGATACTGCTCCTTTTCCTGAACAGCCTATTTCACAAAATAACTTTAGTTTTTGAAATGACAACTAATACACTGGGCCACAATTACCAAGAATGTAAATTATTTCTAACTTGGTACCAGAAGGAACATAATTCTCAACAGGTGAAATATTAATAACTCAAGAAATCTCCCAAACCAAACATAATGAAAAATTTGCTAGCAGTTTCTTTTTTTGAGACAGATTCTCACTTTGTTGCCCAGGCTAGTGTGTGCCCTGGCATCAGCCTAGTTCACAGCAACCTCAAACTCCTGGGCTCAAGTGATCCTCCTGCTTCAGCCTCCCGAGTAGCTGGGACTACAGGCATGCGCCACCATGCCCAGCTAATTTTTTGTATATATATATTTTAGTTGATCAATTAATTTCTTTCTATTTTTAGTAGAGACGGGGTCTCACTCTTGCTCAGGCTGGTTTCAAACTCCTGACCTTCAGCGATCCTCCTGCCTCAGCCTCCCAGAGTGCTAGGATGATAGGCGTGAGCCACCACGCCCAGCCTGATAGCAGTTTCACAAACACAGTTTTAAAAGTAAATGTACACAATTTCTCAGTTTGTATTTGCTTTCAAAGACATAATTTTGGCAAGCAAGAATACTCAAAATATTACAATCAGTTACCATTTTAACTAATAAAGACACTGAATCCCATGAGGTTAAAGGATTTATCTACATCGTGGAAAAATTCACTTGCCATCATTATTGACAAATATCAATTACTTACATCCCTCTGAATACGTACAAAAGAAATTTATTGGTAATTCAACATGCTATCTGTATGCATATTTACCCATATGTATTAAAAAAAAAAAAACTACAGTCAGTATTACCCATCCAAAGGACTGTCAAGCGATGGACAACTTCCTGAGCCAGAATTTTCAGGGCTGCTTAAAGATAATGGATCCAGCATCTAGGAAAATAAAGAGTTCTATCATGATTCAATCTGATAGAACGAAAAGTTACTTTTAAAAAAACTGCTTTATTGAGATATAACCATGTAACATAAAATTCACCCAATTAAAGTATACAATTCAAAGGCTTTTAGAATTCTGAGAGTTGTACAACCCTCACCATAATCTTAGAACTCCATACCTAATAGGAGTCACTCCAGAGTTACTCATTTTTAAATGTCCCCTGTATAGGCCACAACTTCAAAATTTCCTAGGAGAAAAATATTTCTCTATAGACTACTAATTAAAAACTAAAATACTTCACATAATTTTGCTTACTGAAACTGAACAAGAGCCCCACCCAAATTAAGACTAATGACACTGTAACTGCTACATTATTAGAAAAGGTGAAGTACTGCAGTAGTGTGTGCATCCAATGCAATGGTAAGGAAATAACAGCAAAGTCATGAAAACATTTCAATACTAAAAAAACTGAAGCATTTAAAAAAATGTTTCAGAAAGTTCACAAACCTCAGTTTCACAAAGTTGAAATTTGTGGTTTTATGCTTTCTTTCAAATGTTAAAAAAACCTGAATATTAACCCCAGGATTATAAAGCAAATGCTTTCATCATTCATTCACTTACTTAGAGATAAGAAATATAGAAAAACCAGCTTTATTCCAGCCTTCTTTATACATCAACACATACAGGTACACATAAATTAGTGGGCACTTTCATATATTTTTACTATTTTGTTCAGTTAAGAAGACAGATTTGGGAGGAAGAGGTAGCACACAAACACACACACAACCAGGTACCTCCCAAATCACATTGATCCGATGACATCTCTTTAAATAAAATGAAAAACAACATTGAACTTTTGCTTACTTGGTCCATGCTCTCTGGAATGAATTCTCCTTCACTGTTGATACTAGTGTATGACCCATTCCGGGCAACCTGGTGTAATTCATCTGGAATGTATCCTGGGGGAGGGGAACTTCTATCTCTACTAGTAGAACCTCAAAGGAGAAAAATTATATGATTTATATTACCAGCAAACAAATCAATTTTTGCTTTAATAGGTTATATTTCTGAACTATATCAATAATAATTTCAGCAAATTAAATTCTGTTTTTATTAAAAACGTATCAGAGGGCCGGGCGTGGTGGGTCACGCCTGTAATCCTAGCACTCTGGGAGGCCGAGGCAGGAGGATAGCTTAATAAGGTCAGGAGTTCAAAACCAGCCTGAGCAAGAGCGAGACCCCCGTCTCTACTAAAAATAGAAAGAAATTAATTGGCCAACAAAAATATATATACAAAAAATTAGCCAGGCATGGTGGTGCATGCCTGTAGTCCCAGCTACTCAGAAGGCTGAGGCAGGAGGATCGCTTGAGCCTAGGAGTTTGAGGTTGCTGAGAGCTAGGCTGATGCCACAGCACTCTAGCCCAGGCAACAGAGTGAGACTCTGTCTCAAAAAAAAATTTATCAGAATATTCATGATTATAAAACCTCAAATGTTTTTATACCCTCTGTAAATTTGTACCCTGCTATAGTTATTAACCTCACTGTAATATTCATTTATGCTTACTAGGTAGCATGGAGTCTTCTGACTGCTGATGGGCTGATAATACCATGTAGATTTTTCCATAAATGCCACTGCTTCTGAACTTCTAGAGGTCACTCATACCCAAGTATATGTTAGCTTTTAATATAATTTATAAAAGGCATAACGATGTAGTGAAAGAACATGGGCTTTGCAATCAGCCCTCAGTTTAAATTCCAGTTCCAGTTATTTACCTACCAGCTGTGTCTTGGGAGAGCTACGCAATCTTCATGAACCTGTTTCCTCGTCTATAAACATGTGAAAGTAAACATCCCTTACTTGTGAGGGGTGTTGGGATGGTAAAATTATTCTAAGAACATATGCTTTACGCACTTGGCTCCATGATATCCTTTCCATTCCCTCTCTTTAATCTTTGGAAACCTAAAATGAGAATTACTTCTTAGTCATTTAGCTCCTACTAGGTTATCTTCAATTTGGAATCCTGGATTTTATTTTTGGGTACTTAAAATTAGGTTTTTTGTGGCAAAAGTTATATTCTTGGAATTTTAATTTCTTCATAGTTTAGAAAAATGGAGAATCTGACATTCATTTAAGATAGTTCATTTAATTCATCATATTTCTTAGGAGATAATAATCTATTTTATTTGACCTGGTTCCATGGAAATGATGCTATAATTATTAATACAGTTTCTCCCTTTTCCTTGTAATTTTTTTAAATTAACCTATATTAAGTCCTTTAAAATGGCCAAAAATAAAATTAAAATTAAACTATACAACAGATATGGGAACATTATGAGAGCATTTAAGTTCTGGTCAAATTTAAAGCAAAAAAGGCTTTAGCCGTATGTAAAGGGGTCATTGTAAGCATATGCCAACACTTGTTCATGAGATAGGGAAAAAGAGAAAAATGTTTACCAAGAGATGTGCATAAAAGAGAGCACTGTCTGTACTAGTCTGTAAAACGATTAGGTGCTCAACTTTGAGTCAGGGTTGATTTAGACTTCGTATCAACTGTAATCACAATGAACATGTTAGTCCCTAATATTCTTATGCCTTCCATATACTCTTGTTTATAAAAGAAGATCAATATACTCGATTTATTATGCTAAAAGGAGATAGGGAAGAAAAAGGCTATGAAAACTTCATCTCCTTACTTGGCAACTCATTTTTCTTAATTTTTGTTAGTGATGTTAGTATGTCAACGTACTATTAGTTGAGATGTATACACTAGCATACATTCTCATCCCAAAGAGAGTTAAAGAGAATAATTAAAGAGAATAACTGTCAACATACTAGAAAAAGAGAATGGTTATATCCATCAAAGCCATTCAAAGTTTAAAGAAGTGCCAATAAAAGACCAGTAATTCAATACTTTACAGTTTCTAGCTTCTTCTTATGCTGGCACTGAAGTCAAACATGAATATTTATTAGAATAAGATTGAGGTTATCAGTGCAATTTTAATTCAAAATGCCACTTTAGTGCATTTAAGCTTATTCTGTCTAGTGCAATTAAAGTGAATTGGCAGTTTTTTTGTTGTTGCCCCAGCTAGAGTGAGTGCCATAGCATCAGCCTGGCTCACAGCTACCTCCAACTCCTGGGCTCAAGCAATCCTCCTGCCTCAGCCTCCTGGGTAGCTGGGAATACAGGTGTGAGGCACCATGCCCAGCTAATTTTTTTTTTTTTTTTTTTTAAAGAGTCTCACGCTCTGTTGCCCAGGCTAGAGTGCTGTGGCATCAGCCTAGCTCACAGCTATCTCAAACTCTTGGGCTCAAGCAATCCTTCTGCCTCAGCCTCCCAAGTAGCTGGGACTACAGGCATGTGCCACTATGCCTGGCTAATTCTTTCTATTTTTAGTAGAGATGGGGTCTCACTCTTGCTCAGGCTGGTCTTGAACTCCTGACCTCCAGCAATCCTCCCACTATGGCCTCCCAGAGTGCTAGGATTACAGGCGTGAGTCACCATGTCCAGCCCCAAATTGGCATATTTTTATTTTAAAACGACAGGGTACTACAATGGGATGAGAAATGGGGAATAAGAAACGCACAATTAATAGTAGTCAAGCTTTCTAGTTTGAAAAATAAAATGTACTTTACAAATGTTCTCTCAATTTATTGCTACAATAATCCCATGATTTAAAAATGAAGACAAGTTTACTGGTCTCAGGTTAATCAGAGAGCTAGAATTTGAATTCAGGTATCTCAAATGTTCTTTCACCAAATTTTAAAATTATATCAAAATATATCCAAATGAGGATAAGCCATTTTTATTTTACTTGCATCTCTGCTGCTCACATTTCTAGCACTTATAAAACCAAAAGTAGGATTTATATAAGGCAGACGCTTAGAAAAGAATGGTCATAAAATAGCTTTTCCTGGGAACCAAAAGAGAAGATGAATAATACATATATTTTTCAGTGGTTCATATCCTAATTTAATCTTTCTCTTTCATTATTAACAACCCTCTTCTGTGACCAGTCTTTTTTAGATTTCCAACCACATCTACTTGTCCCACTCTCCTGCTTCCTCCCTATTCATGTTTCTCATCTTCAACTTTTCCCCTTCAAATCTATCCCTCATATATGTTTTCATGGTATTGTTAATGATCATATCCATTGCCCTCTCTATTAAGAACATTTATACCAGCAGTATTTTGAGCAATATAATGCTTTAATCATATAAAAATGTAGATTATCAATGTTCGTATATAAATTGAAGAAGATGCACAAAACTGGGGGAGTTTAGAGCATCTTTGCCTAGCCCAAGCCTTGCTAATAAAGCCTCCTTAAAAAATAGCACACAGGATCCTTATTTCTTTATACCACAAGCTCAATTAGAACAATACATTATTAATGGCAAATAAAACCTGAATGCTAATAAAGTAATAATAAAGCATAATCTGAAAATTCTTAACAATCTTTATTTTGATAGCATTCTTGGTGATAACTAAAACCCTAGATAGAGAAAGGCTCATGAACTTAGAATCTAGTCTATTGATTGTAATATACTAGAATTACCTCTTTTAATTTTTCCTCTATTCTATTTGTACAATTAAAACCTCTTCAAGGTTTTGTTTGAATTTGTTAAACATTTAAATACCATGGGTACATAAACAAAGAAATTAAATTGGAGATTACTAATCCTATAATACTTGAAAAGAATTTCCAGGGGACATCAGATATTAAAATGTAGTTAAGTTGGTTAAATTACACAAAGTACAGAAACAGAATGATATTTATCAGGAATATGTTTAGGTGCTGCCCCTACATTAAAGGATGGAGAAGAAATTGAGAAATTACCCATTTAATAATTTAGACATTAGCTTTACCTATTATAGAAAGCCGTTTTTTTCTCTCTGCTCCCAATGGTGTGTTATCCAAACCTTCCAGTGATGGCAATGGTTCTAAATTAGTAGCCTACAAAGGAAAAAAGACAATTACTGCTATTCTTCCCCTTTGGGGCTTTAAACAGAATCTCTCCCTTAACAAATACAATCTAGCTATTCTATATTGTTTGTGGGCCTTATCAAGTCTTCTACTCCTTGAAATTTTAATTCTAACATAATTCTTCCCAAATTGTCAGTATCTATTTGTTTCATATGTAAAATATACTTATTTATAATTGTGACTCTGGCTTTACAGAGCAAGGATATTAAACTAAAGCAATTAAAGTGTATAAATTTACATTTAATGATATTGAAAATATATCAGTGATTACAGAATATAACTATGTTTCATATATTGACTTTTAGGCATAAGTCCTATAATTCTTACTAGGAAAAAAAATCCCAATTCATACCTGTGTATTTCCATTTATTACAAGTAATATCTTTAGACTCTTCATATGAATACTACGATCTAGCAGTTCCACAGCTTTGTCCAAGTCATCTTGAGTAGTTAATGGAATTACCAACTAAACAAAAAGGAACATAAGGAATTATGCAGCCATAATAATAATATGCAGCCACTGGGTCAAATTCTTCCATAGCATCTCTATTACTTTTGATTTGTTACTATCATGAAAGTTTAAATGAGTATATGTATCTAGACTTTTCTGTTCTTCCCATCCTACCACTACTAAAATCATACAATAAATATGAATAAAGCTTTAAATTTTTGCTTTATTAATCATTATATTCTTCTATAAAATACATTTAAAGATTAATTTTCTAGAATATTTCCATAATACTGCTTCAGTTACAGTATAGTCACCATAAAAAAAATTAAAGAACACACACAGATCATCTTTTCATCTGAACAGATACAACTTTTTTTTTTTTTTTTTGAGACAGAGTCTCACTGTTGCCCAAGGTAGAATGCAGTGGTGTCTTCATAGCTCACTGTAACCTCAAACTCCTGAGCTCAGGTGATCCTCCTGCCTCACCCATCAGAGTTATCTGGGACTACAGGCATAGGCCATGATGCTCATCTACTGTTTCTATATTTAGTAGAGACGGTGTCTTGCTTAGGCTAGACTCAAACTCCTGAGCTCTAGCAATCCTCCCACCTTAGCCTCCCAGAGTGCTAGGATTACAGGAATGAGCCACCACACCTAGACCCTGCACAGATGCAACTCATAGTTCTTTTTCCAATAGTAACCACAGATTTGTACTCTCACCCAGTGTGCTCATCAACATACCAGCATCCTAAGCATCTACCATGGAGGATAGCTGTTATGGAGGGGTGCCATTAGTAATATACCTGCAATCTACTGCCCACCTGGGGTTCATCTCTCTGAGCCTGGTGATTTGATCAGTGCACTCTATAAGCTAAATGGGTTAGCCATCCCATAGTAAACCGAATGTGGAATCTGCTTTCATCAGTCTTGTCATGGATCAGATGTTATACAGGACAAAAGCACCTGAGGTCTATGAGGAAAAGTGTGATTCACACAATTTAAGAAAATCACAATACCTTTTTTCAAAATATGTCAACTTAAAAGCTTAAGAAGACTTTCAATAACTTCAAAGTATATTCCATTTCATTGAAAGAGGGACAGAATAAAAACATGTGAACATATTCTACATTTGTTAAAATTTTCATTTGAGAGGAAGATCTTAATACTTACTTTACTATATATTTAATTATAATTGGATTGCTTACTTTTCCAAGATACTGCAGCTTTGGGGGGAAAAAACACTAATTTAAATGACAGTAACCAAATATGAATGTAAACGATTCTGCTCTTCTTCAGTTTTTGGCTGTAAAATGTGGACATCCCAGAAGAACGCCTTCAGCAGCTTTGACACTGTCTACAGTCTTGATGTGATCCCACCTGTATTCTAACATCACCTATTACAAGCTGTAAAATGAGGACTACGAGTCAAGAACAAGTCCCAGCTTATCTAAATTATACTAAATAAATCACAGAATGTTTTCCTGCTTGGTGAATTCATTTCACCCTCATTCGTGAAATCTATTTCCCTTGACTTATTTGTGATAAATAAGTTGTTTGTTGATATAAACCCTTTCTGGAAAGGAAACTTAAAATTGAGTCTAAGAACACCTTAAATAGAATTTAAATTTGAATGAAGTGAATTATCTTCCTGAGTTTATACAGTGAAGTATGGAAATAGCCCATAAAAAGGTTTTCCAGCTCCACTCATCTAAAATGGGAACAATTTTAGAAAATCTTCACTTTGCCCGAACACCTCCATATTCATCCCCTACAACACCACGCTCAAAGAGATACACAAAGCGACCTGGCCTCCGCAGTGGCTCACTCCTGTAATCCTAGCTCTCTGGGCGGCTGAGGCAGGAGGACTGCTCAAGGTCAGGAGTTCAAAACCAGCCTGAGCAAGAGTGAGACCCCGCCTCTACTAAAAATAGAAAGAAATTAACTGGCCAATAGAAAAAATTAGCCACTATGCCCGTAGTCCCAGCTACTCAAGAGGCTGAGGCAGGAGGATCTCTTGAGCCCAGGAGTTTGAGGATGCTGTGAGCTACCCTGATGCCAGGGCACTCTAGCCCAGGCAACAGAGTAAGACTAAGACTCTATCTCAAAAAAAGCCACCTTATTAGGTAAAGAGGAGCCAAACTAAGAAATCCAACCAATCCTAGCTTAAATTTCCTGGTTTTTCAATTCTAACAAACTGGAAGTTTATAGAATAGCAATTCATTTTGAACAGAGGAATTTATATTACACTAGAAAAAAGTATTTATAGAAGTAGAATAACATGAAGTATAAATAAATTAGTTATTTGCTTGTGTGCAGGTTCACAAAATTAACATCCTGTCCGTATAAGATTTTCTCTAGTACTCACAATGTTCAAGATCATGTATGTGGTTTGGGACGATGTGTCACATGAATCAGGACACAATTAACTTACAGAAGAACCACAGATTCTTACAGAATCTCATGGTTGCAAGAAATCTTAAATGTAATCTTATCTGAATGATACCTCTACCACATTCCTGCCAAGAGGCCACCCAAATATAATGGCAGAACCACTCACCGAAATCCTTCAGAAAGCAAGAGAAAAATAAACTAAAAATGGAGAAATTTTCTATTTTTAGAAAATGGGAAAGAGTTCTTGAAACTACAGTTAGCTTGATGTCAATCCTCAAGAAAACCCCAGAAAAAATCACATAAACAAATAACTCTTATCAGAAACAGCAATTCCAGGAGCTAGCACAATTATAAAATGGATAAATCATGCCAAATTAACCTTGTTTTGTTGACAGATCTACTAGGCTGACTACCGATAAAGACAATATAGAAATCAAGCAGGGGTAGGAGAGAAGAGGCAAGGGGCAAAAACCCACCTAATAGGTACAATGAACACTATTCAGGTGATGTGCACATTTATAGCCCTGACTCAAGCCATCTAAAAAAAAATCTGTACCCGCCCCTTAGTATTTTGATATAAAACAAAAAAAATTTTTTTTTTTTGAGACAGAGTCTTGCTTTGTTGTCCAGGCTAGAGTGAGTGCCGTGGCATCAGCCTAGCTCACAGCAAACTCAAACTCCTGGCCTCAAGCGATCCTACTGCCTCAGCCTCCCCAATAGCTGGGAGTACAGGCATGTGCCACCATTTCTATATATTTTTAGTTGGCCAGTTAATTTCTTTCTATTTTTAGTAGAGACGGGGTCTCGCTCTTGCACAGGCTGGTTTTGAACTCCTGACCTCGAGCAATCTGCCTGCCTTGGCCTCCCAAAGTTTTCCGTGACACAATTTTAGACCAAGGAAAAAAAAAAAAGATACTTCCGGTTTCCCTGAATCATACTTTGGGGATAATGATTCAAGTTCAAGTCATTTATGAAAAAAAGATACTAGGAAACACTGTAGGGGAATCGAGAAGACAGGGAAAGAAAGGGAGGTCCATGAAGGGTACATTATCAGCAAGTTACCACTGTGGGCAAGTGGAGTCCATCCATCCCTACACCCACCCCCCACCTTTGAGACCCAGTTCCTGTTCCCCTCCTCCTTGTATGTACTTCAATTCCCATGGCCACACCTCTGGAAAGCCCTCGGAGCAGCTGGAAATCAGGCCAGCACAAAAAGAAATAGTAAGTGCTAAGATAGGAATAGCCAACATGATGTGTTTACAACTAACTGGAAACCCTAAAAAGTATCTGAAAATTAAATTTCAAGGTACTACTATAGTACTGTACTCATCACATCATTCAGGTATATTATTTAGAATATAGATTTTTGCTTATCAAAATATTTTCATCTCTGAGTGAGGTGTAAGTGGTTTCTTTAGACAAGCTACATCAGCATTTTCTTTAGCTTCAAATTAACAATAATTCATTTGAAATATAATATCTTCAAACAATTTTATTTGCACAATGCTTTAACATTTGCAAAGCACTTTCACATGTCTTCTCACATTAATTTTTACTAAACTCTCCATTGTCACGCCATCCTTACTGGTACTTTTCCTATTCCTGAAACATGTAAGTCTTTTCCATCTTAAGATTGCTGGTAGGTACCACCTTCAAGCCACTCTCTCTACCAGCCCTGTTCTTTCCCCGAACCTCTTTGTAGGGTTGGCTTTTCATACGTCTCAGAATGAATATCACCACCTCAGTTAGTTCTTCCTTAACACTATATATAGGATACCTACTGCCCTTGCTTTTATTTTTTGTCACAATACTTTATGCATTTCCTTCAAATAATTTCATATATTTAAGCAATTCATTTATTAACTGTCTGCTTCTACCACAGGTCTACAAAGTCTACTCCATGAGGAGCTGCAATTCATGTCACAGCCTGAAAAATTCAATAAACACTTTCTGAAGATTAAAAAACCAAATTGTCCTATAAATTTTAGGATTTCAACAACTAAAAGAAACCTCAGAGATCATCTAATCCAATCCTAATTTTACAAGATTAAAAAGGGGTTTCTCCACAACACATAGCTCCTCAGTACCAAGCAAGCCCTCAAGATCACATGTACTGACCCCTAAACATCAGTATAATAATCTAATCAAGTCCTAACCAACATTAAAACAATCCTTTAAGTTCTAACTAAATTTTCTGACTACCAAAGCTCTACTGTCTGTAGCCAAGTGTAAAGTACAAAAAGACAGTTCATCAAAAGTGCACATAATAAAAAAATATATATAATATATATATAAAATGAAATATAAATAAACAGCAAACTTACAAGTAATACATATATTTTCTCCTATAACAAATTATCCTTCGGTTATTTGTACAGTAGCACCTTCTATTATTTTCCACAAAGGAAAAAAATCTATCTCAACCAGTTAAATTTACTAGTGATATTTCATTCCTCCAATATACCATATATTTATCAATCCCTAAATAAAAACATAATACAGTTCAGTTTTATATATGGAACAGTAATTAAAAAAAAAATAAATTAAAAAAAAAATAAAAAATAAAAAAAATAAAAACATAACAGTCCTAAATGAATTCTCTTAAATGAACACAGTACTTTCCAAAATGAGAACTACTAAAAGTTAAACTCTACATATTTACCTCATTATTGGTATAATGCAGATCCATAGACTGCCCAAAGGCAATTTTAGCCTTGGACCTTAGATCTTCCAGTTTAACTGGTCTGGGGAACTGAAGGATTCTATATAGACAGAATTTTAAAAATATTTTATTTTCTTAGACAAAGTTAAGTAATATACTTGCAACAGTTACCTCTTGTTAGATATAAAATTAAGTAAAAATTATGTAAATGTTCACTTTACTTAAACACTACAACAGCTCATTTTTGATCAAGTGCACAAATTTTCAACACAAAATTTGAAAACTCTGAAGTTTGTTCTATCCTAATAAAAATTTTTAAAAGGAAATTTTCAAAATTTTCTGAAGTTTTAAATGTGCACTGAAACTGTCACATGAATTGTTAAAGAGCAATGTAAAATGTCCACTGAGGAAAAGTGACTTAACTATGTGAAATCTGCACAAAAGAATGTAATGAAGCTGTTAAAAAGAATAAAGCTATTCTTTGGGGATTCAAATTTTGATTTCTGTATCTTTATCAACTCAACATTTTTGGGCACACAGTCATAAAAGTACCTCCAAAATAAATATTTTAAAAGGTTACAATTTTAAAATGAATTAAAATTCTTGTGTTTTCTTCCCATATCCCAAAGGATTGGCCTGTGCTGCTCCTATAGAGCATGCACCTAAAGCTGGGAGACAGCCAGAGTAGACTGCAAGCCCCACAAGGGGAGAGACCATGTCTGCTTTGCTCACATTATCCCTCCAGGGCCTGCCCTAGCATATATTTAATAGTAAGTGCTCACAAAATAGTGCCAGATAAATGTAAAAATTGGAAAAATATTGATAAAAGAATCTTAAATAGAAAAAGTAAATTGGACAATAGTTCTGTATAATAGTAAATTGTGACAATATTTGGTCTTTTTAAACCTCTCAATGTAAAATATGTTTACATCTTCAAGTTATATGATTTGTGAGCCACTTTAAAGTCCTTAAAACTAGTAGACTTTTCATTAAATTAATTCAGTGAGACACTAATAGTCCATTTTCTCTAATTCCTATTAGGTCTTGTTACCAACTTTGTCATCAACTACCACCACCACCACCACTTTGCCCTGAGACACAGACACCAAGTGGAAAGCAAGGTTTACATCTCTACTAAACAGTTTGCAGCCACTATTCCAACTCACCTTCCTCAACATTACTAATGAAATCCATGTCATAGCACTGAGGTCTCTTGAGAATAAGCAAAACTGTGAATGTTAAGTCCACATACATAAATTCTGTATAGTATTTGGAGGGATGATACAATTATGATAAGGGAAAATATATTTAATTTGCACTGAGTAAAAAAAAAGGATATTGTAATATTTAAAGGCTGCATTATGCAGACCTCATTTATTTCCTAATATTACAAAGACATTAATAATTCCTAATGTGTAGCCTGAATTCTGATAGATTCTATCTTGAAAATAAACTCATGTTATACATTAGTAAGGATTCCCCTATTTTTAATTTGTAAACAATGAAACTTCATTCAAATCAAAGAACCTTTAATAGCTTAATTAGAATACATTTGATTAAATCAATTGATTAACAAATGATGTTTCCTTCCTTACCTTTTTTCTCCTCTATGTTCAAATTTGACTCGGACATCATTCTGTAATGAAATGACAAATCAGTCATACAATCTTTCACAGATCAGACAAAATTTCTAGAATTTCTAAATGATTTTCTTTCTTCGACATCCATTTAAAATATAGCTGAGAGGAAAGAAGTTTCATTTTTTGTATCAGCTCCAGTCAATTGATCATGTCTGCCAAAAAGCTAAGTTGAGAATTATGTGGCTGAATCTGGGCAACACAGAAAGAATACCAAGATCTGTTAGTGAAAGCATCAGGGGTATGAGACTTCACTGATCCTGTTAGAGGAAAATACAGAATACTATATTTCCACATTTCATGCTTGGCATTCCAAACTAATTTCACTTAAAAGAATCAAATCATCCTCATTTGTAAACATCCAGACTAGACTATTTGAAAAGCAAAATAAAACAATTTGCCTATCTTAAGTGCTTTAAGGATGGATGAAATATCAACTTTAGAAAGCAGTTACCACATTAAATGGAACTACCATTTTTTTAAAAATGCACACTCCTATAGGAAAATGTATAACAAACAACAACAAAATACTAGATTCAAAAGTATAAAGGCTAAACACAAGTCGTCCATAAGATTAGAATATTAAGGGAAAATAATTCAAAGAATAAAATATACTTATTAAATTATTATTAAAACAAATACCTGTTTTTTTGGTGATGAAGATTTTGCTTTTCTAGTTTCCTGTAAGGATAATGCTGGTCGACTAGCCTTATGAAGAACAGCCAAATCTTGCATTATCGAGTCTAAAGCTTGCTGATCATCTATGTATATTTGAAATAACACATACACAGAATTTTAACTTTAACATATATAGACAGCAAATACAAAATTTATAAAGAAATTTATTTAGAAAATACATTAATGCAAAAATGCACCCAAAATATTCTCAATGCCTACACTTTGGGTGAAATAACATTTTAATTATTTAAAAACTGAAGGAAAAAAACCCTAAAGGCAGATAACATTAAAATTGTACTAGACTCGAGCTCTAGTATCAGACTAGAGGTCCACATATAAGATACTTATAGATGAGATAAAGTCATTTTCATTCTCTTAATGATTTAATATCCTAGTATATGGGTCAAAACAGCCTTGTTACAACAAATTCTTTTCTGACTCCTAAACAAAACATCAAGACATCTAAAATCTTTTTAAAAAGTGAGGAAAAAATAAACTTTGTATAAATACCATCATTATTTAGCATTTATATTCAAAGAACAGACTTCATTTTTAGAGTTTTTTTTCTTTCATCAATATTTAAAAACAAAGAAAAGCTTCATCTGTGGGTACTGGCCTACTGGTATTTGGAAATGTTCTCTCAAACTTTTTCACCATAAAGTTTAAGAAGACTACTAACAGACTATTTAATGACCTTGGCAAGTAACAATTTAAAAGATAACAACAGAAGAAAACTCTATTACTTAAAAAGTACTAAGTCTGTAAAACTGAGAGAAAGGATCATGAACCATGAATTTTTAGTCTCTTCCAAACACATCAAAGATTTCTTTCTGAGATTATAAGCATGTACCTCCCAGTAATGCCAATTATAAGCTCTCTGGAAGACTTCAGGGGCAACTTAATTGATTTTCACAAGTAAATCAATTCTACTAATGATAATCAACAAGCAGTAAATAAAGGAATCAAAAGACTTCACTGGGCGGGCGAGGTGGCTCACGCCTGTAATCCTAGCACTCTGGGAGGCCGAGGCGGGCGGATTGCTCCAGGTCAGGAGTTCGAAACCAGCCTGAGCAAGAGCGAGACCCCGTCTCTACTATAACTTAAAAAGAAATTAATTGGCCAACTATTATATATAGAAAAAATTAGCCAGGCATGGTGGCGCATGCCTGTAGTCCCAGCTACTCGGGAGGCTGAGGCAGGAGGATCGCTTGAGCCCAGGAGTTTGAGGTTTCTGTGAGCTAGGCTGATGCCACAGCACTCACTCTAGCTGGGCAACAAAGTGAGACTCTGTCTCAAAAAAAAAAAAAAAAAGACTTCACGGTTTACATTCTAAAATGTAATCATTTTGGTGAACAATGTATAATTTTTGTTCCTAGAGTAGTAATAATTAAAACATGCTGTATCTTATAAAGGAAGTCATTTTTATAAATCTGACAATTCAATAGTCTTAATAGTCTTTCAAACACAAAAATAGCTGACTTCTTGAATTTATTACTTTTTTTTGTTTTTTTTTTTTAATTAGGGGGAGGGGTGGGGCGAGGGCGGAGAGCCTACCTGAATTTATTACTTTTTAATAACATTCAACACATTCTATCCTGTAGAGAATTTGCATATTAAAATTTATAAGTAATGGCTGTAATGGTTTCTTTAAATAAATTCCATATTAAGAGAAAATTTTATAATCCTTCACAAGTATTCTTTGTAAAATAAAATTTTGTCACAATGTTAACTTAGCCAAATAGGTAACTGAGCCAGCTGGGTACAATATAATCACAACAGGTGTACCATCAATAGGTCCATGCCAGAAATATGTGACTTACTGATAAAAATAAATTTCCCCTCAGTCTGATATCAGACTGACATCAGTTTGATAAGCTCAGAATGATCTCAACTGGAATAAAGACGATGGGATCTTCTTGAGAAAGGTAATATCTTTAATTCTACACTGAGGAAAAAGGAATGCTAATACTTAAATGTATCCATGTTATTCGAATTATTTTATTAGAAAAAACTTTTAAGACTTGAATTTAGGCATTTTTTATATGCTTAATATCACAATGCCAAAATAAATAAATGCCTGAGGAGGCTTTGGTTAAAATCTCTTATCACATTTCTATATACCTTCCTTGTTAAGAGACATGAGTACAAGGAAGAAAAAAAAAATTAGTATTATTTTCTATCATATATTAATATGTAAAAAAGGAAAGAGCCATTAGAACAAAAGTTCAACTCTTAGGAAAATGACATAGAAAACAAAAGGCAATTTAATTGAGTTTCTTCCTTTTCAGGCTTGAAGAATAACATGGTAGATAGTATCAGTAGGGAATTTATTTTGAGGAGTTTGACAAGTTGTAAGCTAAAAAATCCACAAAAGGGTCATCATACATACATAGTTTGAACATATTCAAACCATAATAAGCTCTGTTCTTATGATTATTAGACTAGTTTGCTCTATTAAGCATCCCTATGAGCCGGGCGCAGTGGCTCACGCCTGTAATCCTAGCTCTTGGGAGGCCGAGGCAGGCGGATTGCTCAAGGTCAGGAGTTCAAAACCAGCCTGAGCAAGAGCGAGACCCCGTCTCTACTATAAATAGAAAGAAATTAATTGGCCAACTGATATATATATATAAAAAAAAATTAGCCGGGCATGGTGGCGCATGCCTGTAGTCCCAGCTACTCGGGAGGCTGAGGCAGAAGGATCGCTTGAGCCCAGGAGTTTGAGGTTGCTGTGAGCTAGGCTGACGCCATGGCACTCACTCTAGCCTGGACAACAAAGCGAGACTCTGTCTCAAAAAAAAAAAAAAAAAAAAAGAATCCCTATGGTGGCTACATGGTACTAGGCAGATTAGACATGTTATAAATATTATAAGGATCATGAGTTGGCCTAATAGGCCGTGAGGATATCCAGAGGATACCAGACTCTGACCAACTGGCACATAGAAGCAGTAGTGGGTTTCTTACATTATGTTGAAAGAAAGTCAACTGAGTAGAAAATAAAATTAACATTATGACAAAATTTAATTTCTCTCTTGCCATCAGAGTCTAAGCAAATCACAATCCATATCAGCATCAAATTTCTTTAGAAAAAGGTTTATAATAACGTAATAGAGAAATTTTTTTCTCCCCCCTTCTATCGTTAATTATAGCTGAAAAATGCTTTTAGTTTGAACTCACCCATCATGGTAACCAGCTCAACAATTTGAATATTAGGAAAATGGTTCTCCCATCAGCATTATTTCCTTAGAAGCTAAAATGACAAACATGTTAATAAGAAGAAACAGAAAAGACAGCCACAAACAAAAAATATATAAGCAAATATTCCAAAATCAGAAAAAATCCAAAATCCAAAATCCAAAACACTTCTGATCCCAAGCATCTGAGATAAGCAATATTCAACCTGTACATATTGTCTACAACAGATACACTTTAAATTCCAAGACAAAACAAGCTGACAGGAAAAGAATGGAAAAATATATACTATGCAAACAGTAGCCAAAAGAGGCCTAGAGTGGCCATACTAACAGCAGACAAAATAGATTATGATACAAAAATTGCTGTTAGTGACAAAGGGTATTTTAGAATGAACAATGGCTAATTCATCAACAAGATATAGCAATTATAAACTTATATATACCTATCAACAGAGTCTCAAAATACATGAAGCCAAAAATTGTAGAACTGAAGGAAGAAACACGCAATTCAAAAATAAGAGTTGGAGACTTTTGACACTCCACTTTCAATAATGAATAAAGTAGACAGAAAATAAGTGAGTAAACAGAAGACTTGGACACTATAAAACCAATAGACTATACAGAACATTCAACCTCAGAACAGCAGAATACACATTCTTCTCAAATACATGTAGAACATTTTCTAGAACAGACCACATGTTAGGCAATAAAACAAATCTCAGTAACTATAAATGGACTGAAATCACACAAAGTTTATTCACGGACAATAATAAAACAAAATGAGAAATTGGTAACACAAGGAAATTGAGGAAATTCACAAATAATTGAAAATTAAACAGCACACAAAAAGAACCAATGGGTCAAAAGTCATCACAAGGGAAACTGAAAATGCTGAGATAAATGAAAATCAAAACACAACAAGCTAGAACCCACTTGATGCATCTAAAGTAGAGATAAATTTATAACTGTAAATGTTTATATTAAAAAACAAGATGTGATGGTATTTGGAGGTAACGTGGGGGGGGGCGGACAAGAAAGACCTCAGTTCAATAACCTAATTAATCTTCCATCTTAACACATTGGAAAAATGAGAGCAATGTAAACCCAAACAAGGAAACAACAGGGATTAAAGCGGAAATAAACTAGAAAAAAGAAATACCATAGAAAACTTTTAGAAAACAATGAAACCCAAACTGGTCCATTGAAAAGATCAACAAAACTGAGAAACCTATAGCTAGACTAACAAAAAAAAAAAAAAAAAGAGGGAGGACACAAGTAACTAAACTCAAGAATTTAAAAAGGGAGCATTACTACCAATCTTACAGAAATAATAAAGGATGAGGAAATACTATGAACAAATTAGATCACCTACATGAAACAGACAAGTTCCTAAAAAGAAAAACTACCTAAAAAGAAAGAAACAAAATTGACTCAAGGAGAAATAAAAAATCTGAACACATCTATAAAAAATAAAGATATTGAATTAGAAATGAAATAATTATCACAAATAAAAGCCCTGGAACAGATGGCTTCAAACATTTAAAGAATTAACACTAATTATTCAAAAACTTCAAAAAAATAGACAGTACACTTCCCAATTCATTCTGAAGCCAGTATTATTCTGATACCAAAACCAGACAAAGACATCAGAAGAAAACTAAAGAGTAATATGTCTTATGACTATAGATGCAAAAATCATCAACAAAATGCTATCAAATCTAATCAAGAATATTTTTTTAAAAAGGGATTATATACCGTGAACATTTGGAATATATCTAACAAAAGGAAGGTAGGTTTGGAATACAAAAATCAATGAAGGTGATAAACATTAAAAGAATACAGAACAAAAATCAAATGATCATCTCAACTGACAAAGAAAAGCATGTGCCAAAATTCAACACTCTATAACACTCAAAAGATAACAAAAAGAAAGGAACGTCCTCAAGTTGGTAAATAGCTTGTGAAAAATCCACAATTAACATTATACTTAATGATAAAATTCTAGATATATCCTCCCTACGGTCAGGAACAATACAAGGACATCCAATCTTGCCCTTTCTATATTGTTCTAGAAGTTCCAGTCAGAAGATGATGCAAGAAAATGAAATAAAAGGACTCAAAATTGAACAAGAAGTAAAACTATAATCCTTTTTAGGTGACATAGTATTGTATACAGAAAATCCTTGGAAATTCATAAAAACACTATTAGAACTAATAAACAAGTTCAGCATGGTTGTAGGATACAAGATCAACACTCAGAAATCTGCTGTATTTCTATACATTAGCAATGCACATTCTGGAAATAAAATGAACAAATCAATTCCATTTACAATAACATCAAAAAGAATAACGTACTTGGGAACATATTTAACAAAAAAAAATGCAAATCCTACACACTGAAAACTACAAACACTGTTGAAAGGAATTAAAATAGACCTATATAAAGAAATACATCCCATGTTCATGAATAGGAAAAATATATTTTTAAGATAGCAATACTCCCAAAGTGATCTACAGATTCAATTCCTATCAAAATTCCAGTGGCCTCTTTTGGCAGAAATGGAAAAAGTGATCCTCAAATTCACATGCAACTGCAATGGACACCGAAAACCAAAACAATATTGAAAAAGAAAAATAAAGTTGAGGATTCACACTTTTTGATTTCAATACTTACCACAAAGCTACAATAATCACAATAGTGTGGTACAGGCATAAGGATAGAGACCAATGGAACAGAGAGTCCAGAAATAAACTCAAACATCTATTGTCAACTGATGTTTGACAAGGATGCTAAGACAACTCAAGGGAGAAAAAACAGTCTTCAACAAATGGTGCTGTACAACTGGATATCCACATGCCAAAGCATAATGTTGGACTCCTACTTCACATAATACACAAAAATTAATCTAAAATAAACCAAAGACCTAAATGTAAGAGCTAAATCTATGAAACTCTTAGATGGGAAGAGATGTGTAAATCTTCATTACCCTGGATTAGGAAATAGTTTCTTAAACATGACACCAAAAACACAACCAAGAAAAGAAAAAATAAGTTGGACTTGATCAAAATTAAAAACTTCTGGTTGGGCATGGTGGCTCATACTTGTAATCTCAGGGCTCTGCAAGGCCAAAGCCAAAGCCTCCTGAGGCCAGAAGTTCATGATCAGGCTGGGCAAGATAGGGAGACTCAACCGGGCGTGGTGGCTCACGCTTGTAATCCTAGCAATCTGGGAGGCTGAGGCGGGTGGATTGCTGGAGGTCAGAAGTTCAAAACCAGCCTGACTAAGAGTGAGACCCCGTCTCTACTATAAATTTAAAAAGAAATTAATTGGCCAACTAATATATATATAGAAAAAAAAAAATTAGCCAGGCATGGTGGCACATGCCTATAGTCCTAGATACTCGGGAGGCTGAGGCAGCAGGATTGCTTGAGCCCAGGAGTTTGAGGTTGCTGTGAGCCAGGTTGACGCCATGGCACTCACTCTAGCCTGGGCAACAAAGCAAGACTCTGTCTCAAAACAAACAAACAAACAAACAAAAAAGATAGGGAGAGGCCGGGCGCGGTGGCTCACGCCTGTAATCCTAGCTCTCTGGGAGGCCGAGGCAGGCGGATTGCTCCAGGTCAGGAGTTCGAAACCAGCCTGAGCAAGAGCGAGACCCCGTCTCTACTATAAATAGAAAGAAATTAATTGGCCAACTAATATATATACAAAAAATTAGCCGGGCATGGTGGCGAATGCCTGTAGTCCCAGCTACTTGGGAGGCTGAGGCAGGAGGATTGCTTGAGCCAGGAGTTTGAGGTTGCTGTGAGCTAGGCTGACGCCACAGCACTCACTCTAGCCTGGGCAACAAAGCGAGACTCTGTCTCAAAAAAAAAAAAGATAGGGAGAGTCTGTCTCTGCAAAAAAATTTTAAAAATTCCCTGGGCATGGTAGCATGTGCCTATAGTCCTAGCAACTCAGGAGGCTAAGTAGAAAGGATTCCTTAAGCCCAGGAATTTGAGACTGCAGTGAGCTGTGATTATGCCACTACACTCCAGTCTGGGTGACAGAGAGACCTTGTCTCTTAAAAAATAAATAAAAACTTTTTTGTGTGTATCAAAGGACACTATCATGATAGTGAAAATAACCCACAGAATGGAAGAAAATATTTGCAAATCATATATCTGATAAGGGTCTAGTATCAAGAATATATAAAAAACAATTACAACTCAGCAAGGAGACAACTAATCTAACATGGGCAAAAGATTTCAACAGACATTTCTCCAAAGATACACAAATGGCCAATAAGCACTAGAGAAGATGCTCAATACCATGTTATCAGAGCCATGCAAATCAAAACCACAAAACCACAATGACACCCAGGAGGATGACTATAAATCAAAAAGACAATGACAGGTGGTGATGAAGATGTGGAGAAATAGGAAGCCTATGAACCACTATTTCCACTCCTACATATATACCTAAGAGAACTGAAAGCATATAACCACTTAAAACCTGTACAGTAACATTCAGTGCAGCATTATTTATAAACGCCAAAAGTCTGCTGGGCACAGAGTCCTGGCACTCTGGGAGGCCGAGGCAAGAGGATGGCTTGAGGTCAGGAGTTTGAGACAAGCCTGAGCAAGAGCGAGAACCCGTCTCTACTAAAAATAGAAAAAATTAGCTAGGCATGGTGGTAATGCCTGCCTGTATAGTCTCAGCTACTTGGGAGGCTGCAACAGGAGGATCACTTGAGCCCAGGAGTTTGAGGTTGCTGTGAGCTATGATTATGCCACTGCACTCTATCTGGGGCAACAGAGGAAGACTTTGCCTCAAAGAAAAAAAAAAAAAAAGGCACCTAAAAGTAGAAACCTAGATGTCCATCAACTGATAAACAAACATGCCAGGTATTCATACAATGGAATAATATTCAGTCACTAAAAAGAATGAAGTATTGATAAATGTTCCAACATGGATAAACCTTGGACATGCTAGGTGAAATAAATCAGACCAAAAAGGCCACATATTGTATGATTCCACATATGTGAAATGTCTAGAATAGGCAAATCTATAGGATTCCACATATATGAAATGTCTATAATGGCAAATACACAGAGACTAAAAACAGATTAGCAGTTTCCCAAGGGCTCAGTTATGGTAAATAGTCAATGACTGGCCAGGCATGGTGGCTCACACCTGTAATCCTAGCACTCCGGGAGGCCGAGGCAGGAGGATGGTTTGAGCTCAGGAGTTCAAGGAGCCCGAGTAGAGCAAGATCCCATCTCTACTAAAAAAATAGAAAGAAATTAGCTAGACAACTAAAAACAATAAATAAATGTGTGTGTATGTGTGTGTGTGTGTGTGTGTGTGTGTGTGTGTGTGTATAAAATTAGCCAGGCATGGTGGGTGCATGCCTGTAGTCCCAAGTACTTGGGCGGCTGAGGCAGGAGGATCCCTTGAGCCCAGGAGTTTGAGGTTGCTGTGAGCTAGGCTGACGCCATGGCACCCTAGTCCAGGCAATTGAGTAAGACTCCGCCTCACTAAAAAAAAAAAAAAAAAAAAGTCATCGACTGTGAACAGGACTGATGAAATGTTCTGGAATTAGATAGTGGTGATGGTTGCCCAACTTTGTGAATAAACTAAAAATTACTGAATTGTACTTTTTAAAAAGGTGAATTTCATGATATATGTATTATATCTCAAAAAGGGAGAGAGGCAAAAAAGGAAGGAAACAAAATAGAAGTGGCAGGTTCTATGAATAACTGAACATTTGCCCACCTACAGGAGCAACAGCCTCAGTTCCAATCAATAGCTGCCTATAGCAGTTTATGTTCAGTATCATCAGATATGCTGAATCCAAACTTTAATGTGAGATCTCCCCATTTTCAAATATTAGCAACTAATTCAAATTTTTACATAAACAGTGTATATTCTCTTTCGTGCTGCCATTTTGCAACCACTGACCAACCTATTCTAGTAACTCCCTGAGTATAACATATATATAGTTTGAATAAACAAATTCAACATCACAACTTTAATTTCTTTTTAGCTGTAATATTATTTTGAAATGTCAAGTAACATTAAAGAATTATCAAAGGAAAAGTGTAAAAAAAATACACATGGAATAGAACATAAAACATGAAAATGCTCCTCTCATCACCAAATCAGTACAATTTCCAAGGGCACCCACTATGCTACCTTAGGTTTTAGGACTTTTTAA